ACACAAGGGAGACGGAAGTGTTGAAGATATAACAAGCGTCAGTCGTCACTAATATGATATATCCAAAGGATATCTCATCCTTCACCTATTTGGGCATCATCATCTCAGCTGCAGGCGTCATAGGTGTGGCGAAACCAGACAGGGCGGGAAAAGAAAGACGGATTTTCGCAGACTTGTGAATTCGCATATGGCCACATATCTAATCCATTCGTAAAACAGTGGAACATACTATCTTGGATGATGTCTTTTCAGTTATGAATCACGTGATGCACCAAAATGTATTAGGTGAAATCTGTTCATTATTCTTATTTGTGTGGTAACAAATTGTATTTTTATTAGTGTGTATTTGTGTTCTAATTCTCTTGGTTACTCCTAGACATGTGACTATAACCAAACATTCGTTCTTTAATGTGTGGATGTTCAAGTTTGCTTGAGGGTCATAAAACTAAGTATATTGTGTTTAACATTACTACTACAATATGCATGTTTGAGCTGGCTATCTAATGGGCTGCCTGTTTGAATTTCTATTATTCTTACAGTAAACAAATCTTGCTTCACGCTCGATGTGAGTCTCAGTTAGAAGTCATTTAGGAAAAATTACTTGATTATTTGACAACAGAAACGGCACATCCTCGTTATTGTCAAACCAATGAGGATATCTACTGCATTCATCAGTAAGATGGTATGGATCTTCAACATTGATGTCAGATAAATGTGACTACGTGTTGCAGAGAATTGGAACAGGAGTAATACGCACTTCCAAAAGATTGCAGATTTTAACCAGTTACAAACTTCGCTCGATAGTAAAGATCAGAGGGAATAAGCTGCAAGGAACCCTGCAAATGAACCAACAAATAGTCTACCGTACAAAGGAGGTAATACATATGAACTGAAAATAAAGACTGGGCAGATAGCTGATTAACTATATACCGAAGCCTACTGGGTGGAAACATAGCAAAGCTGAGATCAACGTGTGTGTCAGCGTGACATAGGAATGGGACGGGACGTGCAGCGGAAGATTATGGTCAGTCATGTAGGTAGCTATAAAAGACTGCACTGAACAGAGTCATGTGAGGGTGTGCTGCTGAAGCCCAACGATCCACTCGGAAACCAAATGAACGATAATGATGGTACGAAAATTAAGTGGCATGACAGCGTAACACGTAAGGCAAGTTGTACATGACAGATGTCGCTTCGCCCCGTCTAAATTCGAGTAAGGTTCTAGGGAACCTCAAAATTATCCAGGGAAACCAGCTAGGTGTGGCATCATCGGGCCGATAATCCTCATAGTGTAATTTGATGTTTTTGAAACTCTATCAGTGAACGTTTTCAGCACACGATGGATATCTTGTTTTGAATAATCGAACTGGTAACAAAAGCCTCCAAATCTTTTAATTTGTTCGCATGATCATTTATTCTAACATGTTGCAATTCGCTATCCACCCAGACTTTCTCGTTTTTCTGCCCGTTCCTCTTTGTCTCACTCGTATTGTTTCTAATCCTTTTGCACTGTCTTTCACTTTAAGGTCAAATATTTTCTCATAATCTGCTTTCATATGAGGATAAAACTTGAGTACAGTGGTGGAGTATAATTCCATTATAGACAAAAGTTGTGTGAGTATGTTTATATGACTGTGAAGAATAAACTGGGCCCAAAACCTCATCGGTAAATATTACCATATAACGCTATCACTTTAAAAAATTTTTTATCCATAATGTAATCGGCCTTCATGCTCAGTATATTGCAGTAAAGAATGTTTCCGACTTGTCTAGTTGATCACCTTGAAAAGGTTACTCGGAAGTATTAGTGGTGACACTAAAGTGCGACGAGACATTTCCGTAAGATTAGATTAATCACTCCCCTGCTCCGATGTGTGTAAAGGCCAGAATGCTTAACGTTATCATACAGGTACTGGTATATATTCACACATGAAGAAATGGTTGAAGACAAACACTTCTTAGAGGAATGTCTATTTTGAAATTGGTATATCTATAGAGCCAAACAATTTACACCTTATCTAAAACGCACAGTTCGCACAGATATTCTTGTTGTTCAATTTCGGTGGCTTTATTACTGCTACGGTTGTGTTGGCAGTTGCCCGGTCGCCTTCGCCAGCTCACTCATGTCCGCGGGTTGTTCAGCGTCAATCGGCTGTAATCGCGGAGGAATGTGGTCTGGGAGACTCTCGGTGAATGGGATACCAATCACTGCAACTCCACTTCAATGTGAGGGGTGCGCGAAGCAGTAGATACGTCAGCTTCACCGTCAACAATAGCTGGTCTCCGTCCGCACCAAGCTTCGCGGCACGGAACTGCCACATCGAAAGCTGCCTGTCCATCGGGCTGTCAAACTCCGGCATCAGTCGTACAGCCAGCAGATTCAGGGTCTCCGTCCCAACTGACGTATCCACACTGTTATACGCCACCTTAGCTCAGCCTCACAGCAGCGTCCCCAGTGAAACCACCTTCGCCATCGGAATTGTGGCGCCCACCAACTCAGGGACGACTTAAAAATTCCACAAGAAGCGCCTTGTGTCTGCTTCCTCGAAAGCGGCCGACAGTAGAATATTTATTGTCTGGAGGCGGCGACACCAGTTGAAGAGGTAGAAAATGAAGACTTGGTAGAGGAATGTCTATTTGGCAATTGGTGTATCTATATGGCCAAACTATGTACGACTAACCCTAAATATCACGTTCTAGAACAGCTGTTAAAATTTCACTTGGAAATCTTTTTGTCAATTTTTTTTAATAAAATTGTGTTATATGTTATCTGGATTGATGGGAATTCCCATTTTCTGGCCTGTTATTTTGGTGTCCGCGTCATGTAATCTGACTGCGACACCCCCTAGCATATTGGTTGCAACGATCAGTGTTTCAGGCGAACTGTTGCAAAATATCGCTATAATGAGAAAGATAGGATAGGTGAAGGGTAATGTCATCTACACAAATGGTCTACTTTATTTAGATGCTGCACCTTTCGGCATGGTATCATTCAATGAAGGCTTCACGTCTCAGGATATTAATTCAGCCTATTTTCGTGTGAAGAACAGTCCTCTTTGACAAAAAATTCTATCAGTACTTGGAAATCACCTGTAAATGCTAGCAGAACCTGTGGGAATAGAAGTAATCATGTAGATGTGTCTCACCGTATGTGTGTTTGGACAGGAATTATCGTAAGTTGAGAGGTTATTTTCAAGTGTATTTCATGTATCTTTGCACTGTTTGGTGTGGCGTAATATGAGTTATGTGGACTCAATGTATAAAAAATGTCTCAACTTTATTAATATTGTGTCATTGTGTGCTTAGCTGACTGCTTGGCTAGCGAACGTAAGTGGTTGTCATGATTATTGCAAGTGCAGTGCAGTGGAGAGGGCAATCACTCGTTTAAATCACCTTATTGTGTCGCTCAGTGCATTAATTCAGTGTATAGTATTATTATACACATGGATTGTATCGATTATGAGAACTGAATCTAGTCAGCTCTATTACTATCAATCTACTGTCTGTTATGCCATTATCACTGGCACTGTAGACTTAATGCTGCAATGTTTTTGATCACCAATAGTGGTGATGAATTTCTCCTGAATTTTCCATTAACATGAAGCAGTACAGATGCAGTGTCACAACCGAATGTCTAGGTTGCATTATATGTCATTGTTATCCTCATCAACACAACAGGCCTGCGTATCTTACAATATTTTAAGTGTTTCTCTATACTGCTAACACTGTGCATAGCTGTTTAGAGTTGAAGCATGTTCAGCTTATATTTGATGGTTACAGATTCCTTAATGTGAGGATGTAATTTCTGCAGGATTCATAAAACTATGCTCATTAGACATTACTGAGATTATGGATCAATTTCTAAGTTACACATTTGCAATACTTCACTTAATGTAAACGTATTTAGTGTGAAGTTGATCTGCATGTAAGGTTAATGAGAGTATGACGCCTCAACAGTATGGAAGCTTCAAAGATTGTCTTGATATTTGCGTGTAACCCTTTAATACTGGTAAACATATGAGGGCTATTGATGCTTATAGTGTCAATATAAAAACCAGCTGTAAACTACAAATACATTTATTTGCATGAGATATTACTTAGTATTAACAGAATCAGTGTATTCATAGTGTGTGCTAATATATAGAATTATCTTTCATAAATTCATGTTGTGCTAGTCCTTACATGTGCTTTATTTTTTTCAGGTATACGGAGGTTGTCGAATATGAAATCATCGGAAATATCACTCGGTCAAACTAACGTTAATACTCTTCATCGGGATTTCCTTTAGTAAATTGATGAAATGTTTAATATACTCTTCAATTCTACTTCCTCTAGAATTTTTCAGTGCGTCGCTATACTATGTGCTTTTGTAATAAGTGAACTCGGTCTCTTTATATGCAGTGACATCATCAAATAGACTGTTCACTTGACAGTGAGCAAAGAAACAATTTTCATCTATTTCTAATATGCCGTTGAATCATCTGATATCCATCATTTCTATGATCAACAACTGCGGTGTTCGCATATCTATTTTATGAATATTAAATAAGTCACGCCTTTATGCATCTAATTACCTCCAGTATTACAAAAGTATTTCCTGTTCATTTGATGTGTGTACGGTAAACAAGGCATTCATACATTCTCCCACAAATGCCAAGGTTTCTGGTGTCACAAGTGTTAATAAGAGTTGCTTCCTTGGTTTCAATACAAATGACGTTCTAAAATATCTCCGGTCGTTGAACCCTTCTTGTAGCCTAGTTCTTGATTGTTTGCCTAGCCTTATTCTTAAAAAATGTGCAGATATCCCCTAGACTCACCTGACTGGTTACTCAAGTTTTTATTCATTGATATATCCATCGGGTAGTTTCGTATTGAGTTGCTATAAATTAGAGTCACGAAAAGTAATTCTGCATGACAAAAGATCATAAAAATATCCTTTAGTTGAGTGCCTATTGCATCCTTTGAGGTGTGTTTTAATCAAGTAACTGATGTTGACCTGAGTGAGAAACTGTTAATACCGCATTTAAAATGCAGTTAAAAGAAAGATGTTTAGTTGTAGTAGCCCTTATTTCAGGTATGTCTGCATATATAAAATATTGTTAGCTTTTTCATACAGTGTACCAGTCATTTTACTTGGCTTTTGGAAATTATTAACAGCTTATGTTTAATTCCATTCACACTAATTACATTAATGTTCTGTTCTGCTTTCGAGATTTTCTTTTGATTATAAATAGATGACTTGCGATCACATCATCTTTTAAGCTACATTATAACTGTGCGGAGGGTATGTGTATACACAACCCTCAATATTCCTCAACAGTATAATTCATAATATTGCTCATTACCAGGTAACTCCTCGTCTGGGAGTTCTCGGTTGTAGCTTTTTTATTTTGAAGGCAGATTTTGTTCTCTACGCTTAGAATGTTTTCATTAAAATTACGGAAGTCAGTATTATATTTAATCAAGGTTTGTTTTGAAGTACATTTTTTATTTATTGCAAGTCTTGAAGTTTATTATGTTGATGCTGACCGAGCCATTTTCCACTTTGACATCAGCCTCAGTCGGAATTCGTTGACAAAACTTAAAAGCCTTCGTGATTAGATATGGAAAGAATCACGAGTCTTTCGGTAAATGACTAGCATTTTCAAATTAACAATATCCCTGTTAATTAATAACCATATAGTTATGCCGTCCTGAAAGATATTTTTTCACAAAATTATGACACCGACTAAATAGGAATGCAGTCTTATAGCCTCTATCATCTATATTCTTTTACTTTATTGGATGACATTAATTCCAATATCCAATATCAATTTTACGAGCTAGTATAAACTAATTTGATTTCTTTGTGCTCGCCTCTTGATTGTGAGGTAGTGGTTCCTGATCTTCGGTTAACGTCTGCGTGGCTCGTCCCGCCACTTGACTGTCACGGTCTGCACTTGATTTTCCATAAACGTGGCCTGTTTATCAAGTACCGTTTCGAAAGTGTTTAATTAGTTTCTGTTGCTTATATATAAACTCTTAACTGTAAAGTTTCTCACATATGGTTCATCACTGTTTTCTGAAAGGTCGAAATTTCCCCTCCCGTCCAACACATCATTTATTATGTGAAGCAAAATTTAATAATGAAGTGTTGACAACTGATCCAGTTCCACATAATGAAGAACCACAATTTGAACAGGAGCTTGCATGGGATTTAGACAAAACTAACTTAAAGCAACACCGTTTACAAAGAAGTGCTCTGAAAGTGACAGTTTCTGCTGTTGACAACCATTCACCAGTCAAAGAACCAATAGGATATTTTATGCTTGATTTACGTTCGTGTTCTACTGAGAAGGTAAAAAAGTGTTTTATTTCCATTCTTCTAATAAGTGTTTTATTTTTAAAGGTTTACAAATGGTATCGCCTTCTGCATTCTAAATATAAAAACAATCCAGCTGTATTTGGTTCAATTTATTTAGACAGCGATGGGCAAGAAATTGTTTCTAATCCAAAAATTAAGACAGGTAACTTTCTGTCCTGAAAATTAAACATTAGAATGCTAGTCATGTGTTAACTTATGCAAAGTCACAAACCCGAATTTTTAATGAATGAATTTACAAATGGCGATAAATTCTACAAAATGTTTGCAAACAATAAATCTATTTTAGCGGTAAATAATTCCCCAAAATTATTGACCACAGCAATCATCACTGTACATTGGATGCTGACACTAACTGTTTAAGTCGACTTGTTTAGCTGAAGGCTTCCGGTCAAGCATCCATCCCATTTGGTACTCCGTCGTGTCACGTTCGTGCACGATCACTAGCCAGCTAAGCATTCATCTCGGTCTACGATTTGGTCCCTAAATATATCTCGTAATTTGGACGATCAACTGTGGTCTTTTGCTTTGCCTTTGGTCTACGCGGAACGAATACTATAGAAGTTGTTGGTATTAGATCTTGCGTTGGTATAGTCCGTAAAATCCGCGAACGTCAATACCGTCAGCCACTAAACTTTCTAATGTGTTTTCCAAAAACATCCTAATTTGAACTGTAAAAGGTTGAGGTGTATTATTTACACGAGATGTTCTGCGGAATTCTCCTTCTGACATTAACTTTTTTGTTGAAAGATGAAACTGTGTCATTTGATGCTTTCATTTTACCAGAACTAGTTGAAAAGGTGAAACATCAACTTATTGTTGACATATACTACTTGCTGTTAAAAGTAGCTGTAGCCACTGATTCTGATCCGACCAGTATAAACGACTAGATGGCCTACGTAGTTTCTAGCAACTCACGTCAGTTAGTTTTATCAGTTCTATTACAGTTTCGCCTGCTTTCTTGTTACAATTTCTGGTAATTTAATTTTTTTGAGTTTTCAAAGAAAAAAACATGACGAAACTTCATATAGAACGCTGTATTCTACAAATGACTAGTAGTTAATAACTTTAAAGGAAATATCTGTTGACTGTGACTCATTGGTGTAAGTGTTTAACTTGCAAGCAGCTGGATGTGATTTCGAAATGCCTTTCATTTATTGCTGTTTATGCAGCAAGTGTTTCATGATAAAATATATATAACCAGCAACTGTAATAATCTATAATACACATGAAAAGCAGACAAAATATGTAAATATGAATTGTGTGTGGCATGCATTCGATTCCTGTTAGACATGGTCTTCAGTCACTTTATCTAGTTATCTAACTGACCTTAAAGATTGAGATAACATTTATCGCACGATATGGTTTCAGAAACCTTTGTTTTGCTCGTAACTTAACGAACATTATACTTCTTCTCCATGTTATCTGTTATTTATTTTACTTCTTTTGGTTCCCAATGGAACATAGGGCTTCAAGCTACATCTTTGAAATTTCAGTAGCTGTGGTTATTTTTACAGGATTGGGTTGCTAGTCTCACACTGAACCCTCTCACCTTACCAGACTTACTACTAGTTTAGAGAGGTAAAGGTATGCATCACTCGGGGATCGAACCCCGGACCATCTGATTGGTTATCCAGTGTTCAACCACTAAACCACTGAAGCTTACTTCCTATCGATAACAAGTAGTAATTTGTTAATAAACTTTTCTTTTTTAATAGCCTACAAGTTACATTTATATTACTTATTTGACAGATACTCTGAAGAAAAGAGTAGTCAGATGTTTAAACTCTTCATAATCTGTACATGTTAAAGGTATAGTTCATTGGTTTAAGAGCTTGATTACTACCCAGTGAGATCCTGGTTTAAATCCCACTCTACTTACTTCAACCTTGGAGAATGGGTAGTATCATTAGCACTCACATATAAAGGGTAGCTCATAGTCTGGCATAAGAAAAGATCAGCAACACAGAGGTCTATGGCAATGAGCGAACCAAGCAGGAACCGATTGTGAAACAAATAGGCAGGAAGAAATGGAGATGGATTGGCCATACTCTGAGGATACCATCAAGTGACATCACTAGACAAGCCATTGCTCGAGTGGAACCCGAAAGGGAAGCAGCGAGTTGGTCGTCAATGCAAGGGTGACTTGAAGGAGGTCATGTGAAAAGGGGAGATGAAAACGTGTGGGCAGGTGAAGACTCTAGCAGAGAACCGAACGCAATGGAGACGCACGGCTGAAGCCTTATGTTCCTCTAAGAATTAAAGGAAACAACATTAATAATAGTCTGGCATATGAATGTTCTTTTCCGAGTAGTTGAGTTCTAATTATAGTCAGTTATGGCTGATAGCTGTTCTCACGTAAAATTTGATCTGCATTATTCACTTCACAGTTATTAAATATTTGAACTATATTAACTTAACTGTCATAATAATGTTTACTTAACTCATCTGTAATTCTGTTTCATAATTCTCAAAGGTTTAGCTATGAGTTTATCAAAGAATGACTTAATACCTCGTGTCTATAATTCAGACGATGAAGATCGTGCTACATTTTCAAAAAACCCAACAACAGGACAAACAGATATAATTAAATGGTATACAATTGGTCCAAGATGTTTAGCAAAAGAAAATTTTATGCTTAACTTTCGTTTTGAAGAAGCTGTCAGATTAGGCTCATTAATACCGACTGAGCAAAGTTTATGTCTAGGTGAACAAATTGGAGGATTTCATTTCACATGTGACATTTTAAATGTATCAATCTATTCAAGAAAATTTGATCAACTTATGCAAATGAAATTCACCTCTGAAGAGTTTACTTTTCATATTAAGTAAGTTTTTATAGGATGATCAGTATGAGGTTAAGTCTTTTTGATGTTACTGTATGTAATGTAATTTCATCATGAGCTGATATCCTGTAACCAATCAACCAAATCCCTACAAACCAGTACTTTTGAATAACAATGAGATGTTCACTGGTGACTGGCTCTATTCAGGTAGGTAGTTACCTGGGGTTCTGGTGTGAAGTCGTGACCAGTAAGGTGCAGCCGGTCGGGTGTGAAGACAAATACTCGTCAAAGATGACATTGGCTAGCAGTCGCGCTATATCGTGAATTGGCAGAAGTTAGAATTCATGGGCTGGCCATTGCATCGGGTCCCAGTGGCTGATTAATGGTCTACGAACTCACTTTGTAACCAGTAGGTCGTGGGCTCGAACCTTGGTGGGGGTGCGTACTGATGAAGAGTCCCAAACTAGGATGAAACAGTTACCCAGTATTCCCAGATTTTCCAATGGCTCTCTAACCAATGTTAGCTCATGATGAAATCCTGTAATTATACAAAAGTATAGTTTAAAATAAAACTAAACCATTTTATATTTGATCTAGAATATCTATCTACACATAATTTTCCCAATGAATAACAAACTAATTTATCAATCCTATAAAGCAACAATCACTATCAACGAAATAAATTTGGAAGAGGTTACTTCCTTCACTTATCTAGGAAATATTGTTTAAACTACAGGCTACACCATGGATCAGGATGTCAAAGCCAGTCAGGATCGAAAAGGCAAGAGAGACCTTCATCGCCTTGAGATCAGTTCGGAAATCTTCTGCACTCCTCGGCGTAGCCAACTAAATTCGGATTTTCAACGCCAATGTTAAGTCACTCAGTTCTTCTTTATGGGTCAGAAACTCGGCACACGCGTCATGGGAAACCAAATCCAAGAGGTTGCAGACTTTTATCAACAGCTGACTTCACTGGCTCTATACTGAAGATCAGACCACCGGCCAGAAAGATATAGAAACAAAAAACATTCTGGGAATGAACCAATCAAGAACCTACTGTTCAACAAATATGTAGAAGGAGATGGGGATGGATCGGACACACTCTGGGGAGACCGTTGGGTGACATCTCATGCCAGGCGATTGTCCAAGTCGAATCCTAGTGGTGAAAGACGAATTGGTCGTGTGTTCGAGGGTGATATGGAGGAAGTCTTATGAAGAGGAGATTAAAGCTTATGATCAATCGGGGGGTGGGGGCAGCTAAAGAGGACTGCAAAGAATAGGATGAATTGGAAACGTGTTGTTGAAGCACTGCATTTCACTCGGAACCCAAGGAAATAATAATGAAATAATAATAAAAGTAAAGTTTTCTTGAATAGAATCTGCGTGATACCCACGTTCTTGAATATCGCAATAATGTAAAACGTGTTCAGAGCCCATGGAGTAATAGTTAAGAATCCAAGGATTGAATCAATCAAAGTCAGCTTCATCTTGTTACAGTAACTTCTGAATTGAAATATATTTGTTATCGATTATTGATAAATACTCAGTTTTCGTGACAGTCTGGTTATTTGAATTTGCGCTATTCACATCATGGGAATTTGTGGGAATTTGATTTGTTTCAAGTGTGATTACGGATTGATATTAGTTAGATAATCAGTGAAAACCATCAGAGATTACTAGAAAACTGTTTTATTCCAGTGCTTGAAACTCATCGGCCGTTATCAAACTTGAAACAAATTAGATTCCTGAAAATTAATTCTTGAGAACTAATCTGATGGTCGCTAGTAACTGTCTAAAGGGTGGAGTTGCTTGGAGTTCAAGTGAGAAGTCCTGGCCAGTGGGTCGATTCTGTCAGAAGTGGCAACAAATGCTCGCCGACAACAATGACTGGTGGTCAGTGGCACCGAAATCACGAGCTGGTAGAATTTGGAATTCATGGGCTGGCTATTGAGTTGGGTCCAAGTGGGTGGATGGTCAACGAACTTGACTTGTAGCTGGAGTTGCCTGGGTTCGAACCCTGGCACTCGGTTGAAATGTGAAATAAAATTCATTCAAAAGTTGTAAGATGTTACAAGAAATAGGAAGAAAGGAAGTTTGATATTACCATTTTTATATGGGTAAATTATAAGTTTTTCTGTGCCACTGTGGTTAATTTTAAGCTGGATCATTTCATTACTTGACCCATGGACTTCAACGGGGAAATCTCTACCTTCTTACATGAATAACCCTGAAACCGAGTGATTCAGCGAACGCAACTATGTCCACTATTCTTTTTGTTCCAATATAGTCTTGATTATGATAATATGATAATTCTGATATAGGTAGGTAGGCATGCTTCATAGATCCCACAAATTCTGCCTAATGGTATTCAGGTTGAACGATTGGTTTTATTTCTTTGCATGATACTATGTATACTACTAGTTGGTTAATATGAGTAGTTGAATGCCACTCACATCAATTAATGATGCTTGCTGAGCAGATCTAAGTGGGAACTGAAGAGCTGGCGATTGAATTGGGTTACAGTGGCTCAATGGTCTACGACCTCGCCCTGTAACCAGAAGGTAGCTGGGTTCATGGTACTGCTGAAGAGCCCCAAACTAGGCTGACGAAACAGCTTTCCAGTACTCCCTGTTGGTTTTCCAATGGTCCTCTAACCGACGTCAGCTTATGATGAAATCCTGTAACCAATGAATAGTTTTTGTTTCCGAAGCAAACGGTGATGAGAATTTCACCTCCTCAGATTGTGTAGAAAATTGCAAATTAATTTTCAAATTGAGAATTGGATTTACATATCCGTTTTGCTATCTTACTTATCTTCTCATATGAAATTACCCTTTTCTTATGATATACATATGTATAACTTTTGTTTTTTATTTTAGATCTACAGTTGATATCTTACGTATTTATTTTAATCATGTTACTCCGTTGGTTGTCAAGTTTTGTTTCGGCAATGTTGTCTTAGCACAAGCTTTAATTCCTATTGAACAATTGCTATCAATCAATGATCATTCATTGTCTACTCCTGCTGTACTAAATCAAAGTTTTGATGTAAGTCTTCATATTTTGTGTTTATTGAGTGTATTATCATTATTCTTGTTCCCTTGGGTTCCGAGTGGAACATGTCACTTCAACAGCACCTCTTCACGTCGCCCTATTCTCAGCGGTCCTCTTTAGCTGATCCTACGAATGCTCAAAGGCCTTCATCTCTTCCTCGCGCGATCTCCTCCACACCCAACTCATCATTTCCCATTCACCTTCCGCTCGAGCGATAGCCTGGCGTCCCCCGACGATCTCCACAGCGTGCGTCCGATCCATCTCCACTTTCTTTGGAATATTTGTTGAGCAATATGTTCTTGATTGGCTCTTTCTCAGAGTTTCTTGTTTCTACATCTTTCTGGCCGGTGGTCTGATCTCCAGTATGGAGCCAACGAAGGTAGCTGTTGATAACAGTCTGCAACCTCTTGGATGTGGCTTCCGTGATGCATGCGCCAAGTTTCCGACCCATAAAGAAAAACTGACTAACTGGCTTTGAAAATCCGAATTCCGCTGTTTATAGTGAGCGTAGAAGACTTCAAAACTGATTTAAGGTTCATGAAGATCTGACTTGCCTTTCTGATTCTGTTTTTTGACATCCTCTTCCGTGTCGTCTGCCTGCGCTGAGTAGACAAGTGAAGGAAGTGACCTATTTCAGATTTCTCCCGTTGATAGTTTTTTTGAGCTTCTTGTTGTTGTTGTTGTTGGTTGGTTATCTTCATTGCCTTTGTCTTCTCTATGTTCATTTGAAGTCTTGTCTTTTCTGCTTCTTATGACAACTTTTTGGTTTTCATCCGTACTATTCGGTTTTGTTAGCGTTTGCCTAACTGATAAGTGTAACTGTTAAGTGTGTCACACTGATAGTAATTACTTGGCATTAGAAGTTAATTGGTGAATTGTGATTAGCAGTGGAATCCAGGATGTGCATTTCGTCCTATTTGGGACTGGCTCATCAGCTGGACGTACCTGCATTCTCCGGTGAGTGATGGTCTTCCCACCTTCACAGGAAAATCTAAAAAATTGAATTAAATAATTACTTGGCATCGTTTAGTTTTACTTTATTTAAATTTTAAAACAAGTAGATATTGTCTGTGACTTTCCCTTAAATTTATTTTTTGTAAAGGCTTCATATACTTTTATTGTTACATTCTGATGTCCATCAAACACTTGTGTGGAATACATATTTCTCATTACAAACTTGATTTTTAACAGGAAGAAACAGAACTCACACACACACACAACAGAATATTCTCGTATTGTTAAATTATTTTGATTACATTTATTATTTCTTAGATGACCTTTCAGTACTTATTGAATCAGTTCATACAACGCTTTTTTATGCCCTACAGCTATTCATTCCTTCTACTACAGGTTTCACCGGTCAAAATGAATAACTTTAGCTTTAGAGATGTTAAAGAAAAGCCTTTGGACTACCAAATTAGATTCTTGTAAATGCTAATTTAAACACTAATTTTCAAGAGTTAGTTTGTTGTAGAAATTTGATTTGCTTAAGTTTTGGACCACGGATTGATATCAGTTGGAGAATCATTGGAAACCTAGGGAGTACTGGATAAACTGGCCAAATTAAACTTTAAGCACCACTAACTACCGATCAGCAAACGACTTCGAATGGTCCAAAGAGGTTCATGCACGTGAGTTCAAGGTGGTATAGCGCTTGATTCGTGTCGAATGCGTACTCTAACGAACTTACGCTTGCAGTTCGAGGAGGATAAGTTTTTGCAGTATTGCCTGGATTTGGGGTTGCTTAGGAAGGAGAGGATTTGTTCATGCGGTGGTGTCATGAGTTTCAAAAGCTTTAGAAGGTCAATTGATGGATATGTCCATCGTTGTGCAATTTGTTTGAGACAAGTTAGTATTAGAGGAGGTAGGCTGATAATTTTAATATTTCATAGGAAAATGTTTTGCTAGGTCGCATCTCTCCTTAACCCAGATTTTGTATATTTGCAACTACTAGGTTTTAAAGCAGCCTGTGAGAGGCGCAGCTGCTGAAACCGAAAATGGCCTCGTATCAACAGTTCAGTGGTAGCAACACTTCAGTGACAGCGCATCATAGAAATTGGAGAGAATTACTTCGTTGTTAGGCGGGGAAGGTATCGTCGTACACATGGACGAAACTGTGTTATAGAAGAAAAAATACGACTGTGGTCGTGAGCGAGCCAACAATGTTTGGGTGATCGGTTTATGTGACACCTCCCTGCGGAAAGGATTCGTGGAGAGAATACCAGACAGAAAGTCAACTACTTTAATACTTATTATTATTAGACTTGTGAAACAGGGATCCATAGTACATACTGATGAATGGAAAGGTTATAACTCACTGTAATCTATTGGATAGATTCATCACACAGTGAACCATTCTAGTGATTTTGTGCATCCAATTACAGGGACACACAAATTCCATAGAAGAATTTTGGGGAAGATTGAAAAATAGGATTAGGACTATAAATAGTTCTCAAAAGGATACCCTGTGTCACAGTTTTATGCAGTTTTTATGCTTTTTTCCATAAATATACGTTTTCCTCAATGAAAAATCCCTCTTTCATGTGATTGGTCCGTTGAAGGTCGTTCGCTGATTGGTAGTTAGTGGTGTTTACAGTTTAACTTTGCCAATAAATTAACTCTTAAAAATTGATCTTATGCTCGCTAATGACTGTTGGCTACAGGACAAAGTTACCTGGACTTCTAGTGAGAAGTTGTGACCAGTGGGCTCTACCCGGTTGGGACTGTGGACTAATACTTGCCGATAACATTGGGTGGTGGTCGGTTGCATTAGTCTTAACTTTACCTCCTACTACACATTGCTGAGGCCATTGGGATCCACATGAAGAAACCTAACTTATGTATCCAAAAGAAGTTGGCTCAGATACTGTCCTTGCCTTGGTCATCAAGAGTTTAATGATCCTCAATTTGTTGTGGAAATTTCCTTAATTTTATTTGATATTCTATTTAATATTTTTATGCTTATTATAAATTATGCATCTTTCGTGAACTGTAATTCCATTGATCTTAATTAACAAATCAACAGTATTTAAAAAACATCAATATTGTTATTGTTAATATTCTAGAATATTCTATGTACATAAGCATATATCTATAATTGTAGAGCAAGAAGAGGAAATTATCGAAAAGAATATTCTTTGCTCAATTTTTTGCTGAATTGGTAGAAGTTGGAGTTTATGGACTGGCCACTGTATCGGGTCCCATTGGCTGAATGACTGGTCTACTAGCTCGTCTTCTAACCAGAAAGTCTTGCGTTCGAACCCCGGTGGGTTCGTACTGCCGATGAGTGACAAGCACTAGGACAAATTCAGCTGTCCAGTACTCGCCTCTGGTTTCCAATGGTTCTCTAAATGATATCAATCCGTGGTCAAATTTAAACATTAGTCGTCTTTTTTTCTTATATCTAGTATAGTGTCGCTTGTTTCTTAGCATATTAGTATCTTCACATGTCCTACCTACGATTAAAATCCAAAGTAGAATAGTAGTAGTTAATTAGTCAAGGCTACACTTAAGCAAGGTAAGAACTCATAAAGTCATGAAGAAAATAAAAGATAGATTCAGCGAAGAAAATTTTCTTTATCGACGAAATCACCTTCAGAGGTTGTACAGTCGTATTTATACTTACAAAAATATATAGTGGTCTATTATTGAGTAATAGGGGGTGACATAACTGATATAATTAATCAGAAGCGGCTTTAGAAGTGAAAATTAAAAGTTGTAAATTACCCTTTATTCTGACTCAATAGCAATTTTAACCTTATCAAATTTCTATCTTTGTTCCGTTGAGTACCACGTAGTTTACAACTTTTAATTTTAATTTTCACTTCTAAAGCCACTTCTGAGTAATTATATCAATTGTGTCACCGCCTATTACTGAATAATAGACCACTATACACTTGTGGTAAATGTAAATACGACTGTACAACCTCTGAAGGTGATTTCGTCGATAAAGAAAATTTTCTTCGCTGAATCTATCTTTTATTTTCTTCATGACTCAATTGGTATTTTCGGTGAACTCATAAAGTCACTGAAAAGTGATATTTTAACACATGTGTAGAAGTGTAGACCTCTCCGTGTAACCTGAGTCCATTTAAAAAAAAAGTTACTTATTATTGTCAATAAATAAAATACCTCAAATCAATCAGATTAATGCAACTGTATTCGCTCTTTATTTTTACCCGAAATCATGAATATATATTGTTACTCTACATTCGCATTTTAGCGTAATTTGCTCATGTCAGACAGATCACAAAGTAAATCTGTGCAAATTAAAGCTAAAAGGTCAAAATAAAAATAATTAAGTTAAATTATGTAACATGAATATGGTAAGAGAAAGTGCTGAAGACCACAAACAGCTACCATCGAGGATAATGTTTTTTCTCATGTCTTATGGAAACATACGAGTCAACAGGTTGTAAATGTTTTAAATACTCGCCAGAGTAAACAATACTAGTTGAGGTCATATTTTTACTAGATTTAAACAAATTGGATAAGTGAAACTATTTGCAATACATTGATGGAGGATTTCAGTAACCCGAATTTCGGGTAGGCCGCCAATCAGTGTTAAAAACAACAAGAAATGACGATTTTCAACTGTACAATGTACAAAATTTGAAAATTTAGAGTTGGAAAAGTATATGATCCGCGTTCCATCAGTTTCCGCATGATTTGAAATATGTTTTGAACTGGGAAAATGCTTTTATGACCACACTTAACTTTCACCGATATGAAGGATAATAATAATAATAATGCGGATGTAACGTATCGTTATTACGCTGTAAGAACCACAGAAATCGAGGTTTGAATATACAAATATTTGGCAGCTCTTCAAAACAAGTGAATCTTCATTTTAGTTTGTTTATTAGACATGTCACACAGTGAAAGAGTATTATTTACCGGATGACACATTTTCGAACACAATTTATTGTTCATAATCATCTCATCAGTTATAATCACACGACTTCGAACCTTAAGTTTTGTAGTTTTCTTTGTTCTTTCCTATTTGTCGTCGTAGGGGTAGTAGAATTCGCCAGATATCTGGGACAGGTGTTGAACCATTCCTACTACACGTGTTTGCAGTTGTCATAAAGCTGTCATCTTATCTAGATTAGTTGACCTGAATAAGATAAGGAATCTAGAGGATAGTTCAGCTATAGCACTACATGCAATTACACACAACCACACAATAGAATGGGATAGGATGACAGTTTTAAAATCCAGTATAACAACAGGGTGGAGGGAGAGATTGATAACAGAAGCTTTGTTTATCGAATCAACTGCAAATACATGTAATCGGGATGATTCAACACCTGTCCAGTCGGATATCTGGAAAAATCTACTACCCCCAGGACGATGAATATGAAGGAATAAAGAAATCTATAAAACTCAAGTTTCGAAGCCGTGTGATTATAATTGATGATATGATTATGAACAATAAATTTTGTTGACTGTGTGATATATCTAATAAACAAACTAATATGGAATTACTTACTACCACAGTGCCTAAGTTCTACACATATATTAAGTGAACTTTTAGTTTGGCATACAAACTGACTAGATTTCTTCAAGTTGCATAACACCACAAATTGCGATAAATAGCTAAACAACCATTGAAGTGGTGTGAGACAGCTGTTTCTTCCTACAATGGAAATTCTCAACACTATGTATCCATAGCCCCAACAACGATTGAATCTAGAATTTACACGTAAGTAAGTCACCATTTATTTAACCACAGTGTGTAGAAACGCTTAGTTAGCAAACTGTGTCTACTTATATATTTATTATATTGTAACGACAGAAGACAAGGGCCAAGAAACAGATCGTTTATTGAGAAAATCAACAGATATTTATAGATTTTTATGTACATTATTGTCAGCGGAGAAGCAACGACTTTTAATTGGTTGTTTTCTTGCTGAAGGTTATTCTGTACTGCTTGTTACCGTTTCTTAGAAAGTGAAGCCATATATCTGCAAATCGTATTTGCTGACGTTAAGTCTGCTGTGATTGGTTGATGAGTTCCTCAAGGGTAAGCATTCTCATGACCTCGATTCGGGACGTAAACATTGACGTCAATTGTTATCAAGAATTTTGTCTTGTAGACAGCTCTCACTACAATATAATTTTATGCTCTTTTTTCTTTTGTCCCGAAACACACTTTTAGCTTATTTCTGTAGAATCCAGCCACAACATGACAGATTATCAAAGTAAACATATTGAAGATAAACCACGTGTCAATGTTAGTATAGTACTTCGACAATATCATTCAGGAAGGCCTTCAGCACAAATGACGACGACAACACCACCACCAACAACAACAACATTAATCAATAGTAATAATAATCAAAATCTTAGGAATACATACAATATTACAGAATCGAAAAATGCTACAGATTTATCAAACAATGTTGCCTCGATGAATGTCTATTATCCTCATTCAAAGATGAATACAATGTATTCAAATTCAAATAATCAATATGGCGGTAGGTTAACTCTGATCTATTACTTCATACTAACACTAAATACTATTTTTTTTTTTTAATTTACAGATCAGCTTAAAAACTCTACATCAGAAGTAAGTCATCTCTCGATGAGTTTAATTTTTGTTGTTAAAAGAGTTGAAAATTTCAAACAATGAGGTTTGGTAATTCGATGGATGATGACTAGCAGTGGAATTCACTAGGACGCGTATTTCGTCTTACATGGGACTCGTCCGCCGGCTGGATGTACCTGCATTCCCCAGGGATTGAGTGATGGCATCCCCACTGAGACTGGAACCCAACACCCACAGTCTCAAACACCACAGAGCGTTATTCACTACACTATTTGGGCCCTGACAGCCACCTCTTGTGCAATGGTTGTCAGTTATTATTCTCTTTTTAATTCAGTTTTCTTGTTGATTGACCAGACCGAAATGTTCAGCCTCTACTGACACGTCAGCTCACTCAAGTTTGGACGTTTCGACGATATCTGAGAATTAATTTGAAGTAATTTGGTGGATGGTAATTAGAAGTTGAGTCCAGGATGTGCATTTTGTCCCATTGGAGTCTTGTCATCTGGGTGTACGTGATAATTGATAATTAATGTTTACCTAGGTTTTAAGTTCTTTTTTCACAAAAAGCACCAACGAGTGTTTTCAAGAGGTACTTTGTAGGCATCTGATTTGTTTCAAGTTTAATTACTGATTGGTATCAGTTAGAGAGAACCATTGTCGAGCGTGAGGACAACTACTCGCCGGTGACATTGGCTGATGGTAGAAGTTGGAGTTCATCAGCTGGCCATTGAATCGGCTCCTAGTGGCTGAGTGGTCTACGAGCTTTCCCTGTAACCAGAAGGTCATGTATTGGAACCCCAGTGGATGCGTACTGCCTATGAGTCCAAAGCACCAGGAAGAAATAGATGTCCAGTACTTCCTGTTGGTTTTCAATGGTTCTCTAATTGATATCAGTCCGTAATCAAACTTGAACTTGCTTCAGTTGTTGATGTACTGATGCATGGTATGACCTATTTATACCACTGTGTCGTATAATATTGAAGCGATTTTGACTGTATAAGCAGCATAGTATGTATTCATCAAGTTTCAATCCAAACACTACCACTCATTGTGATACAGGTGTATCCATCTGACAAGTCCTAAGTAGGACGAAGTACACGTCCTTGACTCCACCACTGGCCACAATTAATTAAGCAACATTGTAAGTACTTATGAGTCTAAAAGTGTCTAACTACAGATTTTTAAGTAGTAAAATAAAGTATCCGGCGTAAAATTATTATTTTCAGGAAGAAAATTTCAAACAATTCAATGGCATATTTAAATGTGAAGAATTGACACAGCCATTGAAGTTATCATCAAATTATTTCAAGTCAACAGACGACTATACACCCAACTGGCATCGTTACTGTTATACTATAGAACTTAGAAGTGTTAAAAATATTCAAGGTTTTGATAATGAATTACAACTGTATGCTAGGTAAGTGAAAAGTTTGAACATAAAATTATGTTTTTAGGATTGTTTTATAGTTTTTGTCCAATATAGCATATAAGTTGGACTAAGCAAGGTGCTTCGGTGGTTCAACAACCACGCCTAATGTGTTCCAGGGCTCGATTCCCGGCCGACACACTGCGGCCCTATTGTAACGACAGAAGGCAAGACTCAGGCAGCAGATTATTTATTATGGAAATCAACACATATTTATAGATTTTCATGTACATTATTATAGATTATTGTTAGCTGACAAACACCGTTTTCTGATCGGTTAATCTTTCATCTCTTTGCTGCTGTCTCTTGAGTGTCAGATCATCTATCTGCTAATTGTATCCGCCTACGCAAAGTCTGCTGTCCGTCTCTGATCTTGTTTTCACATGGCTAATATTTGAGACATAAACATTGACGTCAATTACTGTCTACCAATTTGGCTAGCAGCCAGCTCTCACCACACTATAATCTACTCAGCATGCAAGGGAATAAAATAATATGGTGAGCGATATGCCATTATTGTGTGGCGCATCCTTCTTGGTGCCATATTGTACCAAGTTTTAATGCGTTTAAATAAAATAAAATAAAAAAAATGCCATTTTGCATGCATCTTAAACAGTGTTCGCCTGGCATTCCCACTGCCAACATTTTAATTTAATCGCACTTGAGATTTACTGTTGAATGTGACTCTGGTTGACTATGAATTTTTAGGGATTTATTTGTTAACAGAGAGAAATGTCGTTGATCTAATAAAATATGTGGATGATATTGTCCTTCCATGTGCAGACACTGGCAAAGTGCTGTGTCATCTGAGCCTCAGAAGAAACACTAGTAATAGAAACTCTACAATACCTTATTTGACACATGACACAAGAAGAAAGACTAACTCAACAACCAATCACAGTAGACTTTGCGTGGGCGGATACGATTAGCAGATATATGGTCTGACCTTCAAAGAAACAGCCACAAAGAAATGACAGAATAACTTTCAGTGAGAAAACAACCAATCAGAAGACGCTGTTTCTCTGCTAGTAATAACGAATAATAATGTAAATAAAAATATGTAAATATCTCTTGATTTCCCTAATAAAAGATCTGTTTCCTGGCCCTTGTCTTCTGTCGTTACAATTTTCAGGGAAAGGAAGTAGTTTGAACTCCTAGGAAAGTGATTTTCACCATTTTTTCAATAGGTATGCTGGTAAACAGTGAAAAGTATCGTATGACACAATAAGTTTGTCTAAAATATTCATTTGATCTAATTCTTAGTGATATAATGAGACTCCAAGTGAACAGGTCAAAAAATGATCCAATGATATCCATCGAAAAGAGAGTAAGCCACCATCTCAAGGAATTGATTAAAGAAGGACTAATTGACAACATCACATATAATGACCTGAAAACGAGGGTTGCAAACGTACTGTTCATGTATGGTCAACCCAAATTTCACAAATTTGATGTGACATTGAGACCTATAATGTCAATAGTGAAATCACCATGCCATAAACTGGCTAGATGATTGGCACAAAAGTTGATAGTCCACAGTATCAAGAATTCCTTCCAATTCTCACAAGAATTAGATTAACTGAATACTTCATAAAGACTTCTTGTGTCGTACGATGTTTGTTCACGGTTTACTTGTGTAACAGCAGAAGGTAAGAAACTCGGTAACGGATTCTAATTATTGAGGAAAAACATCATACATTAACAGTCGGCTAGGTTAGAGGGGAATAAATTGTTCTGATTGGTTGGCCCAAGGTTAAACAAGTTGTCCAATGAGATTATTTCATTCATATCCAGAAAGCAAACTGACTAAATCCAGCCATTGACTTGGAATGTTGATTTCAATTTTTGGCCGCTTCCTATCAATCTGTATCACACCACACTACCGCATACCAGCTGAAGAAGAAATGGTGAAAATCATATACCAGAAGTTTGAACTACTTCCTCTTCCTGAAAATGACCTACGTTTCTTTTTCTGCAAATTTATTTCGTTCTTTCTTTGTTCAAACCAAAATAAGGGCAACTGTTTGTATATTGTTATTCCCTTGAGTTCCGAGTGGAACATAGGGCTTCAACAACACATCTCCATTTTGTCCTATCTTCTGCTGTCCTCTTCAGCCTGGACCACGATTGCCCACAGTCCCTCATCTCCTACTCACACGATCTCTTCCATGTCTCCCTAGGATGACTCACTTGTCGCTTTTTACTGAGATTCCAATCGAGGGCCCGGCGCGCAATGTCATTCGACGGTCTCATCAGTGTATGCCCGATTCATCTCCACTTTCTCCTACACATTTTTGAGCGATGGGCTTTTGGTTGGTTTGTTCCCGAACTTTTTTGTTACTGATTCTTTCTGGCCAGCCATTTGATCTTCAGTATGGAGCCAGCGAAGGTGGCAGCTGTTGATAAAAGTCTGCTATACTGGTTGTATATAGTAAATCATTATTGCATTAGAATGTCATAATGTAATCACTTTGTAGGCATCCGAATCATGTGTATTTGATAATGAGCATTATTAAAGTATAATATGTATATACCTTTCACATTTCAGATATGTATATCCATTATTCGGAAGCGGAGCACCAGTTATGACACTTCCACCCGTTTCAGTAGCTAGACATCAAGAAGTTATTTTGCCTCATGGATTTTGTGCCTTTGAATTCGCTGCATCTCCTGATGAAGTTAGTTCAAAAATTAGAAGTTTTGTTTTCGATATATACATGTATATGTTCGACTTAATCAAAATTGTATTTGTCATATTTGTTTTAAGTGTATGTTTGTTTAATGAATCACCTTGTCGGTGTATAACTGTGTAGAACATTCCCTGTGTAAATCCCCCGGGTTGCTAAGTTTTCTGCTAAAAACCTGTTTAAGTGATACTATTCTCGTTCGATGTATATCAAGGGGGTAGGTACACATCAGTTATACCCGTAAACAGGTCTTTCGCTAACTTTTGTCTAAGTAACATATGTTTTCAAAAGAATGGTTACTGAACAAAGAATATTCTTTTCGATAACCTGCTCTTCATCAGGTTCTACAGTTATATATACATTATGGTGAATGAATAACATCGAATCAATAATAATATCAATAGATTACTGTTCAATAACATCAACATGACAATGCACTGAATGAATATTAGAAACATTAGGAAAGATAATAATACAAATTTATGAATTTATAATCTCCACTGAAGGCCGATCAGGGCAGTGGTAGTGGCTGGACTTGCTTCTTTTGAACACAGAGCACTGGTTATCTGAGGCAAATTGCAATAGCCTCTGCTGTTTGGAGCATGCGGTGCTTCGATGTTTTTGGCAATATATTTGGCACCTGGTAGATGATAGAGAAGGATTCTTCAATGCTGGCTGGCTTTGTGGCCGGCCGGTTTGCACCAGATGGTCCAATATCGAACTGTTGATGGTTTTTACTACACCTTTGCTTAGCCATGCTGGAAGATGTTCTTGAGTGAGCACGAAAAATCAAGTTCGTAGAGCAATGACCGATATAACTCGCTCCATAAGCTCAGTTGAATTGGAAGATACAATTAGAAGTGGCTAGCTTGTCTAGGTACTTCATCTTTCAGTCGAGGTAGCACCATCGGCCGTGTAGAGAATAATACGTGTAGTTCGCCAGCACTAAAAGTTCTTTGAACTGCTTTTCTTAATTTCCTTGTAATTATTTCACTTCGTATATCGCCCTTGAATTGCAGTCGTATATAAAGAGGCTTCTTCTTTACGGATAGTGAGTAGTCCTTTTCCGTTATCATTATATATTATTTCCGATATTATTTAAACAACATCAATGTTATTCATAACACTAATTCATTCATTCACTATAATGTGTAGATATAACTGTAGAGGCTGATGATGAAGGGGTTATCGAAAAGAGTATTCTTTGTTAAGTATCCATTCTTTTGAAAATTTCAATGGGCATTTTTAATCAGTTAATATATGTTTACTGCTCGCGATAAGCACACTTTTTTCAATGCTCGATAAAAATTACAATGTAATTCCATTTTAATTTGTTTATTACATATATAACACGCACAATGAAACAGTATTATTTACTGGTGCAAGACGCAATTTTGAACACAAGTCATTCCTCTCAATCACATCGTCAGGATGTAACTATACAATTTCGAAACTTTCGTTTTTACAGTTTTCTTTATTCCTTCCTATTCATCATCCTAGGGGATAGTAGATTTGTCCAAATGTCCGGATGGATAGGTGTTGAATCATTCCTATTGCACATATCCTCAGTTGATTCGGTAAATAAAGCTGCTTCAGTTTATCAATCTCTCCCTCCAACCAGCTGTTTCATCAGATTTTAAAACTGTCTGTCAGCTTATCCCATCCATCCTATACTGTATGATTGTGTGTATGCGTAATTGTATGTAGCGAGTACTTTAGCTGAACTATATTCTCCAGATTTCTTATCTTATTGGAGTTAACTTATCTAGATTTTGCTACTAGTTTTTTATGCTCCGCTAGTTTGACCTATGTATTTGACCTGGCAATCGTCATTCCAGAGTATTAGATAAACCAAATTATTTTGTTTAATAGGCAACATAGGATTCTTCTACTAAAAAAAATTATTTATAAGTGATTTTGTGGGTTTGAATGGCAATGTTAAGAATCCTACGAAAGATTCACCAGGTTCCTTCTTTGCATATAAGTGCTGTGGTGGTGTGATACAGATAATGTGTGCCAACAGAATATTATTCTAATTATTATTATTATTATTATTATTATTATTATTATTATAGATATTTAGACTTTAATTCATCTTGTCCGTTGTCTGTAAAGACCGGCCTAATTAAGTGTCTAACAAACCTACCAATACCACTAAGTAGTACAATGAAAAACCTATATGATAAAATAAAACAGATAGAAGAAGCGTTGGTATCGAATAACTATCCTATAAAATTCATTAAGAAGATCAGTAAAGGCCAAAAGCAAAATGAAAATAATTGTGAAACTAGTAATGATAACTTAAATAAGAGAGAATATAAGTCATCTACTGTTATAACATATAAGGAGGGGACATCTGAGACCCTACGTAGGATTCTTAATAAAGCAGGAATTAGGGTGGCATTCAAATCTACAAACTCACTTAGGTAGGACAAGCTGTGTAGGCTGAAAGACCCAGTGGACCCAATTAAACAAAATACCATGCAATGACTGTGAGTTAAATCAACTGCATAGGTCAGACTAGTAGATCGGGGGTAATCAGATTGTCGGAACATAAGAATTAAGCTGAGGTTAGAATGATTGACCCCATCCATAAACATAAGTAATTTAGAAAAAAGCTCATCAATTGTCCTGCATGCATTAACAAACAATCACACAATAGGGTAGGTGGGAGAGGGTTAAAATTCTAAGAAGTAATCTATGTGGGTGCAGAGAAAGAGTCGGTTCATCGAATAATCTACACCCAACACATGCAACAGAAATGACTCAATGCAAATACCAAAGTATGGAAGATATTATTACCACCAGTCAGTCAAATCAGAGGAGGATAATAAATAATCCCAAAATTCTATTTCAATTCATGTACATCATAACATTATAACAAGTTGCTTATTTTGACTATACAAAAACACTCGTCTGATTTCCCATCTGATTGTATTTGATCAATAACACTCATTATTTTTGAATGTACATTATCCTATATTGGTTTTTATTCAAATACCTAGTCAATTCCACACATGTATATAAATGAAGTTAGAAAGTTGTGTGAGTGACTTGATATGATTATGAGTGGCAGTAGTTTGTGCTCGAAACGTGGTCATCAGTTAATATTACTGTATAACACTGTGTGATTTTTCAAAATAAAATCTTATCTGTAATGGAGTTATACTCTACCACAGTGCCCAAGTTTTATACTTATATTATTCTTACATATTCTCACAGTTCAATTTGACATTAGCAACATAATGTGATATATCTATTTAATGTTAGAGGCAGAATACTATTCCCACGGTTATATACTGCATTAACAAAAGAATACTATGAATATTTAAACATTCTATTTTATGTCGTTTGATGTAAGCGGAAATCACACACTCAGTGATTGGTTAAAGAATATAAACTGTATAGATATAAACATGCACAGCAGTTAGATCAATGGAAAATATACCTTGGCTTCTGTGTCTTGTCTTCTGTTGTTACAGTACTACTGATGACATCAGTTCTTTATTGTTGTTGTTATCATTCCGTATATGTTTGTCATTCATGTCATTACTATTATGATTATCACTATTACTGCCATTGTTATTATTATTGGTTAATTTCATTCTTACATTTTCTTATATACTTCTTGATTAATTTGTCAGAGTAATTATTAAATTTTAAAGTTTCTCTTATATGCCTTATTTCCTGTCTTAGATTTTCTTTGGTACTATTCAGTTTTTATGTCCTACTATATAAGCATTTTACCAATTCTATTTTCACAATCAGACTAGCGGAGCATAAAAACCTAGCAGCAAAATCTAGATAAGTTAACTCCAATAAGATAAGAAATCTGGAGCATAGTACATACAGCTACAGTACTCACTACACGCAATTACGCACACACACAACCATACAGTATAGGATGGATGGGATAAGATGACAGACAGTTTTAAAATCTGATGAAACAGCTAGGTGGAGGGAGAGATTGATAAACTGACTGAAGCTTTATTTACCGAATCAACTGAGAATATGTGCTATGGTAATGATTCAACACCTATCCATCCGGACATTTGGACAAATCTACTATCCCTAGGATGATGAATAGGAAGGAATAAAGAAAACTGTAAAAACGAAAGTTTCGAATTTGTGTAGTTACATCTTGATGATCTGATTAAGAAGAATAACTCGTTTTCGAAACTGTGTTATGCACCAGTAAATAATACTGTTTCATTGTGCATGTTATATATGTAATAAACAAATTAATGTGGAAATACAAACTACCACAGTGCTCAAGTCTTACTTATAAATATTAAACTTACAATATATTACAAAATGTGAGTGATATAAATCCCTTAGCACTTATAATCAAGTTTGGGTTGATGGAGCGTTTGACTGTCAACTCAAACCATCTGATTAGATGCAGGTCTCTTGACTGAGATTTATTTATCATACAGCGGAAACAACAGGCGCTTAAGAGTTCTAAGTGACACTAGCCAGCAACCAAACGAAAGACGTAGGATTGGTTTGTATCTTACAATATAAACATTCTGATTTCTCTCCTTTGTTTCTTATATATTTCTTCTAGTGTATGCAGTGTTGTGATATATGTGTACCTTAAAATGTAGTATTTTGAATTATAGTAACATCACCTGATACAGCTCCAACAGAAGGTCTTCAATGATATCTGTTTCTTTAAGACTCAACTGTGTTTTCTTGAATTTTTCTGTATATGCATTGTTTTGAGGATCGATAGCTTAGATAAGATTCACTTTCTCGTGATGTTTATGTCATGCTTGAGTGTAAATTAAACTAGCGCATTCTCAACTAATAATTTATTTCTTGTTCGACCACGAGTCGATATCAGTTAGAGAACCATTTAAAACCAGGGAGTACTGGATAGCTGTTTCGTCAGCGTAGTTTAGGACTCTTCAGCAGTACGCACCGCCTAGGTTCCGAACGCAGGACCTTCCGGTTACAAGGCGTGCTCGTATACTTCAGCCACTGAGATCGGATTCACTGGGTCATGAATTCTAACTTCTACCAATCCTTGACGAAGTTGACTGAAGTTCTAGTCAGAAGTCGTGACCATTGGGGTCCATCCAGCCGGGAGTGAGGATGGAACTCCCGTCGATGACATTGTTTGGTGGTGGCGTTAAAATCACGAATTGGTAGAAGTTAGAATTCATGGACTGACCATTGAATCGGGTCTCAGTGGCTGAATTGCTTACGAGCGCTTGATATATAACCGGAAGTTCCTGTGTTTGAATCTCAGTTGGTCGGTGTGTACTTCCAATGAGTCCCGAGCATTAGGACAAAACAGCTGTCCAGTACTCCTAACTGGTTTTCAATGGTTCTCTAATTGATATTGAAACAAACAGAATCCCTATAGATTAATCCTTGAAAAATAATAATTTATTCACGTACAACAATTAATTCAGTAGTAAAACAAGCCTTTATATATCATAGATAATCTATCTACTATTTTTTTTTTTAAATTTATTATAATTACAGCTAAAAACTCGATTAACTGAAAATCCATTGAATGTTGAGTTTTTCGATAGATCACAAGGTTCTGTATCAATGGATTTATCTATCGGCTTTGCAACTATCCCATTGGCATCAGTCTTTGAGTCACCTATCACTAAAGGTCAGTAAATAATAATAACCACAAATGTTTTTTTTTAAGATTTTCTTATTGTTGAATGTATTTATTATCATTACTATTATTATTATTCCCTTGGGTTCGGAGTGGAATTTAGGGCTTCAGCAACAAATCTCTATTTAGTCCTATTCTCTGTAGTCTTCCTTCAGTTGGCCCTACTATTGCCTATAAGCTCTTATCCCCTCGTCACATGATCTCCTCCATGTTACACTTGGACTCATGTACAACTCGTGGTTTCCCCCATCGGGAAACACTCGAGCGGTGACCTAGTGTGATACTTACAAAACGGTAGATGACGAAGACTTGGTTAATAAATGTTCAAATAGGAAATTGGTATCTGTATATAGCCCAATTATGTACACCTTATCTTCAACGAGCCATTTGCATAGACCTTCGTGTTGTAGTACTTCTGGACTTCATGTTGTGTTTCTCTGTGTTCCTTTCACGTCTCCCATGTATCTTTACAACGCTGTATCATCTCCCTTCTCTGGAATCAAATGTATCTCCTACTATCCCATGTTTTTATGTCGATGAACGTCTCTTTACATACTCTCTGTCTGTCTGTTTTCGACACAGAACTTTGCACATATGTGCGGCAGTTCAAGTCGCCACACTCCATATAGCACACAAAGCAAGAGAAGAAATTAGGAGAAATGCATAGTAGAGACAGTAGACAGAGGTGTAAGACAAAGGTATAGTAATAACGAAGAACAATATAGTTTAATTGGAAATCATAAGTCACAAGGAGTGGATTCATCTGCGCCACTGAGAACGATTTTGAGCCATGTCAACAATTGTTTTCAACCATTGGGTTTTTACCGTCCCGAGGACCCCAACCTGCTGGAAGTCTACACCTTCCTACGTGACTGGCTTAAACTAACTGTCGTGGATTTCGTTGACTGGTGTAGCCATGTTTTGGTTTGACCGCCGCTAGCTCTTTTCCAGCCTGACCCTATGTCAGCTAACATTGCCCGTTGGTCGAGAAAGGCAATGACTAGGCATACGTAACACATGTCCTAACCATCTCAGTCGGTATAACTTTACAACCTCGTCGATTGATTTCCCCTCCTTACCTAGCACTCGACGCCTAACCTCAGTATTGCTCACCTTATTATACCACTTCACACGGGAGATAGAACGCAGACACCTATGATCAAAGACAGCTAATCTTTATATACTACTGATAAATCTTACCAGCAGCACTGGCCACACTCATAGTAATCAATTTATTAAATTCTCTGAATGTCAAGATGAATTTCAATTTACGAATATTATGCACAAAAAGTATTGGTGACTGTTTAGATAAAAGCGTCAGTGAGTATGTTATCCTTCAAATAATTAAATGGAATTTAATGTCTATGTATATGGTAAACTTCATAAACGTTGATTAATGAACAAAGAATATTCGCTTCGATAAATTCATCATCAGGTTCTACACTTATATGACCATAATAATTAGAGAATTATTGTTGTTAACAACATTAATGGTGTTTTAAGTTACTCTGAATCAATGGCATCGACAGGTGAGTACACTACAAAAGTGGAATCGGTAATAGAGAGAGAGAGAGATAATATGCATGTAATAATGTAACACTAAACTGACTGAATATCAAACAACTTAAGGGAAGTAACAGAGGATTAATAAATCTATAGATTCGACAGTAGGCCAAGGTGGCAATAGTGACTGTCTGTTAACTGTTTGTTTTGCACACAGAGTTCCGGTTGTTTTAGGCGAATTACAATGGCCTCTTCTATTTGGAGTATTCGGTATTCAGAGGCCTTTGGTAACTTATTCAATATCCGATAGATGATAGAGGATAACTCTTCAACACTTACTAGATAGCTTTGTGGTCTGTTTTGACGAGGTGATCCAATGTAGAACACCTTTATTTACCCACACATTGGTAAATGTTCTCGAGAACGGAAAATTAGTTTATTAGAGCAACAGCCAGTATAAGTGACTCAGCAGGTGTAGTTGAATTGATGAATAAAACTACACACGACTGACACTATTTGGAATAAGCTACCAGCATCTACCGTGTATTGTCAGTCATCTCTGTTTGTTGTACATTAAAGCGTCATATTTTCATTATGGGTATAATTTATTTTGATAAAGTCTCACAGTGTTGTTATACAGTAATATTTACTGATAACGACCTTTCGGGCACAATTTATCGCTGCTCATAATCATATCAAGGTACTCACAACTTTCTAACTTCGTTTATATAATTCCATTATTTTCCATCGCTTGATTTTACTGGTAGTAGTATTTTCTATATTTCCGGTATGAGTGACGAGTCATTCCTATTGCACGTGTTGGGTGTAGACTCTGTGAACAAGGACCTACAGACCTACAAACTCACTCATGTAGGACAAGCTCTGTAGGTTAAAGTACCTAGTTGACCCAATTAGACAAAATAATAATTTACAAAATATATTGAAATCACCGTGAGGTCAACTACATAGGTCAAACTAGTAGATCGTGGGTAGTCAGACTGTCAGGACATAAGAATTTAGCTAAAGTAAGAACGGTTGACCCCACGAAGTTAAGTAATTTAGAAAAAAGCTCAGCAATTGCACTGAATGCATTAACACAATCACACAATAGGATGGGTGGGACAGAGTCAAAATTCAGAAAAGTAATATAAGTAGGTGGAGACAGAGAGGTTGATTACTGAATCCTTGTTCATTGAGTCTACATCCAATACCTGCAACAGAAGTGACTCATCACTCATACCGGAAATATAGAAAATACTACTACCAATCAAGCCAAGCGATGAAAAATAATGGAATTATATAGACGAAGTTATAAAGTTGTGTGAGTACCTTGATATGATAACGGTGAGCAGTAATAAACTGTGCTCGAGACGTGGTCATCAGTAAATATCACTGTATAACAACACTGTGAGACTTTATCAAAATAAATTTTACCCACAATGGAATTATACTCTCTACCACAGTGCACAAGTTCTCTATTCTTATATCAATGTGATAACTTCAATCATTAAACTGTTGTACCCCACACTTTTTGTACTTTCTGTTGTCTATTTTCTTTTTCTAGCTACCAAAGCATCCTCTACTCTAGTAAGACGTATAAATGGTTGTGTGAATGTATTAGCGAATCAAAGTAGTGCAAATGAATCAAAAACTATCGGCCAGCTTGTTTATTCTCTACAATTGGAAGATTTTGGTATGCATTCTGTGAACAGCAGTAGTTGCGTTGTAGACACAACAAATGAATATGTTAGTCGTGTGGCTGATGACAGTAAGGTATGTAGTTGATAATTTTGATTTCAGGTATAATTTTTTCGGACGATTTGGGCAGCTTTTTATTATATTATTATTGTTTCCTTTAATTCCTAGAGGAACATAGGGCTTCAGCCAAGCACGTCCCCATTGCGTTCGGTTCTCTGCTATAGTCTTCACCTGGCTCCAAGTCTGCCCACACATTTTCATCTCCTCTTCACATCACCTCCTCCAAGTCACCCTTGCACTGACGACCAACTCGCCGCTTCCCTTTCGGGTTCCACTCGAGCAATGGCTTGTCTAGTGATGTCACTTGATGGTTTCCTCAGAGTATGGCCAGTCAATCCATCTCCATTTCTTCCTGCCTATTTGTTTCACAATCGGTTCCTGGTTGGTTCGCTCATTGCCAGAGATCCCTGTTGCTGATCTTTTCTGGCCTGCCATCTGATCTTGAGTATTGAGCGAAGACAACTGTTAATGATATTTTGTGGATTTGTTTGAATCGTAGTGTTGGATTGGGTAGCCGCTTTTTGTATAACCGCTATCCAGACAACCTTTCTGGCATGGTAGGACCTACAGGAACATAAGTTCCAGCCAGTATAGCTCGTTGGGTCATTGCGATATGCAAGCCCGACCACCACGTCAAAGTAGCAGCTATCGGTCTGGGGCAGCTATTTAGCAACATTAATCCCCATACAAATGTAGCTTAGTTACTTAGTGAATGTAGTTCCTCAATGACATTTGCATTTACTCGATGACTCAACAGTAGAATGTTCGCCAGGTTCCAGGTTCGATTCCCGACCGATGCACTCATAAAGCTTGCTTAACTTACTGGTCGATCCTCATTTCAACACCTGGCTATATGACAATGTCATTTGTCAAGTGATTCACAACGGAAAACTCAGCGAAGCGTTCGAAGTGAATACACGAGGAGGACAAGGCTGCCTATCTACTATCACCGATGATAATCCTTATTGTGGTCGAGTGGATTATGCGCCAGACTGTTGGGGGGCTAGGAGTCAGGAATACCCTGGATGACCGATAAGGAGACTCTAGAAGATTTGAATTTTGAGGATGATTTATGTATAATGACACAGAAACCCTAAGACTTACAGGTGAACGCCAACAAATGGGCACAAGAAGAAGAAGTGGCAAAGACAAGACTTCCTGGAAACATGGAGAACGCTGAGGTGTTTAAGATATATAACCAACAATAAAAACGTGTATCAGTCGCTATCAACGGGAGAAATTTAAAGGAGGTCACACCCTTCACTTATCTACACAGAGTCGTTTCAATTACAGGTGACAGCTCGAATCAGAATGTCAAAACCAAAATCCGAAAGCTAAGACAGACATTCATCATGCTTAAACCAGTCTGGAGGTCTTCTCCACTCAGAATAAACAACAAAATTCGGGCAAGAGTATACAATAGACACCAAAGTCAAATGACCTTGATTTGATCAATCAGACAGCTCGGTATTACAAATGGTTGCTAGTCATTTTTCAGACACTTTCTTCGCGAAATTAAAGCTCTCCCTTAGTAATATATATTGCGTAGATGCAACCAGTATCTGCTACGGCTGGAGAAATAGACAGTACATTGGTTTGATATGTCTATAACCACTTCTTATATGGGAATCTGGGACCAGGTTTTGCAGTATATTAGAGATCTATATCCTATATGATTCATTTTTATTATATGTATCGTAGATACACTTCTTTGTGCATTAAATACCACTATTCACCGAGAAGAATCTGATTGGCCAAGTCAAGGTCATTTGACTTTGGTATCTATTGTTTACTCTTGCCAAAATTCGAATTTTTAACACCAATCTTAAGTCAGTCAGTACTTCAGTAGGAGTGAGGAACTTGGCTCATACGTCAAGGAAAGCATTTCCAACTGGTGGCTGTAGACTTTTATCAGCAACTGCCTTCTGTGGCTCTATGCTGAAGATCTAATGGCTATCTAGAAAGAATTAGCAACAAAAAACTCTGGAAACTAATGAACCAATCAAAAAACGTATTACTCAACAAATATGTAAAAGAAAATAGAGGTGGATCGGACACACATACAGAGGAAACCGTTGAGTGACCTCGCGTGCAAGGCCATCGCTTGAGTGAGATTCAAGGGGAAACGATGGGTTGGGCGTGTATCCGAGTTCAACAAGGAAAGGATCGTGTGAGGAGGAGATGAGAGACGGTGAGCAATCGCGGGGCCAGCCGAAGAGGACAAAATGAAGAGGTTCTGTTGGAGCGCTATGTTCCACTCGGCACCCAAGCGAACACTGACAATAATAAAATTTGCTAGTCGGCAGCAAGCCTTGAAAGATTGAACTTTATGTGTGACGTTACAAACTCCACTCTGTAAAATGACAGAGCCGTTACTGTAACTTCAAGCGTTAGCATGAAAAATAAATTCTGATAGATAAGATGATGTCTGTTAAAAATTGGTTGCCAACATCAAGCACCCAACAGGTACCTTATTGTCTTAGTGTCAGCGATCAGAGTGATGAAAGAGCTCATGGAATGTGATGCTCTCAAAATCTCAATCCGGTGTGTTAATTGGTAGATTGGCAGAAAAATTCCTGATTATTTTAAAGTTGTTTTCTTCTAATGCATTTGCTAAATTTTGAATTTCGATGTAATGTTCCCTTAAAGAACTTTCAACCGAAAGGCATTAGTATTCTATATCACAAGTGTGAATTTCATGCAACCGACCAACCGACCGAACCTCAGAGACGCGCTGACTTTATCTGTGTTTGAGATTCTAGCTGAGAAGGCTGAGTAATGATCATTCTGTTTCTTTATTTTTCTAAAAATTCGGTTTTTGATTTCTACGTTGATTGATTATGCTGAAATGTTTGGCCTCTGTAGACATGTCAGCTCCTAATGCGGACGCTTTGAAGATGTTTGAGGATTGAATTGAAGTAATTTGGTGGATGGTGACCAGTAGTGGAATCCAGGATCAAAATCGAAAGTCAAAATTGAATGAAGAAAATAATGAGTGAAACTCTTTGCACAAGAGTTGGCTGACGTGACCCAATTAGTCTAGTGGGCAACGCTTCGGTGTTTGAAACGCCAGGTAGTGGATTTTAGCCCCAGCGGAAACACCACCACTCACTGGAGAATGCAGGTACATCCAGACGACGAGCCTCAAGTAGCACGAGTCGCGTATCCTGGATTCCACTGCTAGTCTTCATCTACCAAATCAATTCCGTTTCTTTACTCATATTTCGTGTGCATATTTAGAAGCGAGGTAACTTGAAGAAGCTATTAGCGTTTGTGCAAGGATCTATGTTGATACGTCAGGTCAATTAACAGCAGGTCAGAAAGTTTCTATTGCTTACCTCATGATTTGAGCTGGGACCCTCAAGATACTAAGAAGTAGGGGATATTTGGTGACATAGCTCACTCCTTGTGATCACTGCAGATTCTGAAAGTCTTCCTTATGCTTTGCATAATTACTTTTTCACCCGTAGCGGGCTTCATCTATTAAAAGTATCGCTGCACCCTTTCCTTCACCCAACATTTACCTGCATTTTCTTTTGTAATTCTCAGTGAATAAGCCATTGTTCATTTGCAAATGATACTTTAGCTCTGTTTCCCCAAAAAGAGTTCCAAGGATTCAATGAATGATTGGCAAGTAGTTTATTTCTCACAAACCAATGTAGAACAACATCTTTTCGTTGAGAATTATAATCTCTTAGCAAATTTATAGGTTTAGAATCAGTTGCATTTTCTTCATAATTTATTTGCCATGATCCAATTCACAAATCTTTACTGTCATGATCTGAGTAACAATTGATAGACTACAGATAATCAATGCGCAGAACAAAACTGAGTAAAATTCAACTTTGAGCTAAGCTTGCTGATAAAATTGAAACGGAAGAAGATAAGAAACTCGCTAACGGACTCTTTTTATTGGAGAAAAACATTTCCAACCACCTTAACAGTTGGCTAGGTCAGAGGAGAATAAATCGTTCTGATTGGTTGGCCACTGGTCTGCTCAAGGTTAAACAAATTGTCCAATGAGGTTATTTCATTATTATCCACAAAGTAAACTAACAAAATGCAGATTTGAGGAATGAACACTTCTACCTCTGCAGTCAGCCATTGACCTAGAATGTTGATTTGAATTTTTAACGGCTTCCTATCAATCTGCATCACGCCACTAAATGTCTTTTATTGACGTTGTTGTCTTGCTGAACTAGCTTAACATACTTTTATACTTCCATTCAAACGCATATATATATTGAGTTATAAATACTGAGAAGTATTATGGTTATTTCTAATTGACCAAGTTTTCCTTCATCTGCGTATTATCTGTTTGCTTATAATGTCTTATACTGGGACCCTCATCTATTCAAACTGCAACTTACGTGGACTGTTTCTCTTATTCTACATTTCAACTTTAAATTCATCCCATCGGTGGGTTTTAGGGAACAAATTTTATTCAATATACTGTATGAATGCGTCGATGATTCAGCTGTAGAACGTTCGCCAGCCACGCCTCATGTGATCGATCCGTGGTTCGATTCCCGGTCGACGCACTCCTAAACCTTGCTAAGCCAGTAAAGAGAAGGAAGGTTGGGCCTGGGGCTAGCAACCCTACGCCGTAAAAATAAAAAACCACTGCCACCGAAACTTCAAAGCCCTATGTTCCACCTGGAACGCAAAAGAAATAAAAATATTTTTTGTTTATAGTATTTTATTTACTGTGCTATGTTTGTAATGTATATGTACATACAGAGAGAGATTTATTATACACTGTCTGTTATTCAATAGCCTACGGAACCTTCAGATATTCGATCAACTCGAGAATATCAAGTTGCTATGGAGTTAGAATTATGGCGTGCAGCAGAAGAAGCAAAATTTACTGCTCAACTGAAGAAACGTGAACAAGCACTGATGGCTACACTGGCTGAAGAATGGCACAAAAGAGATAGTCAACGTGAAATTATTTGTCGTAAGAAAGTAAGCAGGCTGACATTCCTGTCAGTTGGTTTATTATAAATATTATTTCGTTAATATTGTGTACTGATGATGAGTCCCGAACTGGGACGAAACGGCTATCCACTACCACCTGCTTCCCAATAATTCTGCAACTGATATCAATCCGTAGTCAAGACTTGAAGCAGATCAAGTGCCTGCATACTAACTCTTGAAAATTGATCTGATGCCCGCTAGTGACTGTTGGCTACTGGATGAGGTTGACTGAAGTTCTAGTGAGATGCTGGTGACATTAACTGGTAGTCACGCTAAAATCATGAATTGGTAGAAACTTGAATTTTATGGGCTGGCGATTGGTTCGGGTCTCGGTGGCTGAGTGTTCTACAAACACGCATTGTAATTGGAAGGTCCTGGGTTCGAACCCCATTGGGTGCGTTCTGCTGATGGGTCCCAAGCACTGAGAGGAAACAGCAGTCCAGTACTCCTTGGTTTCACTTGGTTCTGTAACTGATATCATTGTGTGGTTCAACCTGAAATATTTTAGGTTGTTGCGATAACCTTGTTATTCCTAATATGTTAGTACTAGGTCAAATGGAAAGTTGTATCAACCTAAAACAAACTAATTGCTGACTGAAATTGATCACAGAAACAGAAGGCCCTTTTGAACATAAATTATCAGTTTATGGTATCTTTGATGTTGGCGAGGTATACGGCTATGTTGTGCGACAGTTCTCTCTACACTACTTCACAGCTTTAAAATATCACTATTAAGAGTAGAAGACATCGGTTGATTACAAGATCCCATCGATGGGAGTTACTAGGTATATATATATATATATGTCACCATTATAGATAAAGTTTTATTTTGATAAAATCACACAGTGTTATACAGTTGTAATTAATAGTGTTCTCTGAGCTGGTTGGTTTAGTTGCGGAGCTTTTGTCGTCCTTCTGGACAACATCTACAGCGCAATATTTAGCATAAAGTGAAATGATTTAAATTTCTTCATGAGTGATATAATTGCGTCTCCCGGTAACCATCTTTACATATGTATTGATCATTTTCTGTACAGTTGTATCAATGAATGACAACGTTTCGAGCACAATTTATTCCTGCTCATAATCATATCAAGGTACTCACTTAACTTTCTTGCTTCATTTATATATATATATATATATATATATATATATATATGAGTGAAAACTGACTAGACATTTGAGTAAAAATCAATAAAAGTTCAATAGACATGCGTGTGAAACAGAAAGGAAGATAAAGTACATTCGGAAAAAAATATCAGTGCTGTCAATAAAATACAACAGGATGGGGAATAAAACAAGTGTTACTGGTCAATAAGATGGAAAATAAGATGTTTTTATGGTAAAATAAAATAAGTAACTTGTTAGAATGTTAAAATGTGTGTGAATTCAAATAGAATTTTAAGATTATTTATTATCCTTCTCTGATTTGACTGACTGGTGGTAATAATATCTTCCATATTTCTGGTATTTGCATTCAGTAATTTCTGTTGCATGTGTTGGATGTAGTAGGCTCGATGAACCAGGCTGAATTCAGTAATCAATCTCTCTCAATCTTCACATACCTATATTACTTTTTGAGAGTTTTGACTCTGCCCCACGCTATTGTGTGATTGTGTGTTAGTGCATGCAGTGTGATTGCTAATGTTAACATGTATTCGGTTCAATTCACAATATAACATTCTAACAAGTTATTTATTTTACCATAAAAACACCTTAATTCCCATTTGATTGTAATTGATCAATAACTCTAATATTATTATTTCTGAATGCATTTAATCTTATATTGACTTTATTCAAATGTCTAGTCAGTTTTTACTTATGTATATAAATGAAGCAAGAAAGTTGTGTGAGTGAGTACCTCGATATGATTATGAGTAGCACTAGTTTCTGCTCAAAACGTGATCATCAGTAAATATTACTGTATAATACTGTGTGATTTTAACAAAATAAAATTTTATACATAATGGAGATATACCCTACCACAGTGCCCAAGTTTTATTCTTATATATATTGAAGCGTCGGGAGTACTACTGTAACAACAGAAGACAAGGGCCAGGCAACAGATCAGTTTTATTACGAAAACCAACAGGTATTTATATGTATTTTACGTACATTAATAAGGCTCTGCCCGCAGAAAGAAGGCGGTCTTCTGATTGGTTGTTTGCAAACAAACGCAGTCTTCTGCTTTCTCGTTTTCGATATTTCTCGGAAATGCGAGCCACTTGTCTGCGAATCATATTTGTCGACGTCTAGGTCAGCTGTGATCGGTCGTTGAATCAGCCTAGATTAATTTCCACCAATCAGCGTAGATCAATGTCTACCAATTGGCTAGCAGCTTGCTCTCACCACACTACTACATAGGTACTGCGTAGTATTTGAATCAATCAACGAAGACTGCATTTACTGTAAATTTACGTACAGCTATTAAAATGTAGATGTGATATTTCTCAGTATAAAAAAGCTTCTTATACCCTAAGTTGGGGACATGTCTTTGAATTGAATAACTGACTGACTGGTTTCAACATAGAACTTCCCTTACACAGAAGTACAGCAGTTCGAGTTGCCACACTCCATGTAGTACATAAAGCTAGACAAAAGAGATTCGAAAGAACGATAATAAGCAGACTTGTGAGGGAAAAATAGAAGTAACATGCAACAGACTTGGGGGTTTAATGGAGATCACAGAGAGTGAATACATCTGAGCCAGCCATTGAGAACGATTTTGAGCTATATCATCAGTTGTCTCCAGTCGTCATTGGCTCTCAACATCCTAAGGACTCCAACCATCCAAGTAGTCTATACCTCCCTACGTGGCTTACTCAAACTGACTGTTAAGATTTTGTGAACTGATTTCGGAATTTGGTTTGACTACCACTAGGTTTTTTTCCAATTTAATCGTATGTCCGCTAACATTGCTTATTGAGGTAGGTGATGGCTAGTCATGCGTAGCAGATGTCCTAACCATCTCACTCAATCGGTGTAGCTTCACAACACTCGGTGCCTAACCTTAAAATTACTGACCCTACTATACCACCTAACACGAGAGATAGGACGCAAACACCTATGATTAAAGACATCTAGTCTTTCATATCCTGCACCCTTATGACCATGTGTCGCTCATAGCCATGTAGTAGGACGCGGCGAACTAGTGTGCAGTACACACGTCCTTTGATCGATAGCCGGTCGGATATCACGTCTACACGAGAGATGGCGTAAGTTGGCGAATTTCAAACGAGCCTTCTTCATCCGTGCCTAGATTTCGTCAGAAATTAGCTTGTTGGGGCTGATGCAACTTCCCAAATAAGTGAAGTGGTCAGCACACTCAGCCACCACACTTCACACCCTATCTTTAAGCTAGAATTCGGTGTAGTCCAGTCCTGTGTAGCATCATCTTACATTTGACAAGAGCAAATCGGATACCAAACTCTCGAATATTTCTGCTGAAGGTGTTGAGAAGACTCTGGATTTTGTCAGCTTCTTCACCTAGGATGCCATCCGGATCATCCTGGAGAGAATCAAACAAGCGCTGGATGAAAAACTTCGACCGGAACAGGCTGGATTCAGGAGAAACAAGTCATGTATTGATCAAATCGCCACATTACGGATCATCATTGAACAAAGCTTGGAATGGCAGTCACCTCTCTATCTCAACTTCATCGACTTTGAAAAGGCCTTCGACAGCGTCGATTGAGAGGTGCTTTGGCAGCTACTTCGCTACTACGGGGTGCCATCGACAATTAAACATCTCATCCAACAGCTGTACGACAATGCTGCATGCCAAGTAATCCACAACGGGAAATTTACGGAATCCTTCGAAGTGAAGACGGGAGTAAGGCAAGGCTGCCTACTATCGCCAATGATTTTCCTGATTGCAGTAGATTGGATAATGCGACAGACAGCGGGGAATGAGGAAACAGGCATAAAATGGACTCACACAAAAACCTTGGAGGATCCGAACTTCACCGGTGATATATGTCTGATTTCCCACAAACTGGAAGATATGCAAGCGAAAAGCATCAAGTTGGTAGAAGAAGCAACCAGAGAATATAGGACTTCCTTCAGGTGAACAGATAGAAGACTCGATCAGATGCCTAAAAAAGATCAGCAACAGGGAGAGATCTCTGGCAATGAGCGAACCAACCCAGCAGGAACCAACTGTGCAACAAAATGCAGGAAGAAATGGAGATGGATTGGTCATACTCTGAGGAAACCATCAAGTGACATCACTAGACAAGCCATTGCTCGAGTGGAACCCGACTGGAAGGGAAGCGGCGAGTTGGTCGTCAGTGCAAGGGTGACTTGGAGGAGGTCATGTGAAGAGGAGATGAAAACGTGTGGGCAGACTTGGAACCAGGTAAAGACTCTAGCAGAGAACCGAACGCAATGGAGACGCGCGGCTGAAGCCCTATATTCCCCTAGGAATTAAAGGAAACAATAATAATAATCACCTAGGATGGAGGACTATATCATCCGCATATGCTAAGTCAACAAAAATACATCCTAGCAGCAAGTCGATCTCCAAGTCGCTGAAATCCGTTAGTACATCTGTGATAAAATTACACACAAATAGGGACAGGGGGTATCCCTGACGGACACCAATGGTGTTGTCCTCACTACCCTCCTTAAACATTACAAAAATATTAACATAAATCGAGAACTAATTAAACAGTAAGACAAGTTAATTTCTTCAACTTTGTAATATATCCTCATTTTTAATACTTGTTTAGCTTTCAGAATATCAAGCCTTAGAAGAAAAGCTACGTAATATACTCACTGAATTAGCAACAAGAGAACGTCAGCTAACTGCTGGTGAAGCAGAATTAGTACGTTTAAAACAAGAAAGTTTACGTGAAGTAGAAGTTAAACGCAAAGAGGTGAATCAACAGTCTCAAATTCAAATTCGTGATTTAGAATGTCAAATTAAGCTAGAAAAGAAAAACAATGAACATTGGAAAACACAAGTAAATTTCACTTTCTACATTGTTTTCTTCTCTTTTATGGATAAAAATTCAAACTTTTTTCAATGTTTCAATTGTAGGCATGTTTTGCATTTCTACTTTCAAGTCGTGAATATTTTATTTTCAAAATAATGGATACTGAACAAAGAATACTCTTTTCGATAGCTTCATCATCAGGTTCTACAGTTATACATACATATAATAGTGAATGAATGAATTAGTGTTATTAGGAACATTAATGTTGTTTAAATAAAATCAAATCACAATAAGATTGATAGATTACAGCTGAATAGCATCAACATAAAATAAGCTAAATGTCAGAAAAGACAATATTACAAATTCATGAATTTATAGTCTCTAATGAAGGCCAGGGCAATAGTAATGATTGGACTGGCTTCTTTTGAACACAGAGCACTGGTTGTTTGAGGCGAATTGCAATAGCCTCTGCTGTTTGGATCATTCGATGCTTCGATGATGATTTTGGCAATTTATTAGGCACCCGGTAGATGATTGTGGAGAAGGATTCTTCAATGCTGGCTGGCTTTGTGGCCGGCCGCTTTGCACCAAATGGTGCAATATCGAACTGCTGATGATGGTTTTCACTAAACCTTTACTTAGCCATAGTGGGAGATGTTCTCGAGTGATCACGAAAAATCAAGTTCCTAGAGCAACGGCCAATATAACTCGCTTATTTTTATTTCCTCTCATTTTATATACTCCATTTAAAGGTTAGTGAATGGCAAAATAAATATGCTTGCTTAGAAGAAGAAAATAAAAGTCTACGAAATAAACTCAACACTGCTAAGCTCAACACGCAGACTGATAATAATAAAGGGACTAATGAAACTGCTACAACAAATCATGAAGTGGCTCAATTGACTGCAGAATTGGCCATTTGTCGTGCTAAACTCTCTGAAACAGAATGTCATCTAGTTGAAGTGGAACGTGGTCGAGCTAGATATCGTCAGTTATGGACAAAATCTTTGCATGAATTAGCCAGAATAAAACAAGAAGCTGATGAGGCTACACGTATATGCTTAGCTCAAAAAGAAGCTGAATTAGAACAATTGAGATCGTATTATATGAATGTTGATGATGATAATAATAAGCAGTTAACCAGTCGGGGGATAAAGAAAGAAACAATTGAAGATGAGTTGGAACAGTGAGTCAACATTATTTAGTGAATACTTTCTCCTAATGCTGTATACTCCAAATAGGTATAGGTACTCCAAATAGTTACACGTAAAATCGCATTAACGTACGAATGATTATTTTTAACATGGGAACACCTTTTTTGATTATAGCTTGGAACCACACTGTTTTTTGGTACAAGTATGGAATTTTCAGCATGTGATATCGGTAGGCCAAATTTTGCAGGCTGACCAATTGATATCAGGTGTGCGTCGGCAGGGGATCGAACCCCGGACCATGTGCATGGTCGGCGAGAGTCCTAACCGCTGTGCCACCCAACCGACGATACCCCTGTGCGTCTAGTTTTACTTTACTATGAATTTGAAAAAGTATGGAACTCGTACATACTTTCATAGCGGGTTCGGTAGGAGTTGTATTTTATATATGACTGAGTGGTGACGTGATCACTTCATAATCGGGAGATTTAGGTCCCGGTTCTTTATTGTTTTATCTATTTAAAACACAAAACCTGGTACGATATAGGCACCAAGGAGATGCGCCACACAATTATGATAAAACAACGTATGAAAAGAAAAGGAATAAAGGACTTCGTCTGAGAAGGAAGCAATTATATTGAATAAGACCAAAACAGCATTCGTTGAACTATTGTCAGAAAGGGAAGAAAGAGGAAAATCGCAGTACGTTCGCCATTGATTGCGCTTCTTAGTCAGATCAAATAACGCCTCAAGCTATCTCTCGAAGCCCAACCACAGAGAGAGTCTTGATGTACCAACCGATGCTAACCTACCACAAACATCCTTCATCCCACAAAGCCACATCATGGGCTGACCACATCGCCACTTTTCCCATCCCTTCCCAGGACTAGCGAAAAGAGACCGGTACGGAAGTCTCTGGGATGATATTCATAGCACATATCTAAGCCACCGAAGCCGGTGTTTCCAGATGACGACACTCAATGAATGGCGATCTTCGTGGGTAAGTACTTCCAGTGAGTCCAAGACCTGAAGGAAACGGCTGTCCAATGTGTTTTTTTCATTTTCAACAGTGCTTTGGGTGTTATCGGTTCCTGATAAAAATCTACCTCACTGAAATAACAACTAAGATAAAACTAAGAGAATAATCAACTTTGATTAGATTAAGGGTTCCAAAGAGAGCTTTATTGCTTGCTTTGTTCAAGAGATGACCTACACTCAAGGCGGACTGCTACTCATTGAGCTTTTCAATAACCCTTACAACTTCTACTGGGTTTTTTTTAAAATCTCTCTGTAATTCTGGTACAGATATCAACTGGAAACTTTCATTCTTTACAAGATGACAGAGGACTTACAGGTGGTGATCCACACTATAGTCCAACTTTTGCTAAAAACAGAAATTGATCAATTCTTTGCTCAATCTGTTTTGTCTTCTAATTTTGTAAAAGTTGATTAACACTAATACAAATACTCAAATGCATAAAATTCTCCCCTCATATCCAAGAATTAATCAATAATTTCTGTTGTCAAATCAATATCGTGTAATCTTTACTCTCTGATAGCACTTTCTTCTTACAAACAAATGACAACGCAACGTTTACAACAATTGAATCCATCCAACCATAAGATACAACAGTATCGAGAACTAAATATATTAGATGGTCGGAGGCAATCGGCAGGAAGCCTTGCTTGACCTAGGTTTCGTGCTAGTTGGCACTCACCAGTCAGCAAGGCGTATCTGCAACTTCCTTGAAGGAACTCATGTCCCTTCTGAGATTCGAACCCGAGTCACCCAGTGCAGCAGTCAGGGACGTTACCACTGAGCTAATCGGGCTCGCGATTGACCTCTTTCTTGACCTAGGTTCAAGGCTTCCTGTGGCTGATTGCCTCCAACCATCTAATATCATCAAATCAATGTGCACCGTGATGGTGAGCTACCTAGAATGTTGGCCACATTGCAAACTTGACTGACTGATAGGATTCAGTCTGCACCAAACCAAGGACTAGAGACACACCACACTAGTTACTAGTGTCCAATCAAAGAAAACTAAATATGTAATAAGTATGTCTTAAAATTATCCTCAAGTATAAGTCGTTCATATTAACTGCAATTTAGTTGACAACTATTCTGAACTATTTGTTGATATTACAAAGGAATACACTGTGAACCTTTGTCCAGTTAATTCTAGTGTTCATTCTGTGTCTGAAAGCTAACAGTATTAGTGATGAGGCCTGTTCCCATAAATATTGTAACTTACACACTGTTTCATATCTTATATTACTGTACAACACGCAGTACTGTTTTACGGTATTAGCAGTTGTGCTTGAGATTTCAGGTTGAGCCTATTGACTATGCAGTCTAAATTAACATGTAGGGTGGAGAACTTAAATCTATCAACTGTCGAGAGTTCTTGATTTACATCGGTCCTATAAATTAGCTTTAATATTTACGTCAATAGAAATGTTGTCACCATCTGAAAGACATACTTCTATGAGAAGGCTTGAGGTCTACCGTTAACTTAATGTCTAATTTCACATATTAGAAGGTGGTTACAACAATTCGCTCTCTCACCCTAAGCTATTACTGAGTACTTGGAAGCAAGGGAAGAAACTGTGAATTACACTGTATATCTGTCTGTCTGGATTCAACATAGAACTTGGCACCGAAGTGCAGCAGTTCCAGTTGCCACGTTCCAAATAGCACACAAAGGTAGACAAGAAAAGTGAGTGAAGAGGATCAATGGAATTTAGACAAGTATAAGAGTGAAACAGATTGAGTATTGGTAGAAAGGAATATGAAAGATTACAGAGACTGAATACATCTGCGTAAGCCATTGACTACGATTTCGAGCCATGTCACCTATTGTCTCCAGCCATTGATTCTTAGAGTCCCGAGGGCGGGCCCCAACCCGGAAGTCTGCATCTCCCTATCTGACTCAGTTCAACTGTCAAGGATTTCATGGATTGATGAGGCCATGTTTTTGTTTGGCCACCACTTACTCTTTTCCAACCTGCACCTATATCAGCTAGTAATGCCCGTCGGGGTGGGGGAGGCGATGGTTAGGCATGCTCAGCACGTGACCTAGCCATCTCAATCTATGTAACTTTATAGCCTCTTCAATTGATTTTCTCTCTTTGCCCAACACTCTACGCCTAACGTCAATATTACTTACCTTATTATACCACCTAACGTGAGAAAGAGATCGTAGACATCTATGATCAGAAACAGTCAACCTTTTCATGTCTTCAACTCGTATTGGCCATGTTTTAGAGCCATAGAGAAGGACGGAGAGAACTGCTGAGCAGTACACACGTCCCTTGGTTGATAGTCGGATGTCACGCCTGCGCCAGAGATGGCGTAAGTTAGCGAAAGCAACTCGAACTTTTTGGATCCATGCTGAGATTTCGTCACCAATGAGTCCGTTAGTGCTGATACAACTTCCCAAATAGGTGAAGTCGTCGACATGTTCTATCACTTCACTCCCTATCACTAAGCTAGGAGTTGACGTAGTCCAGTCCTGTAGCAGCATCTTATATTTTATAGGGGCGAATCGCATGTCAAACATACGAAGATTGCTGCTCAAGGTGTTCAGAAGACTCTGCATTTTTTCAGCACACTGTATATATAGAAACCTTGTTAAAAAAATCTTTTCCTTTAATTTTCAGAACTACAAAGAAGCAGCGTGATTTGACAAACGAAACAAATGTTGCCAGTTTCAAACCAGTAGTTGTAAGTGAAAAAATGGACGCCCAAATAGCTCGTCTCATTGAAGAACGTGATGGTCTGCTGAATACAGGAGTGTATGAGAACACTGATTCTCTAATCATGGATCTTGATAGACAAATCAAATTTCTTTTGGAGAGAACTTAACCTCTGTTTTCGTTTATTTAGCTTTTCTTAACCAACTATAGATTAACTTTTCAAAAATAGATTCTGTAAAAAAACAAAATTCAGAAATCCGTTTTTGAATAAATTAAATAATTAAGATATTGTCCTAGTGATGTGGAAGAAAGTTTTCATTATAAAGTGACCTTAAATTAGCAAATATCATCAACTGGTACGTGTGCTGAGTTATCCATCTTTAAGATTAGTTGATGTAGCTATTTGAGCTATAGCATTAAAAAGACACTGTTTACAGTCATGCTGAATTGTCGATATAAGTATAAAACGTGAGCACTGTGGTAGAGTATGACTCCATTATAGATAAGGTTTTATTTTGATAAATCACACAGTGTTATACAGTAATATTAAGTAATGACCACAAACTATTGCCGCTCATAATCATATCTAGTCACTCACACAACTGTCTTGCTTCATTTATATGCATGAGTCAAATTGATTAGACATTTGAATAAAATAAGTAATATAAGATAAAGTACATTCAGAAATAATAATATGAGTGTTATCAATCAAATACAATCAGATGGGAAATAAGACGAGTGTTTTTATAGTCAAAATAAGTAACTTGTTAGAATGTTATGATGTACGTGAATTGAAATAGAATTTTGAGATTATTTATTATCCTCCTCTGATTTGACTGGCTGACTGGTGGTAATAATATCTTCCATATCTCTGATATTTGCATTGAGTCATTTCTGTTGCATGTGTTGGGTGTAGATTATTCGATGAACCAGGATTCAGTAATCAACCTCTCTCTCCACCTATCTATATTACATTTTAGAATTTTAACCCTCTCCCAGCCTATTGTGTTAATGCATGCAGTGCAATGTAGTGCTGAGCTTTTTTCTAAATTAGTTATCTTCTCGGGGTCAACCATTCTTACCTTAGCTAAATTCTTATGTGCTGACAATCTGACTACTCCCGACCTACTAGTTTGACCTATATAGTTGACCTCACAGTCATTTCAAGGGATTTTGTAAATTATATTATTTTATCTAATTGGGTCCACCGGGTCTTTTAGCCTACAGAGCTTGTCTCTGAGTGAGTTTGTAGATTTGAATGCCACCCTAATTCCTGCTTTATTAAGAATCCTACGTAGGGTCTCAGATGTCCCCTCCTTATATGGTATAACAGTAGATGACTTATATTCTCTCTTATTTATGTTATCATTACTAGTTTCACCATTATTTTTATTTTGCTTTTGACCTTTTTTGATATTCCTAATGAATTTTATAGGATAGTTATTTGATACCAACGCCTCTTCTATCTGTTTCATTTTATCATTTAGGTCCTTTTTGTACTACTTAGTGCTATTGCTCAGTTTATTAGACTCAACTAAGATTGCCTCTACAGATAACGGATAAGATGAATTAAAGTCTAAATATCTATTAGAATGCGTTGGCTTTTTATAAATGCTAGTGTGCAGTTTACCTTCTTCTGTTCGTTTGACCTTACAATCTAGCATAGCTAATTCTCCTTATTCATTTTCTGATTCAAATGTGAATTTTATTCCCTTCACTAGTGAGTTTATATGTGTCAAGAAGCTAGAGATATGTTCTGTTTTTAACACTGTGTGAGAGTGTCATCCACATATCTCCACCATATTTTTGGAGTAGGATTAAATGTATTCTCAGAGCAATATTGCTGAATTGTCGTTTGTCATCAGATATGCTTACGGCGGTTTAAAATCTGCCAAGGTTTCTCAAGAAAAAAAGGTTTATATTGATCCTATGCGAGGAAGTACGTTTAGATAGAATATCCCATTCCTAGAGAAACAGGTGGTACCATCTTAACGCTTCCTACCAGCTTTCAAGCGCGAATCCCACTATTCAGGAAGCATAAACAGGTTTTAGAAGAGATCAAAGTATAATCTTGTCGACTGTTTTATGTTACTGCATTTAAAGTAGTCAGAAGATGAGATAGAATAACACTGGCATTTTTATCAAAATGATTAAGAATTGCTTGTCACTTATTTTGTGTAAGCGTTTAAGTAACGTCAAGTGGTAATCTAATCACGTGATTAAGAAGGACAACGACGTCTTGAAAAAATAATCGAATTTTTTAGAAGAAACACGTAACTTAAGAGGATTTCATTCTTTCTGGTGTGAATCTAACACTGCTTTAACATCACTCAATAACTTCATAAAATTTTCCCTTGATGAACTTGAACAAAGGAAGATCAACAAATTGGAGAGGATAATGTGATATTACTTTACTCCGCTGGCTTTTGTAAAGTAATAATAATAATCTGGGTTTAGTGATAAGGTCTCGACGGCCGTAAACACTAATAAGATTGCGAAACCTTCGGAGTCAAATTACAGTACCGTAATTTGGAACTTGGAGGAATCAAAGAAAGTAGATCCACCTGCACGACACCCTGATGATCTCGAGATAGTTAGCTCCATCATTTCTGATGTACTTCCTGAAAAAACAAATGGAGTTCACCTAAGAAAAGTCTTCAGAATCGGTAAACGAAATGACAATGCAACGGAAAGTTCCTCACGACTGCTGAAGATAGTACTGGGGAACGAGATGGAGAAAAGCATTATTCTCAGCAACGCATTCAAGATCAAGGACAACATGATGAGAATAAGGCCCGACTGGTCTCTGGAAGATAGAATTAAGAGAAGTCGTGGCTGAATCAAAGGCCCATAGAAACCCAAACTGTTGGGTTTTCGGGTAGTGAGGTCTCGGAAACCTATGTTGCCCAGATATGTATTCATAAGTCGAGTGAACACGTAGGTCTCTCAGTATGCTATACAAACGCGCGTAGTCTTAGGAATAAGCTCCCTGAATTGGAAGTGTTGTCTGAAGGACTACAACCTGAAACATGGTTGTTAGTGGGTGTGGACTTAACTCCACTCATGCCTGGGTACATCTGCATTAGAGCAGACAGAGTAATTAGTCGGAAAGGTAGTGGAGTTGCCCTATACATCTGGGATGACATAGAAATTAGTTCAGTGTTGTCCGAAGCTCATGACAGCGGCACTAGTGAAGTCGCAAGCTGGGTCATTAGCTTGAACAAGGCACCTACATTGGAGTTACTTACAGCCAAGCCGAGGATTTCGTACTAAATCACCTCAGGACGTGGAGTACAAGAATAGGTGTCTAGTAGTAGGTGACTTTAATGCCCCACATATTAATTGGGAGGAATTAACATCAACTACCTTGTACACTTGTTTCAACAGGGAACTCATACTGACAGCGCTTGAATGTGCAGCATATAGATGCACCAACACGATACCACCCAGAATATGATCCGTCCACTCTAGACTTGGTGCTAACACACCAAAAGAAGGATGTTGGTGACATTAGGTGCCTGGCGCCGCTAGGCAGTAGTGACCACATAGTTATCACTTTTATGTTTAGGATTCACGCTGTCATACATAGATCAACAGCTGCTCGTCCAAACATTTGGAAAGCGAATATACCTGCAGTCCGAAATGCAGCAACCCTAGCTGATTGGTCTGTTGATACACACCAGACTGTCGAGGAGGCCTGGATGGGATCTAGGAATACACTGGATGCGTCACTGTGCCCTTTGTACCTTGGTCTACGCCTCGAAAACTATCACATAAACCAACTTGGATTAGTAATGAAATAAGGATTATTGAGAAAACGAGAGAACTTATGGGACCGGTTTACTGTGACTGGGAGGGATGAGTTTCAGATGGAATACCGCAAAATTCGAAACCTTTGTAAGTATATGATTGACAATAGTCGTATAGAGTATGAGAGACAGTTAGTACTGGATTGTGTGCATTATCCAAAAAGACTTCACTCGTATATCAAACGTAGGAATAAAACTAGCAGTGGTATACCGTCCCTCATGAGCAATACTGGAGAGGATGCCGAGTCAGACGAAACAAAAGCTGAAAAGCTCTCGGAATACTTTTGCGATGTTTTCTCGCCTAATCGTACCACTCAGGGGTGTAGCGAGGTCACTGATGTAGCCACTAAAATGCCCACAATTGTGGTAGAGGATGCAGTGGTTCTCAAACTACTGTCTAAAATGAAGCCAGGTAAATCACCTGGACCTGACGGACTTCACCCTAGACTGCTAATCTCCTTGGCGGATATAATACACATTCCACTTACGGTGATTTTTCAAATGTCTCTGACCCAGGCTAAGCTACTCAGGGACTGGAAGGATGCCATTATAAGCCCCATCTTCAAAGAGGGGAACAGGCAGTTAGTATCTAACTACCGGCCTGTAAGTCTGACCTGCATTATAGCAAAGGTATTAGAAACACTCATAAGGGATCAGCTCTTAGCTCACATGGAGAAACATGGCTTACTGGCAGTGGAACAGCATGGATTCCGACCAGGACGATCCTGCCTGACAAACTTACTGTTAGCTGGGAAAGATTAGGTCGAAGCCAGGGATAAGAACCATCTACTGGACGTTGTCTTTATCGATCTTAGTAAAGCATTCGATAAGGTATCCCATTAGTCTTCTTAGTAACTAACGTTTTGGATTAGACCAACGCTATGTGAGTGGTTTAGTGACTAGATGATGGATAGAAGGCAGAAGGTAAGGGTTAATGGTGTACTGTTAGGGTGGAAGGCAGTACTAAGTGGAGTACCTCAGGGAACTGTACTTGCCCCCCTGCTATTTCTATTATACGTAAATGAACTGTCGAAAATTCTTACCTCATCTTCCTTATTATTTGCGAACGATATAATGATACGGAAAACCGTAAATAATAACTATGATACGCTGGTACTACAAAACGATCTAGACAAATTAGCTGAATCGGCTAACCTTTGGAAATTAATTCCAAGAAAAGCGCGGTAATGCACCTAGGTCAGAAGTCTTACACGTCGTACTCCCTGGGGGACACAGAACTGCCAGATGTTAAGGGACAAAGGACTTAGGAATAACTGTAATCTATGACTTAAAAACAACGTAATAGTAATCGAGCGGCACCTTAGGCTATTCGAATGCTATGGGCACTTCGAAGGGCTTTCAAACGATTAGACGAGGGTATGTTCCAAGTACTCTTTGCAATACATGTCAGGCCTCATCTAGAATACTTCATAGAGGCGGTGAGTCCATGCTTCAAAAAGGAGGCACATATCCTTGAAAAAGTACAGAGCATAGGAATCAAATTAGTTAGTGGTATCTCACAACTTCCTTATAAGAGGATTGAGCATTTTAATCTCTTCCCGTTATCATTGAAGGAAGGAAGACAGGAGACTTAATTTCGGCATACCGTATATTAAAGGGTGATTTAGGGATTGACCTTTCAAACCTTTTCTCTCCCTCTAGGATTCATTTACGAGGTCAGCACAAGAAGGTGCTCAAACTGAGATCGAACAAATTACGTGTGGTATTTAGATTCTCTCACAGAGTGGTCAACGACTGGAATGCCTTACCTGATTCAGCAGTAACAGCTCCATCGGTGAACGCTTTCAAAGAGAAACTAGATATCTGCAAAGACATATATCGCAAGGATTAACATAGGCAACAAGTCTTCCTTCCTTATAATCTGAATCTGATATCAATGTATCTCCAACGATATGAACTACAACAGTTTCACGATATCGCGTACAATTCACAACACTCGCATTCCCATATGGATAGCGGTTAGACTAGAGTAGAGAAATCCCACCAAGCGAACATGTACTACACAACCAATTGGTTGTACATATTCTTAAGAATATGGGCCCATATGTACCAAATAAGACTTTAGTCACAAAACCAGTCGTGCTAGAAATCGAAACTTTATTGTCTAAAATTACAAACTGACTACAGTGAAACACTAAATCAATCACAGAAAAATCCTCTCTAAGAGATGTTGATGATAACAGCGAAATTACCTCATAGAATGCTACCTCTTCCTCTGTCACCTTTTTTCTTCTGAACTTCGGATTAAGTGCAGAGAGCTCTACAGCCGCCTCACGTGGTACAGAGGATTTCACAACAAATGTTGATGTACTAGCAGGAGCATTGGTATCAACTGGTTTTCCTGAACACGTTAAACACATTAAATCTGATAAAATATCATGCCTATGGCATTTTTCAGCTGACTCCGGAATTTAATTAATGGTATGTGCTTTCTGATCTGAAAAAGATACCACTTAGAAACACAATACATACTGCGGTAGAAGCAGCAGACGTCAAACTAGACATTTCGCAGAATAATTGAAAGGTGGGTGACCTAACAGGTAAATGTATTGGTGAGATAAAACAAACCAATATACAATATAATGGAGATGAAAGAACTGTTTTGGATGGATGCATTCTAGCACTGATTGAAAGGATAATATTTCTGGGGTAGTGAATTCACGAACTATCTAGGAGTTCTCCATTTGTGTAGCTTACTCAACTTTACTTCGAATAAATGAGTCATGTATTAGAAAGTAGCAGCATATATGAATTCAGTTTTATACTTTTGGTCTCGTCAGAGATGTCCACAAATTTCTGATCATTTCCTTATGTGATGCCTCATCATGACACCTATATCTGTGTGAGTCTGAACTAAAGGCTGTAGTATTCCCACACACCATTAGTCTTTTTCGTGTCTCATGTTCATAGTGGTGCACATAGGGATAATTTACTGTTGGAACCAATAGAAAAGCTACCTGGTATCGGCTTGCTGCATAAACCTGTGTCGTTCACATCTCATTTCCCTCCATAATGTCTTCATCTAGACTGAGAATCACGGGAGACTTGGTGAGATCAGGTAACTCGTTGATAAGTAAGTTGAATAAGTAAGAGGGGGACCAAACTGATTCTGACTCTCAGTATTTTAACTACTAGAAATTTTGTGACCCAGTGAAGTAGGACTCACCTGATCCAAAAACGTTTTAGTTCCACGGTCAGTATTATGTCGGGTGATGTAAGAAGCTTCGCAGAAACTCCTGAAGAAAACGTCAATGTCTTTTATTATCCGTAACTTTCACCCAGGTTTCATTAGCAGTCAGTTTTTCACATACATGAGGCTTTTCAAAAAACGGCACAGTGTGTTAGATAATAGGCTGTTGTTTTCTATGTAAGCTATAACTCCCATATCTGTTTTCCCGACTATCTTAATAAAGGTACTAATGTAATGACAGAAGACAAAGGCTACGCAACAGATCGTTTATTGAGAAAATCAACGGATATTTATGGATTTTTTGTACATTATTATTAGCGTTGTTGTTAGCGGAGACGCAATGTCTTCTGATTGGTTGTTTTCTCGCTGAAGGTTATTCTGTACTGCTTGCGACGTTTTTCAGAAAGTTAAACCGTATATCTGCGAATCCTATTTGCACACGTTAAGCCTTCTGTGATTGGTTGGTGAGTTCCTCAGGTTTAAGCTCTGTTATTGTTTATTTCACATGACCCCTATCTGGGACGTAACACTGACGTGAACTGCGGTCTACAATTTCGGTTTACAGCCAGCACTCAGCACGCTAATAACACCGGAATATGCTGGAAAGTGCCTGGATTCCTCTTCTCTGCTGTTCTTCACCCGATATAGATAGTTAAATAATCATCCTCTGAAGATCATTATTTGACTTCTAGTGACGCTAGAAGCTTTACTACCACCATAGCTACCATTATACAGCTTTTGAAATGAAAGCTAACGATCGTGCTGAGAACCGGCACTGCTTCCTGTCAGTTTGCCTCAACAGCCAATGTTACATCTGAGTGGCTCAGTGCATGGTCCGTCGCAACGGCAGTTTAATGATGAGTCAAATTTTTATAGGCTTCGCAAATGAAATGTCGCATTGAGATTTTTTCTGAAGAAAATATTATCGGTGGCATTAAACTCCTGAACTGTATTACATTAGCTGAACTTGCACCAAAAAATCTGGCTTGATACTAATATCTGAGAAATTTGATGGATTAAAAGAGGCATCAAAGTCAAAATCTAAACGTGTATTGTGGAATTTCGATGGGGCTGTGCCCGTATTTTCTAACCTTTCATTGAAACGCCCTGATAATCAGCGAATATAAGTGTCGCCACTTTAAAAGGGGATATGCCATATTATCGCACTTCACGTTGGACTTTTAAACACTCTTCTTTGAATTCACATCTTTTTAGACCGCCGAATATTTTGCCCAGCGACTACGGTCTTTCTGTTCGGAATCCGTATAACTGCAATGCTGAAGGTTTGTAATGCAATAAATTTGTATATTTCCCAAGGCAGAGAGGTTTTGCAGTATCTTCAACGTATTATGATGTCTCGGTTTGGAACTATATGGTCCTTCCATTTGACTGTTTTGTCGACGTCTTCAAGCCGCTATCTTTGTTGCTAGTCACTGAGTGCAATTCATGGTGTGCGAATAGTATCTGCAGTCTTTGTATGGTACAAAAGTTCCATGATAGTACTTCCTGTGGAATCATCCATATTATTTACCATATTGCGTACCATCGTCTTCAACAGAACTGCACCGTATCTTTCTACAACAAACCTTGGGGCAAATAATATGTGTAAGTGAATGATGATGGCTATGAAATGAAAAAGCATTGTTACCAAAACATGAAGATCCAGCTTTATGGAAAATGACTCAGGAAAATACAAAAAAATCAATGCGCTTTAAAAAAGAAACTAAAATTGAACGTGATTAGCAAGACTTTCCAATAATCGTAGTAAAATAGCTGGAGGTAAGTCTGATTCTGCGAAAATTCTTTTCTAATCAAAGTTTTGCCAGCGTGTTATGGTTTCAGGAAATAATTCAGGTTGTCTATTTAATTTAAACAAATTAAGGCTTTGAAGCTAATTTCAGAGTGAGTGATAGTAGTAGGGTTAACTGAACAGGTCGGTACACAGTGACCGTTAATTTTAACAGGTTGTGTTGGCTCAGATATCTCAATCTAGGTAGCATGTACAGTATTCCTGTATGATGACTTTCCCATGGTTATTTTGGTTTTAACAAGACTACAAGTTCTAACATTTTTTCATGCTGCATCCAGGTGAAAGAACTACTACTACTCGCAATCCCTCCAAACATGGCTTCAATATCAATTTTCTCTGCGATAATTTCGCCTGCCTCAAACCAACGCTGCAGTTCTATATGCTACATTTTTACCAGCATCTTCATCAGTAGACCAAATAAACAAGTTTTATGGGTCTGTCTTTTGGTCACTTTAAGGCCGAATGACCCAAACTTCAACGCACACAATTTGTCAGTCATTTTGCTTTTATTTCATCGGATAAACAATATGTCGCGGCTTATTTGTTTACATTTAACTATACTCAAATATGAGTTGCGATAAGAGTTGACTTTGTCGTACCGAAATATATCGCTACTCCTTATTCTGTTGTGTCCAGAACCTCAGTTACAGGAAACGTTGAGTTCACAGAATTAGAGCAGTGAGGACTACTAGTCGTAGAGATCCGACAACACATTACGTCCCCATTCCCTGTTAATAAAATTGCACGCTTCTCTCATTAGGAAGCCAAACTTCTCTGACTGAAAGATCCAAAAGGAAGTGCTCGAGATATAAAGAAAAGATGTCAGCGTCGTTACCTAGAACGAGCATCATATCTACATCCCACAACTAAAAGGGTAAGCCGCCATTCGAATGCAGAGTTTGCACTCGGTGGGTGTCTAGAAATCCAGTTAGCTGTGCAGTTGTTTTATGGCACTCTATCATTCCAGACCTCCGTTTTAGCGCACTACCCTAGTCCTAAGCCTGGCCCTTATAACCTGTTGAACGGGCTGCAGACTGTATTTACCAGTGCACCAACTAGTAAAAGAAGAATATGATACTTACAGCTCTATGAGGGTGTATTTATTAACGATATTACAAAGAGAATATGGGGATACGCGACGACACCACTAGGCAGCAGCCAAAGTGAAGATACAGTCATTGAAAATCAAAACTTCCCTCTTTGACTTTTTGGCGTCATTGCACAGATACAGCATAGGCTGTCAATTACGAACCAAACTTCGTCAGGCACTTGGTTTCGTGTCTAGAGAAATTCTGTAATGGCATCAGAATTTACCTCTGGCTGTCTGAAGGTATTCTATCCAATTTTCTACACAGCTAGAATATCTGTTGAGTCATTTGCTATATTAATTGTGAAAATACCTCGAGGTAGCCTTAATCGTCACCCCAACAACTCGTATGTTTCCCCTTTAAAATCCAGTTGTCTGCAATATGGTTCAGTCAGCATAGACAAACAAGGTGATCGTTGAAGGCGAAATCGCTGGGGCGGAAATGAACTGTGGAGTGAGTTCAATCCTGTATTTGTACAAAAAGTGTGACGCAACTATAATAATAGTATTTACGAAATAAGCCATTGTGTTATTTCTGGCATATACGCTCACCCCATCATTCTGAAAAGCCATGGTATTCATGGCTGTAAAGATGGCTAGGTTATGCTCAAGAAATAAAATAATGGTTATTCTTATCTATAGTTTGGTTTGTAAGGATTAGTTATGTTTTACGAGTTGATCACGGACTGATATCAGCTAGAGAATAATTGAAAACCAAATTAATCTGATGCTCGCTAGTGACTTGCTACAGGTTGGAGCTTCCTGCAGTTCTAGTGAGAAGTCGTGACCAGTGAGGTCCAATTAGAAGTCACGAGTGGATGGATTTCCACCAACGACAATAGTTGGGGTCGCGCTAAAATCACGAATTGGTAGAAGTTAGAATTCATGGACTGGCCATTGAATCGGGTCCCAGTGGCTGAATGGTATACGAGCTTGCCTTGTAACCGGGAGGTCCTGGGTTCGAATCCCAGTGGGTGCGTACTGGCGATGATTCCCAAACTAGGATGAAACAGCAGCTGTCCAGTACTCCTTGGTTATTCTTACCTACCTATACAACGGAACTTCAATGGAAAATGGCTACAGGATGTCAAAGTCACATTTTATTGGTCTTATATTCACACATGCCCCACTGACACCTTGATAAGCGTATCAGATAGTTCTTAGACTGCGGTAAGACTAGGGTGACCCAATAAGAAGCATAATGTTAGGAACATGCCAAAAAACAATAAACTGGCTAAGCTGCTAGATTATATTTCGTATTCCCGTATGAAGGATTAGCTTACTAAGACTATGAGCACCATTTTTATCACTTGTGGATAAAACTGGAGTAATTATCCTGCCGCAAAGTCGTTCGAATTTCTAAAGGTGAACAAACCCCATTCAGTGCAACACTGTCCTCCTGACGTTATGGACAATGTAGTGCTATATTCTGGAGTCCTTTTTTAAGGAGGTCTTTAAACATAGTGAAAGAATCTGACAGACCATAGGAAAAGTGCAGAAGAAAAAGGCAATCACTTGAACTGGTGCCTTCCACCTCTGCAGTGCCCTTTGGTGCTGGAAAAAAAACTTGGCGAGAAATACGAGCTCAAAATCAAGCAGAGGTGTGGACTGTCATCTCAGTTGAAAACTAGTTATCCTAGGGAGATTTATATTTCTAAGCCATGTGCCCCTACTCTCTTCAATTTACTCATCTCACTACCGTTGTTATCTGCTAAAGTCAGCTACTGGTATGACTGATGAGGATACTTTGCCATCGCTACAAGGTCACGGAAAGAGAAAAGAAGGCCGGTTATGGTAAACGCCGCACCACTGACTCCACATCTAGGGGTGGCGAGTAGGAAATTACCTCAAAAACAGTCGCAGAGTACAAAGGCTGTCTGCCACATAAGAGAATGCCATAAAAGTAGTCTACCGATAGAAAATGGCCAAGAATATCCTAAACAGTCCAAAATCAGCCTAGATATGCTCACACCAACTTTGACACTTTTGAATTAGTAAACTACTGGGACCAGACAGGACAACCTGGCTTGCCCACTGGGATTTGAAGCCAGGATCTCCTGGATACGAGAAGAGCTCGTAGGCCAATCAGCCGCCGAGACCTGATCCAGTGGCTTATGAACTTCAAACCCTGCTTTTTCACCACATTTCACTAAATCGCCAGCCAATTTCTGAGGTGAGTACCTTTCTTCTTTCCCGCTTAGGTTGACCCCTCTGGTTACTGCTTAACATGAGAACTCCAGATAAATTTCTGTGAAGAGCCAGTCGGTGGTGAGCATCAGATTAGATGAATGGCCTATAAAATCAGTATGAAATCCGAAGGTGCTGAGTTCGAACGCTAGTGGGTGCATTTTGTAGAAGAGTCGCAAACTAGGACGAAACATCGGTCCAGTACTCCATATTTTCCAAAAGCTACTTTGCCCAACTCTTCGAAGAGGGTGATTTTCGTAAATTGTGTATTTTTGTCCGATGAAATCAAGTTATTCTCATCGGTACGGACCAGCCTGTCTTTGTTTTTCGCGGGCCAAAAGGGTGGCTGGACGATAATCAGCATGTGGTATTCAACCGAGTGGCCAACTGTCATTCATTATTGAGCCGAAAAATTAGTAATATTATTTAATCATCATCCCACAAAATAATTTGGAAAAGGGTAAACCTATCAAATTACAGCATCACCACAGACGAAATATCCCCCTTATTCAGGATGTATGTTTCTCCAAATGATCTGAAATCTATTTTGTAACAACAGCAAGTGAAAATTGAGAGGATAAACTGGAGTTATTTGAGACTCATTCAGAGACTGGCTATTGTAATTCCTTCGGCACCTCATTCAGACAAATATGCAACCATGTCTAATTCTATCAATGAGTTCATTTATGCTCTAGTATCTGGTCTTCTATCCATGGTTTGATCGATATGTAGATGCTGTTCGCATTAAATATTCCACACTTTCTTAAGTCTTCAGTGAACAATCAACTGAGACAGTTGGGCAGCCGAACACAAGTCTATCTGGATAGAACATTCCGTCCAACGTTTTACATTAAGAAGTTAAGGCACTCAGGTATAACTCAACCCCTCCTCTTGCAGTTTTTCAACTCACATATCTCTTCTATCCTTCTTTTTTGTTCACTCTTGCTTATTCTTTACTGGACTGCTTAAAAAAGACAGTCTATTTCGCAGAACTCTGATGACTACCAGTAGGGCGAGTGGTATCCCATTCGGCCATATCGTCATTGATAGGCATTTGATTTCGTGTAACTAATTTGCTAATGGAATTTTGTCACACTGTGAGCATCCACTTTACCCGCAGCTCCAACCTTGTGTCTCTTCAGGTAAGACAATAAGTCTTTTCAGAAGACTTTACAAACGTACGTCTAAATATAAAAGTTCCACTACGCTATATTTGGCACCTGTTTTATGTGGCAAAAATAGTACCAGGGACGAACTAACTAACCTTCTTAGCACCACTAAATAATCCATTTCCTCCACCCTTAAAGCATAAAACTTTACTGTTATTATTCCTCTTATATTTATAATCCTCTTAATTGTTTTTCTTTATTTTTTCATAAGTGTGAACATCATTTAAGCTATATTATAACCGTTAATTTTGCCTCTCCCCTCACCATACTATATCGACAGAACATTAGATTCAATAATCTATAACATGCTAAAGTTCCCAAACTGAAGCAAGAATACTGTTTGAAAAAAACTCACTGTTATTATTATTCTCATTTTGTACTTCAAATTTATACCGTAAATGTGGAAAAATTCCTGTGGTTAATTTAATTATATTTCGAATAAATCAGACGCAATATTGTGACAAATGTTGAGAATTCCATTTTGTATTATAAGTACCGTATTTGGAATAAAGCAAATTATAATTATGAAAAAAAGATCGACACACAAAAGTCACGGGCGTTTTCCCTAGAGCAGTTCAACAGGAAAACGAGGTGGAATTCTTTCAAACAGTATGACTGACTGGATTGTTCAAGGAACCCTCAAGATGAAACTGAAACCCTTCAGAACAACTGGAGACAGGCCACAATTCAAATTAAGCACACAGAAACTGAAGGACAAAACTACAAGGGATGCCTTCACAACAGATATCAGAGAAAAGTCGGAGACACTGCGTGGTAACAGTGAGAAAAGCTGTGTGGAAGAACATTGGAACTAACTCTCTGGAGGTGATGTTCAAGAAAACATGTACAACTGTTCTAGGAAGAAAGAATGGCTCTCAACGGACACTTACATGGAAGCTAATCGAGGAGAGGTGGATGGTGAAACAGAATAGTGATGACTAAATGCAAAGATGGACAACAGAAGGAGAAGCTGAGTTCAATATACACTGCACTTAATAAAGAAGTGAAGAGCGCTAGGAAAGACAATTCTATAAAACACTGATCGGCAACTGAAGAAAAACAAGCAGACCTCAGGACATTATATCAGATAACCAGGTCTCTATCCAGAAAGAGAACAACTCAGATAATGAAACCAATAAAAGATACTCAAGGCAACCTGACTACCAAGGAGGAGAAACAAATAAAACAATGGGCCGATCACTTCAAAGGACTCTTGAATCGACCATCAACTGCAACTAGCCCAGAAATAATATCACCAACGTCGCTGACAGAACTGCCTACCAATGGACACTAATCCTCCAACGAACGCGGAAATGCTGAATGCAATGAAGCTCTGATAGGACACTAGTTAGTTACTAGTGTAATGTGCCTAACCCCTTGTTTTTGGTGCAAATTGAATTCTATCAGTCAAGTTTGTAATTCTAAATGGCTCACCAACGCAGTGCACTGTAAAAATTTTGGGAAAAAGCCATGCTTGACCTAGGTTTCGTGCCTGTTGACACTCATCAGCCAGTCAGTCAACAAAGCGTATCTGCAACCTTGATGGACACAACTAGTATCCCTCCGCCCTGAGTGCTGTATAGTAGTCAGAGATGTTACCACCACTGAGCTCTTCGGGCTCGCGATTAACCTCCTACAGGAATGTATTGGTTACTCTTGATCAGTGCACACTGGATTCTACAGTTACAAGACAAGACAAGACAACACAATTCATATAATTATGTAAATGTTTAAATTTTTTAAAATTGTGCCCATATATGTAAAATAACATATAACACTTGTTAACAATTGTTTTGTAAAGAGATTAGACTAAAAGATCGAAAAAGGAAGTAGACAGGAATTATTACAAATAAATTTTAATAATAATAATAACAATAATAATAATAATAAAGTCCAGCTTGATTCTTATTTAATCATTTCATCACAAGGAGTATAGGATGCATCATACCAAATACACCACGATAATTTCTCTATATATATGTATATATTTGAAAAATCCTATTTAAAACATAAGAATTCTTTTATTCAATTAAAGAAGCCTATTCAAGATGTTCAATAGATACAAAAGAAAAGAAGGTTAAAATTCTAGACAATTATAACAGACGAAAAAGACACCTAACTACGACGCTAGAGTAAAATAGAACCAAAAATAGAAAAAAAGCGATAGAGTTAAAAATTTATCAAAAAATTAAAATGTATAATAGAATACAACCTATCTAACGGCTACTCGTAGTATTAGTATTAATAGTGATAATAATAATAATAATAATAATAATAATAATAATAATAGTATAATGGCTGCCAAATAGAAAGTTACTCACACCACACCTCACCACACCAAAATCGATAAATAATGATAAATAAATAATTGAAAAAAGAGGAAAATAAATAAATAATTTCTCTTATCTTTCAAATAAACATCCTAATAGAGAGAGAGAGAGACAGAAAAACAATGCTACGAGGAGGAAGTGAGAAAATTCCTACACCCTGGTACGTTTACCTCCAACTCCTACACTACCATCACTAAATAAATAAAGAAATAAACAAGAATTGAAACAGACTAACAAATATCTGATGTGAGTCAGTGTAGGTGTTAATAAAAAACTAACAAGGATGGAAAAAGCAGAATTGGCCACTTAGTTAGTAGGTTAGTTAGTTAGACAGTTAATTAGTTGTACGGATAAAGGGGAATCCGCGGTTTAAACGAGAAATAAAAGTATTGTGAAAACATGCCTAGATGGAGTACAATAAACAACACAAAGAAATTAATAATCCACCAGTGCGTTTGTGTGCGTGTGAATGTCGATATATAAAAGTATTTCAAAGAAACCGTTTACAGAGGTTGAAGAGAACTGTGTCTTACTTACAACAAACAACATTCACACACTTCACGAAGATGATGACGAGGATAAATTCAATGAGTTCGTGGCATTATTATTAGTGGTAACTGTCACCGTCGGTTCACAATTGTTGAATTGGTTGGAGGCAGTTCTATTATTACTGACAACAATTGCATAATTTTCTAAAATATAAAAGGTTAAGAAAGAGCAGTTATTTATTTGTTTATTTAAAACACACGACAACAATATATTTTTATTTTTTTTGATTACAGCTTGATGCCACACCGTATTTTCAGTACAAGTATGGCATTTTCAGCATGGATATCGGTAGCCCAAATTTTGCAGGCCGACCATAGATATCGGGTGTGCGTCGGTAGGGGTTTGAACCCCGGACCATGTGCATGGTCGGCGAGAGTCCTAACCACTGTGCCACCGAAAATAGGGAGAGAATGAATAAGGGACTTTATTCAGAAAGGAAGCAACTATACTTAACAAGATCTCAAACAACCTTCGTTGTATTACTGTCAGAATGGGAAGAAATAAGGAAATTACAACGTGTTCATCGCCACAGATGATTGCCGATCTTGACCATGACTGGTAACGTTTCGAGTCACCGATTCAAACTACCCTCTCATGGACTCCAAACCAGGAAGTCATGATATTGTACCAACTGATGCTAAACTAACACAAATACACTTAATCCCGTGACACTAACAACACCTCTCTCTCTCCACTTTTTCAATTCAGTCCCATGGATAGCAAACGAAGTTAGGGACGGAATCCCCCGGGATGACAACTGAAGCATATATTCAAGCCACCAAAGCCAGTGTTTTCAAATGACGAAGCTCAGTGAATGGTGATCTCCACTGTGTACAAACACACGCTTCCTGACCTCAGGCTCAAGCGATTCTACGGAGACGGAGATGGTCGAATACATAGAGTCGCCACACATCCTCAGCTCAGAGAGACCAGGTTTCACAGGCGTAGAGCAAGACTGAGCTCACCGAAGCACCGTCAACCTTTGACAGTCAGAGGTGTTTCAATTTGGCTTATGCCGCCCCCTAGCTTTCACTACACGGTATATTTATATACATACGAGACTGTTAGAGTAGTGTTTATATCATAGAATCTGGAATTAGAGTTTTAACAAAAATGAAAGTGAATCGATGCAACAACACGTTACAACAGAACTCAAATTCAAAAAGTTTTGATACTTTGCTCTATTGTTGCGCTTAATTAGAACTCCACCTACCTAGCTAGCATTAAGCAGATACTAGAATGATTACAAATGATACAATCATCTTAGATAAAGACTCAGCTAAAACACAGGGTCTTCTGAACACCTTCAGCAGGAATCCCCAAATGTTTGGCATTCGATTTCCTCCTATCAAATGTAAGATGATGTTACAGGACTGGACTACAGCGACTCCTGCCTTACACATAGTAGAGACCACTTCACTTATTTGAGAATTTATATCCGATCCAAAAGGGTATTCTCTGACGAAATTCCAGCACGGATACAAAAGGCATATGTGAAATTCGACAACCTATGCCATCTCTGGAGTATATGAAAAATCCGGCTAGCTATCGACCAAAGGATGTGTGTACTGCACACCACTTCGCTCCATCTCCGTTTTTGGCTGTCAGTGAGACACGACCATTGAAAGAGGGAGCTGTGAGAAGGCTAGCTGTTATTGATCAAGCGTGTCTGCCTTCTATCTCCACTGTTAAGCAGTATGATGGCGTGAGTAGTACTGAGATTAGGAATCGAGTGTTATGTAGGGAAGGGAAAGTGAATCGATGAAGGTTATGAAGTGAGATGGTTAGGACATGTGTTATGCATTCCTAACCATCGCGTTTTTCAATAAGCAATGTTAGCTGACATAGAATCACCTTGTAAAACAGCTAGTGGTAGTCAAATCAGAACACATTACATAACAAACTGAATTTCCCTGATCATTCGTCACCGCCGATGATATATGTCTGATTTCCCACAAACCGGAAGATATGCAAGCGAAAAGCAACAAGTTGACAGAAGAAGCATCAAAGATAGGACTTCAGGTGAAAATAGAGAAAACAGAGGTGATGAAGATTCCTGGCCAACACCACCAACAGCAACAGCAACAACAGACAACAATCAGCATAAATCGGAGGAACCTGAAAGAAACAACCTCTTTTACCTACCTGGGAAGCATCGTTTCAACTACAGGCGGACAGAACTGACGACGATATCAAAGCAACGAGGATCGGGGAAGCAAGACAAGCTTTCATTACTCTCAAGTCTGTGTGGAGGTCAACAGCACTCAGCATCAAAAATAAGATGCGGATTTTCAACTCCAATGTGAAGTCAGTGCTACTATACGGATCAGAGACTTGCACTGTGCGTCATAAAGAGCATCTCAAACAAACTACAGACCTTCATTAACAGTTGTCTTCGCTCAATACTTCATCAAGATCAGATGGCCAGCCAGAAAAGATCAGCAACAGGAAGGGATCTCTGGGAGCGAACCAACCAGGGACCGATTGTGAAACAAATATGCAGGAAGAAATGGAGATGGATTGGCCATACTCTGAGGAAACAACATCAAGTGACATCACTAGACAAGCCATTGCTCGAGTGGAACCCGAAGGGGAAGCGGCGAGTTGGTGGTCTAAGGGTGGCTTGGAGGAGGTCATGTGAAGAGGAGATGAAAACGTGTGGGCAGACTTGGAGCCGGGTGAAGACTCTAGCAGAGAACCGAACGCAATGGAGACGCACGGCTGAAGCCCTATGTTCCTCTAGGAATTCAAGGAAATAATGATAAATAATAATAAATTTGTCACAAAAATAAAAGCACAGATGACCTTCATAACAATGAAAACGTCGCACATAAGAGTTCCATAGTTTTTTGACCAAAGAAAAAAAGCACATTCACGGGTTTACGGTGAAAACTATTGATCGGTAACCTTTAAAGTCACTATGAGAAGTCATTCAAAAACAAAAAAGAAAGCATATCAAAAATCAAAAAGATTTTCGGTCATATCACATACCTAAAGAATTCTTCTGTAACTGTAGTGTATTTGGATCTGTATGATACGGTGTCTTGTTAAAATCAACAGCTAGAGAAGGTTGAGTATTAATTAAATTTGCAAGACAATAATTCTGACTGTTGCTGGTGGTCCCTGTGTCCACTTTTGGCATGCTGGTGGTGGTGACAGGGGAACTCATAGAAGCTTGTGCAAGTAAAGGTAATTTGCTTGAAGAAGATGAGGACGTTGGTTGGCTGTGTACAGTCTTAGTGTTTCTCTTACCAGAATGAGCATTTTTCGGCAAAACAGGACACGGTTGAGGAGTAGTGGAGTTGTTAGAAGTCTTCGGAGGTTGAGGTTGTCTAGCAGCTATTGCTGAACTCAAACGAGCACTTATTTCTTGCTATAGGACAGGAAAGAAACGTTTGCAGATGTGATCATAAATTCTGGGTAACTGATTTACATTTGGGGAATTAGAAACATGTTTATTACTCTAGTAAAAACGATACATTCATCGATAAATGATACTTCAGTTGTGTCAAATATCCAGTAAAGCTAAAATTCAACTTTCGAGCACAATTTATTGCCCATAATCATATCAAGGTAATCACACGACTTCCTAAATTCATTTATATAGTTCCATAAAATTCACATTAGAAGCCGAAAATAAGCAAGGAGGATTAGCTATGTTAGATTGTAAAATAAAACGAATAGAAGAAGGCAAACTACACACTAGTGTTAATAGAAAACCAACGCATTCTAATAGATATTTAGACTTTAATTCATCTCATCCGTAGTTATCTGTTAAGGCAGGCTTAGTTAAGTGTTTAACAAACCGAGCAATGGCACTAAGTAGCACAAAAAAAGACCTAAATGATGAGATGAAACAGATAGAAGAGGCGTTGGTGTTAAATAACTATCCTCTAAAATTCATTAGGAAGATTGAAAAAGGCCAAAAGAAAAATAAAAAGGATTGTGAAACTAGCAATAATAACATAAATAAGAGAGAATATAAGTCATCTACAGTTATACCATATAAAGAGGGGACATCTGAGACCCTACGTAGGATTCTAAATAAAGCAGGAATTAGGGTGGCATTAAAACCTACAAACTCACTCACCTAAGACAAGCTCTGTAGGTTAAAGGACCCAGTTGACCCAATTAGACAAAATAATATAATTTACAAAATACCCTGCAATGACTGTGAGGTCAACTACATAGGTCATAGGGGCAGTCAGATTGTCAGAACATAAGAATTTAGCTAAAATAAGAATTGTTGACCCAGAGAAGATAAATAATTCAGCAATTGCAATGCATGCATTAGCACACAACCACACAATAGGGTAGGAGAGGGTGAAAATTCTAAAAAGTAATCTAGGTAGGTAGAGAGAGAGGTTGATTACTGAATCCTTGTTCATCGAATCTACACCCAACACATGCAATAGGAATGATTCATCATTTATACCCGAAATATGGAAAATATTACTACCAATCAAATCAAGTGAAAAGTAATGGAATTATATAAATGAATTTAGGAAGTTGTGTGATTACCTTGATATGATTATGAGCAATAAATTGTGCTCGAAACCTCGTCATCAGTAAACATTACTGTATAACACTGTGAGACTTTATGAAAACAAAATTTACCCATAATGGAATTGCACTCTACCACAGTGCACAAGTTTTATTCTTATAAAATTCAACTTACTAAAAATCTGAGAGAGATGTAGGCCATATTGGCTAAGGCGCTCGACTTTCGATCAATAGGTGGTCATAGGGTTAGAGTCCCCCTCCAACTACTTCAGTCTGGCCAACTGAGTAGTATCATAAGATTTTACACAATACGTGTGACTTATAGTTCGGATAACTAAGTTCACACAACAGCAATAATCACAGCAAAGACTTATTTCTAGAATTAAGCAGTACAATTTCAAAATGGCGACGATAAATAAGGTATGCGATAAGTCTAACAAAAAAAACTGAAATATTAGTCTTCTATAAAACTGAGTTCTCCTATATGGGTCAAAAATTTAGCCAAAAGGTCACGAAGAAAACATTTCCAACAGGCGACTGTGGACTTTTATCAACAGTTGCTCACCTCGCTGACTCCATACTGAAGTTCAGATGGCCGGCCAGAAAGAATCAACAACAAGAAACTCTGGGAATGAACCGATCAAGAACCTATTGATCAACAAATATGACCGACAAAGTCTGAATGGATCGGACACTCGCTGAAAAGACTGTTGTCAAATGACACCTTACTCAATGCAGGTCACCGCTCGAGTGGAACTCGAATGGGAAACGAGTTGGGAATGGGGTCCGTGGGTGACATGGCGGAGAGCGAGTGAGGAGGAGGCGAAAGATTATGGGCAATCATGGGGCCGGCTGTTGAAGCTTTATGTTCCAGTCGGAACCCAAGAGAACAATAATAATAATAATAAAGCTCAGTTATTATGATTATATTTCATTATTTATTGTTCACTTGGGTTTCGAGTGGACCATAAGGACGTCACAACAACACATCTAGACTTTGGTTAGGGATTTCATCATGAGCTGATATTGGTTAGAGAACCATTGGAAAACCTGCAGAGAGTACTGGACAACTGTTTCGTCCTAGTTTGGGACTCTTCATCAGCACGCACCCACCCACCACGATTCGAACCCAGGACCTTGCAATTACAAGGCGAGCTTGTAGACCATTAAGCCACTGGGACCCGACCCAATGACCAGTCAACAAATTCCAACTTCTGCCAATTCACGATATAGCGCAATCGCTAGCCAGTGTCATCGTTGGCGAGTATTTGTTCTCACACCCGACCTGCTGCACCCTACTGGTCACGACTTCCAACCAGAATTTCAGGTAACTACCTACCTGAATAGGGCCAGTCGCCAGTGAGCATCTCATTGATATTCAAGTATAGGTTTGTAGGGATTTGGTTGATTGGCTACAGGATTTCATCATGAGCTGACATCGGTTAGAGAACCATTGGAAGACCTACAGGGAGTACTGGACAGCTGTTTTTGTCCTAGTTTGGGACTCTTCATCAGTAAGCACCCTTCGGGGGTTGAACGCAGGACCTTCTGGTTACAAGGCGAGTTCATAGACCATTAAGCCACCGGGACCCGACCCAATGGTCAGTCCATGAATCCAAACTTCTGCCAATTCAGTACTCCCTGCAGGTTTTCCAATGGTTCTCTTCTAACCAATATCAGCTCATGATGAAATTCTGTAACCAATCAACCAAATCCCTACAAACCAATACTTGAACATCTCCACTTTGTGTTCTATTTTCTGCCATTCCCTTCAGATGGGTGGTGGTCCACGATTGACCATAATCTCTCATCTCTTCCTCCATGTTACCCTCTTACAGATGACCCACTCGAGGGCCTGGCGTGCGGAAGCTCATTTATAGTCGCATATTACTTAATGCAAAGTAGTCGCAAATGTTTAGCCCAGAATAAACACACTTACCAAATCATTGAGATCAACAGTTTTGGTAAAATATGCTGAGCCGGCGGTATTTGGTAATACTACAGCACATGAATTTGGAACAAAGCCTAGATTTGCACTTGGCTGGTTTGTATGCTGTATAGTAGTAGTATTAGTAGTAGATAAATCATTAGGAAGAATTTGTGGTTGATGTTTAATTAAACTTGAATAAATCGGTTGTGAATGATCATGCGTAGATTTTGAGAGATCAGGTGAAATACAAAAGACTACTGGCGGCTGATTCTGCGTTAATAAAGATGCTGATGATGATGCTGATGGCGTTGAAGGAAGTTTATCGAATGAGTTGAGGTTATCTGTAAGACTTGTTGAATTACGTTTCATACCACCACCACCACCAGTGGTAAGGCCAGTTGTAGTAGGATCTTTCGGTAGAATTGGTACTTTCTTATTTACTGTATGCGAAAACTTCGCGGCCATAAGTTGATCCGTGTTGTTGGAAACAGTGACTGGATGACGTGAATAACCTTATATGTTAAGAGTAAAAACAATAAAATAAGAATGTAATACGTGAGAATCAATATTATATAAGACTGACGCGCTCATGACAAACGCAACCCCGGAACATCAGTATCTCCTTGACAAACTGTCTGTCTGTTTTCGGCATAGAACTTTGCACATATGTGCGGCAGTTCAAGTCGCCACACTCCATGTAGCCCACAAAGCAAGAGAAGAAAGTAGGAGAAATGCATATTAGAGACAGTAAACAGAGGTGTGACACAAAGGTATAGTAATAACGAAGAACAAAACAGTTTCATTGGAAATCATAAGTCACAAGGAGTGGATGCATCTGCGCCAGCCATTGAGAACGATTTCGAGCCATGTCACCAATTGTTTCCGTCCCGAGGGCCCCAACCAGGAAGTCTACATCTTCTTACGTGGCCTAGACTAACTGTTGCAGATTTCATTGACTGGTGAAGCCATGCTTTTGTTTGACCGCCGCTAGCTCTTTTCCAGCCTGTTCCTGTGTCAGCTAACATTGCCCGTTGGTCGAGGAAGGCGATGACTAGCCATACGTAACACATGTCCTAACCATCTCAGTCGATGTAATTTCACAGCCTCGTCGATTGATTTCCCCTCCTTGACAAACTAAAACACACGCAGCACACAGTACATGACCTGTTTTATACCATAGACCGGAGATAAGGATAACGAGAACACAAAAGCTATACGATATAGGTGTAGTGGAAAAAAATTCTTTGGGAAATCCCTCCTCAACGATTCAGTTACAAAATCGATACTTATTTGGATGTGTCAACTAACTTTGTATTTATTATCCCCTTTTTCCCCTAGACTGTATATCATTGTTCTGACATTTGCATGTCATATGTTGACTTCATCCTTATTACTTGTCTTTCTCCCTCCCTGTTTAATCTCTAATATTAATGTTTCTCTTTGTAGTTGTGCGATACATTGATGTGTGTTGTTTTACGACGTGCTTTTATTTGAGTGAATCAAAGTCATTCTGATCTTGGACTGTCCACGGGAAACCTCGGTGAGTAATTCGTGCTAAAAGAATTTTAATCCCACCTTGTCTGTAAGTATGGTATGTGCTTTGCACCGTCTAAGTGCAAATTACTCTTACAAGATTGGCAGGAGCATGTACCTGCACTCACTCTTGCGGGTGAACCGCTTGAAGTTGTTGATAAGTTTGTGTATCTGGGTAGTTGTGTGAGTGCTGGCGGAGGAGTGACGGATGAGATTTCCAACCGTATAATGAAGGCTAGGGTGGCATACATCAACTTGAGCCACCTCTGGCACCGTCGCGATGTTAGCCTGGCTGTCAAAGGTCGGGTATACAATGCTTCGGTGAGGGCTGTCTTGTTCTACACCTGTGAAACCTGGCCTCTCCGAGCTGAGGATGTGCGGTGACTCTGCGTGTTCGATCATCGCTGTCTCCGCAGGATTGCTTGCGTTCGATGGCATCATCGCGTGAGTAATTCTGAGGTTCAGTGGCGTGTTTGAACACAGTGAAGATCACCATTCATTGAGTGTCGTCATCTGGAAACACTGGCTTTGTTGGCTCGGACATGTGCTGCGAATGTCATCCCAGAGGCTTTCGTACAGGTCTCTGTTCGCTAGCCCTGGGACGGGATGGAAAAGGCGAAGGGGTGGTCAGTCCATGGATGTGGCGTCGTGGGATGAAGGATTTTTGTACTACATTAGCATCGGTTGGTGCGTCACGACTCCCTGGTTGGGGTCCGCGAGATAGCTCGAATCGATGGCTCGAAACGTTATCGGATATGGCCAAAAATCGTAATCAATGACGAACATGTTGCAATTTCCTTCTTTCTTCCTTTCCTGATGATAGTTGAAGAATACTGTTTGAACTTGTTAAACATGACTGTTTTCCTTCCAGATGAAGTTCTTTATCCGTTTTCTACTTATATTTTTACTTTTAATCGATATTGTTTTATTATTATTGTGTAGCGCATCTTTCTTGGTGCCATATTGTACCAAGTTTTTTCTTCTGCGTTTAAATAATAAATAAAACGAATATTCTAATAGATTCTAAGGTACTTCATACAGTTTAATTTTGGTTAACTAAGTTATGTTCCACACTACTTGTTTTGTACTTACAAAGTTACCCTGTCTGTGTATAGCTGCGTATTGGTACTGTTGATGTAATTTTGAGTTTTTGACCTAATTATTGTCGAGGAGAACCGCATAGATGTAACCATGAATAACCGTCATTTCACTGTCTTTGATGCGTCTCTCAAGAAAGTTTTGTCAGGGGTATACATACTGGGATACAAGCATCGGTTGGTTCTCTGCGTTCAGACCACCACAACGAAACGATTTCCGTCATTATAATACGCTACTACAGTCTGAGGCAAAAAATTCCTGTACAAATCATTAATCACCAGTGTTTCTGACACAGATTGATACGATATTTATTACGCACCAGAACACACCAAGATGAAGATTAACATTTGATATCGTCCAAATGATACGCTTCAATTGTTTTTAAACCGTTCAAATTCTAACTACATGGCGCATACAGTTAAATTTCAAAAGAACTCCCCCAACTCAGGGAAGAGTTCACTCAGTAGTGTGCAAACCAAAGGATTCAACAGCAAGTGGAGACAAGATAAATATCATTTACAAAATAAATTGCATAGAGTGTGCTAAGCACTGCTACATCGATCAAAGTGGGCGTCCCTTCGACTCAGAATCCAAGAAAGCAAATTAATTAATTAATTAGCTGTGAAAACACAACATTTATTTCTTTCATATTGATACGGACACCTTTTTGATTGGGAGAATGTAGAAATTTTAAACAGAGAAAACATCAAAAATGTCTGGGAATTTCTAGAAACCTGGTACTCAGATGGATCAGCCATTAACAGACACACTACCATAGATCACATTTATCAACCAATAAAAAATAAATCACACGACAAGAAAGTCCAAATTCCACGTGAATAAAAGTGATCGATGTAAATTAACAACCAGTCACAACAGAGGAGGTTGTGTCAGGAGATAAAATTACATCATTCCCTTCGTAGAGAATTCAAAGAAGTTCACTTAAAATATTAAAACTTGCGCTGAATTGATGTTGTTGTCTAGAAAGGGAACGGGCAATGAAAGCTTCGCGGTTAAATCAACTAGCTCCTCCTCAGAGAACACAACCAAATCAAAATTACCACAGACTAGGAAATATAAAAAACATATTTCTACACATCGTGGATACCTTCCGATAGCTTTAGAATTCCCATTTAGTTGAACTATGAATTGCTAATCATGTAGGAAACAAATTCGTTAAATTATGTTGAAAAGAGTGCGTCGGTGGCACAGAGGTAGAGTGCACTCCTTTACCTCGCTGAGCCAGTAATAAGACTGATAAAGAGGGAAGGTTGGCAATGAGGCTAGCAACCCCATCCTGTAAAAATAATCACCACATCTACAGAAACTCCAAGCCTCTAGCTTGAAGGCCTATGTTCCACTGGGAACGTAAAGGAATCATATATATATATATATATATGTACTACGGTGTGCCACCGACAATTATACATCTTATCCAACAGCTGTACGACAATGCTGCATGCCAAGTAATCCACAAAGGGAATCTTACGAAATCCTTCGAAGTGAGGACGGGGGTGAGACAAGCTAGCTGCCTACTATCGCCAATGATTTTCGTGATTGCAGTAGATTGGATAATGCGACAGACAGCGGCGGATAGCGAGGAAATAGGCATTAAATGGACTCACACAAAAAAAACTTGGAGGATCTGGACTTCGCCGATGATATATGTCTGATTTCCCACAAACTGGAAGATATGCAAGCGAAAAGCAACAAGTTGGCAGAAGAAGCATCAAAGATAGGAATTCCTTCAGGTGAACATAGAGAAAAGAGATGATGAAGATTCCTGGCCAACACCACCAACAGCAACCACAATAACAACAGAAAACAATCAGCATAAATCGGAGGAACCTGAAAGAAACAACCTCTTTCACTTACCTGGGAAGCATCGTTTCAACTAGAGGCGGACGAAACTGATGAGGATATCAAAGCAAGAATCGGGAAAGCAAGACAAGTTCTCACTACTCTCAAGTCTGTGTGGAGGTCAACAGCACTCAGCATCAAAAATAAGATCCGGATTTTCAACTCCAATGTGAAGTCAGTCAGTGCTACTATACGGATCAGAGACATGGCGCGTCATAAAGAGCACCTCAAACAAACTACAGACCTTCATTAACAGTTGTCTTCGCTCAATACTTCGCCGAAGACCAGATGGCCGACTAGAGCAGCAACAGGGATCTCTGGCAATGAGCTTACCAACCAGGAACCGATTGTGCAACAAATATGCAGGAAGAAATGCAGATGGATTGGCCATACTCTGAGGAAACCATCAAGTGACATCACTAGACAAGCCATTGCTCGAGTGGAACCCGAAAGGGAAGCGGCGAGTTGGTCGTCAGTGCAAGGGTGACTTGGAGGAGGTCATGTGAAGAGGAGATGAAAACATGTGAACAGACTTGGAGCCAGGTGAAGACTCTAGCAGAAAACCGAACGTAATGGAAACGCACGGCTGGAGCCCTATGTTCCTCTAGGAATTAAAGGAAACAATTATTATATATATATATATATATATATATATATATATATATGAAATAAAACTTACCCTTAGTTAAACTCTCCGTCAGTTGGTTCTGCTGAGATTCTCGATCAACACCGGCATGTAACACTGAGGATAAATGTGAATCCTGAGCAACGATATTAGTATCAAGTAATTGAGAAGAATGATTATTTGTCTTTTTTGAAAGATTTGAAATCCCACTGGAATTTTGTTCAGATATTTCATGTTTAGGTGAATTGATTACCATTGTCGCCTCCATCGTAGCCAATGAATTTGATAAACGAGCATTTACAGATCTCAAGTGTTCATGTCTAGTTGTAAGACGGACTAATTTCGCTTCAAGAATATCATTTTCACATTTCAACTGATGAAGACAATCCAACAAGGTGACAACTAAGAGATAAGGTTAAAATTTAAGAGAAAAAAATCAATAGATATTATAAATTTTGAGGAATATGTTTGCAACTATATCACTGAAACGTGAATTCTTTCAAATAACAACTTTATAAAAGTATGACAGGAGTCCATCCATAGAGTTAACTCAACCTATATTATCAGTAATGTGTGTCGGTGGCACAACGGTGGAACACTCCTCAACCACGCGCACACCATCCGGGTTTCGATCCCAGACTGACTCATTCATAAATCTCACTCAGGCGGTTTTAAGACCCGTAAAGAGGGAAGGCTGAACGTGAGGCTACAATCACACAGTCATACACAAGATAATCCAAAGAATGGGAATTAATTCACTTTTAAAGAGAATACTAGAAGAGTGGAATGTGCTACTTACAAGACTTTTAAGTAGTATATATATATAGAAATAAATATGTATATCAGCTGAAAGAATATAGAGTGGAGGAGAGGAGAGTTGGATTTAGTGAACGACGCTTGTGAAACATTAGAAAGGTGAAAGGAGTACAAACATGCACAGAAAACATGCGCAAATTGTAATTTTAATATAAGGTACATGTATTTTGCTTATATATTTTCAACACAACCGGCTGTGATTCCCAAAGTGAAAGACGAAGTATCTAGACTAGCCAACTGTAATTATATCTATCAATTCAACACTTGCTCCTGTGGAGGTAGTTATACTGGCTGACGCTCTAGGAACTTAATTTTCTGTGCTCGGGAATACCTATCAGTGTGGTTAGAAAGAGTGTTGTTAAAACCCTCAACAGTTCCATATTAGATCACCTCGTCCAGACAGGTCACACAGCTAGCTATCATCTGTCGGATATCGAATCAATTACCAAAAACCTCAAAATACGGAACATTACAAACATCAGAGTCCATTGCGTTTTTTGTAATTCAACCGGAGATCTACGTGCAAAAGAAACAGGTCCAGCCAGCCTCTATTGCTACGCTAACCTCCGTGTCACTCTCGGATCCGATGCACACCTCGTTATTTCTTATTCACCTTCCACTCAAGAGATGGTCTGTCGCGTGATGTCACCACTCAACGGTCTCCTCAGCGTATGTCCAATTCATCTCCATCTTTTGCGGAATATTAGTTGGGCAGTAGGATCTCAATAAAAGTCTGCAGCTGGTTTTTGGTGACACACCCACCAAGTTTGTGACGCATAAAGATGAACTGATTGACTCATTACTGATGCTGAATATCCGAATCGAATTTCGCTATTTATGCTGCCGAGTGCAGAAGATTTCCACACTGATTTCATAGTGATGACGATTTGTCTTGCCTTCCCGATCCTGGCTGGTTTTCACATCCTCATCCATGCTATTGCTTGTAGTTGAAACAGTGCTGTCTGACCAGATAAGTGAAGGAAGTGACTTCTTTCAAATTTATCCTGTCGATAGTGATTGGTGCTTGTAGTTGGTTGGTTGACTATCTTCGTCACCTCCGTTTTCTCCATGTTCACTTGAAGTCCTGTCTTTGCTGTCTGCTTCTTCTGCCAGATTTTTGCTTCTCGCCTGTGAGTCTTTGAGCTTGTATGACATCAGATATAAGCAGTCCACGAAGTCCAGATATGTATATATATCGCATTTTACAGATGAATATTATTTACCTGTAAAATGTGATATTATAGTCAAGAGAAAAAAATTCTTTACTAAAGAACCAAATAAACTGATTGGTCAGTAGTAACCACGACGGTTCTTAAAGTCAGTCTTGCAAAGTATTATAAGTTCTTCAGTGAACGAAATATTCCCATTATTATTATTTCCTTTAATTCCTAGAGGAACATAGGGCTTCAGCCACACGTCTCCATTGCGTTCGGTTCACTGCTAGAGTTTTAACCTGGCTCCAAGTCTGCCCATATGCTTTCATCTCCTCTTCATATGACCTCATCCAAGTCACCATTGCACTGACGACCAACTCTCCGCTTCTCATTCGGGTTCCACTCGAGCGATGGCTTGTCTAGTGGTGTCACTTGATGTTTTTTTCCTCAGAGTATGGCCAATCCACCATTTCTTCCTGCTTATTTGTTGCACAATCGGTTCCTGGTTGGTTCGCTCCCAGAGATACCTGTTGCTGATCTTTTCTGGCCGGCCATCTGATCTTGAGTATTGAGCGAAGACAACTGTTAATGAAGGTCTGTAGTTTGTTTGAGATGCTCTTTATGACGCGCTGGCCAAGTCTCTGATCCGTATAGTGAGTAGCACTGACTGACTTCACATTGTAGTTGAAAATCCGGACCTTATTTTTGATTCTGAGTGCTATTGACCTCCACACAGACTTGAGAGTAATGAAAGCTTGCCTTGCTTTCCCGATCCTCGCTTTGATATCCTGATCAGTTTCGCCCGCATGTAGTTGAAACGATGCTTCCCAGGTAGGTAAAGGAGGTTGTTTCTTTCAGGTTCCTCCCATTTATGCTGATTGTTATCTGCTGTTGTCGCTGTGGCTGTTGGCCAGGAATCTTCATCACCTCTGTTTTCTTTATGTTCACCTGAAGGAAGTTCTATCTCCTCTGGATGCTTCTTCTGCCAACTTGTTGCTTTTCGCTTGCATATCTTCCAGTTTGTGGGAAATCAGACACATGTCATCGGCGAAGTCCAGATCCTCCAAGTTTTTTGTGTGGGTCCATTTTATCCCTGTTTTCTCATTCCCCGCTGTCTGTCGCATTATCCAATCTACTGCAATCAGGAAAATCATTGGCGATAGTAGAGAGTCTTGTCTTACTCCTGTCCTCACTTCGAAGGATTCCGTAAGTTTCCCGTTGTGGATTACTTGGCATGCAACATTGTCGTACAACTGTTGGATGAGATATATGAAATATCCCCATATCGAGTCATAAGAAAAAGGCGCAAACACCGAAGAAAATTTTCTTTTCGACGATTCTTTTTCATGAGCTGTGCAATCGTAATTATATTAAACAAAGAAATCTTTAGAGCAATCAGATACCAATAAACTTTGTCCTCGAAAAATGTATTACATAATGTAAGGTGTAAGAAGGGATGACTAATTGTAAGTTAGAAAAGAGACAGAAGTTGGCATGACGTAATAAGTGTGAGATAATGACTAATCAATAAGCTCGTGTAGAATGGACAGGAACTAGTGGAAAGGCGATAGTGTTTTTATATAAAATCTGTATGAAAAAATAAATGTTATTAATAAACAGTAATAGAGTGGTAATAAAATATGGATGATGGGAATAATAACGACAATAAAATAGTAGTAGTAATAACAATAATAATAATGGTGAACTTACATGATTTGCAATTAGTAGTGTTCTCTGAGCTGGTTTAAATCAGTTCAGTTTATGCTAAAAATTGCGCTGAAGATGTTGTCCAGAAGGACGACGAAAGCTCCGCAACTAAACCAACCAGCTCAGAGAACACTACTAATTGCAAATCATCCACCTAAGCTACAAATCTTCTCTATTTTTTTCAGAACTTACATAATAAAAAAGAAAGAAGCAAAATTGTGATAAGAACTTTACTCTGACCACGGTAGGGCGAGAGAATATATGTATCGCTCATGGATGCAGAGGTCCGGTTCAGATCTCGAATAGCTAATGCTTCAGCTATGTACAGATGGCATATGCGAATTCCCTTTGTACGATATTGAGGGACTCTGTGTAGCACTGTGAAGCATTCATGCAAGTGAGGGTGCTCGATGTCCGGAGATGACAAGGTGTTCGGGGATAGAGCTGCTACCATATTCTTCTTTCCTCCCCTGGTTAACCAAGCTGAACAGTGTTCCAGAATACGTTTGTGGATTTGACGTTACGTACGGCCGATATACTTGATCCACACGAGCAAGTAAATTGATAAATACACACTGAAGTGGCCAAAAGTGGTATCTTATCCTTAGGGTGAGACTGGATTAACTGTCTGCAGGAGAATGTGATACGTAGTGTGGCTGTTAGAAATGTCTTCTTCAGACATTTAGAAAGGCGGTTTCTGAGAATTTCCGCTGCGATGTCACCTTTGAATTCCAGGTTCATGAAGAGAGTTTTCTTAGGAACAGTTGCGATGTTTGGCGACGGAGGCTTCTCTTTCATGTTTTTGTCTATGAATCTTGGTGGATACCCGTTCTCTAGTAGGGTTTCACGTAATAAACTTAATTCTTTCTCTACCATGTCTTTCGAGCAGATTTTTCTAATCCTTGAACTTAATGTATGTACCAGGTTTTGCTTTCGGATCAGTGGGACGAAGCTCTGGAAGTTGATAAACTGTCCCGTCCATGTTGGCTTGCGATATATCGATCTTTGGATCGTACAGTCGTGTCTTCTGGTAAGTAGTACATCGAGGAATGGAAATGCGTTGTAGTTCGATTCACGTTCTAAGGTGAATCTGATTGATGGGTGTCCAATTATTCATATAATTGATTGGATAGGAAAAAATGCGGAAAAACTACTCATATAATAACACTAATTCAAATACAAGCCAACATTATAATAAACAACAAACCATCAGTATTCTTTGCTTGTTGCATCAACAAACTTCCAGCTTGATCCCATTGCCATTCCAGCAGATCATGCATTGTTGACAGTGTAGGCGGTAAGGATGGAGGATTATCACCCTTACTGGAAATTGGAATGCCATTTGTGTACATTGTACCCGGTGAATCAATATAACTGCTAGCTGTGTTATTCAGAATTGAACTATTCCTTGAATTACATGAAATTCCAAGACCACGTAGAGATAAAGGACGACGGGGGATCACTAAAGGCAAATTGTCCTGAGTAAAGAGAGAAGTAGTGGAATTCTGTGATAAGGCTACCACTGTCCCACTACTGCCATCAGCAGTCACAGCCAAATGATTGTTTGGCACTGTTGTTGTAGACGAAGTCGACTGAGGTGCTAAAAATAAATAAAATTAATCATTAAAAAGGATGAATCTACTTTTTATTACACACTATATAACCGGTTAAACTACCCTTACAGAAAGGTACTAAAAAGAAAACATGAAATATTCCCATGACTTATAAACCAATTATCTAATTAGGAAATAGCTGTTTCGTCCTAATTCGGGACTCATCGGCGGATCCCACCCACTAGGGTTCGAACCCAGGATCTTTCAGTTACAAGTCAAGCCCGCGATCCAATGACCAGTCCATGAATTCTAAATTCTACCAATTCATGATTTAAGCGCGACCGCCAGCTGCCCAGTACTCCCCTTGGGGTTGGTTTTCAATAGTTCTCCAACTAATATCACTCCGTGATCAAATTTGAACCAAATCAAATCCCTACAAGCCAACTCTTGAAAATTGATTTGATTATGTTGTGAAGGTAAGCAGAAAGTATGAATACACTGAATAAAAGCATACACCAACATAGAAAAAAGAAAATGCCTGGATGGGGATTATACATGAACAGAAAAAAGAAACTATAATTAAATAGGAAATTTTCTATAGTTTGGTTTGTAAGGCTTAGTTATGCTTTTACGAGTTGATCACGGATTGATATCAGTTAGAGAACCATTGAAAACCAGCACTGGAGTACTGGACAGCTGTTTCATCCTAGTTTTGCGAATCATCGACAGTACGCACTCGCCACCAGGGTTCGAACCCAGGATCTTCCGGTAAAAAGACAAGCTAGCTCGTATACCATTCAGCCACTCACTAGGACTCGATTCAATGGCCAGTGCATGAATTCTAACTTCTACCAGTTCGTGATTTAGCGCGACCCCAACCATTGTCGCAGTTGGGACATCCATCCTCACACGTGACATCTGGATGGATGGACCTCACTGGTCACGATTTCTCACTAGAACTCCAGGAAATTCCATCCTGTAGCAAGTCACTAGCGAGCATCAGATTAATTTTCTATAGTTGGTTTGTAAGGGTTAGTTATGTCGCGCTAAATCACGAATTGGTAGAAGTTAGAATTCATGCACTGGCCATTGAATCGAGTCCTAGTGAGTGGCTGAATGGTATACGAGCCAGCTTGTCTTTTTACCGGAAGATCCTGGGTTCGAACCCTGGTGGCGAGTGCGTACTGTCGATGATTCCCAAAACTAGGATGAAACAGCAGCTGTCCATTACTCCCTGTGGCTGGTTTTCAATGGTTCTCTAACTGATATCAATCCGTGATCAACTCGTAAATAGGAAATGTACAGGGAAAGCAGCAGTTATACGGAGAACAATGAGAGCTCAATCATCAATCTGCGAAATCACAAGGAGTGAATGTGCATATCTGCGTCATTCATAACGATTTTGAACTATGTCACAAACAGTTGGCAATCATTGGTTCTTTGTTTTGAGGGTGCAAGGCCAGGGCATTTAAACCAATCGATATGACTCAAACTATATAAAAGATATTATGGATTGACGCCAAACTTCTCTTTGACTATCTCTAACTCTTTTTCTCAACCTAATCTTATATCAGCCAAAATCGCTGGTAGAGAAAGACAATATCTCAGCGCATACGTAACACATACCCTGGTTAACTGGTTTCAACACGGGACCTTTCACAGAATCGAGACAGTTCGAGTCCCTACACTATGTACTATAAAAACGAAGAGAAAAAGAGATTCGGAAGGACGACAATAAACAGAAATGTAAGGGAGAAACAGTAGTAACATAGGAAATGACGGTTTTAATTGACATTGGAGATCACAGAGAGTGAATGGATCTGCATTACTGAGAACGATTTTGAGCCTTCATTGCTTCTTAGAATCCCGAGGACACCAACCAGCCAAGAAGTCTACACCTCGCTTCGTGACTGGCTCAAACTAACCGTTAGAGATTTCGTAGACTGTTTCCATGTTTTCATTTGATCACCACTAGTTCTTTTCCAACTAATCCCATGTCAGCTAACATTTCCTGTCGAGGAAGGCGAGGGCTAGTCATCCATAACACATATCCTAGCCATCTCAATCCATGTAACTTCACAACCTCATAGATTGATTTTCACTCCTTAACTAACACTCGACGCCTAACATCGATATTACTCGCCAACTAACACGAGAGATAGAACGCAGACACCTATGATCAAAGACCATTACAGATTAGACTTTAATAGATTAAAACAAAGTGAACAATAGAAATTCTATGTATCATAATGATGGATTATTTTGGTAGCACATGTTTCAAACAAGCCGCCATTGACTTAGATTCCAATCAATAATTTTGAATCGTTGCAGTAGGCTAACCAAGAATCTACATGCACATACATTATTTTGACTGTATGACAGTGTGCTGAAATCAGATGACTGAACTAATAGGAACATTGTCGTCGTGACTGACATCGCAGACTGAAGTAGTCCTTTTTAAGATACATTTAACATATCAGCAAAAATAGATGTGACTAAATAAATCAATACACTCATTTACCGCCAATTTCAAAACAACACTGGTAAGTAAGTAAGTAATTTGGTATGTCGATGATTAACGAAAAAAACGATTTGTTATGATACTTAAAAACCAGTTTTAGACTTTGGAAAGTTTCAGCTGAAAGTGCGAAAAATATTTACTAGCCACAAAGACAACATTTAAACCATTTATCATATAGAAAGAGATTCATGAAGTCCATAGCATCTCGTTGTATATAAAATTTATTTTGATAAAGTCTCACAGTGTTATCCAATGTCATATAAACTAACTAGTAAAGGGATAAAATTCACATTTGAATCAGAAAATGAATAAGGAGAATTAGCTAAGTTAGCTTGTAAAATAAAACGAACAGAAGAAGGTAAACTAAACACTAGCATTTATTGAAAGCCAACGCATTCTTCTAATAGATATTTAGACTTTAATTCATTTAATATCCATTATCTGTGAAGGCACGCTTAGTTAAGTGTCTAACAAACCGAGCAATAGCACTAAGTAGTACAACAAAAAACCTAAATGATGAAATGAAGCAGATAGAAGAACGACTGGTTGGTGTTAAATAACTGCCTATTCTATGAAATTCATTGAGAAGATCAGAAAAGGCCAAAAGAAAAATGATGGTGAAACTTATAATGATAACATGAATGAGAGAGAATATAAGGCATCTACAGTTTTACCATATAAGGAACAGACATCTGAAACCCTATCTACGGAGGATTCTTGATAGGGTGGGAATTAGGGTGGCAATCGAACCTACAAACTCATTTAGGTGAGACAAACTCTGTAGGGGCTAAAGGACCCTGTCGGCTGACCCAATTAGACAAAATAATATTACTTACAAAATACCTTGGAATGATTGTCAGTTAAGTCAACTACATTGGTCAAACTAGTACATCGAGGGTAGTTAGATTGTCAGAACATAAGAACTTAGCTAAGGTTAGAATGACTGACTCCGTGAAGACAATTAATTCAAAAATTGCACTGCATGCATTAACAAACAACCACACAATAGAGTGGGAGAAGGTTAAAATTCTAAGAAGTAATATAGGTAATATATAGAGAGAGGTTAATTACTGAATCCTTGTTCATCGAGTCTACACCCAACACGTGCAATAGGAATGATTCATCAGTCATACCGGAAATAAGGAAAATACTACTACCAATCAAATAGAGAGATGAGAAATTATGGAACTAAATAAACGAAGTAGGAAAGTTGTCTGAGTACATTGATGAGCAATAAACTGTGCTCGAAACGTCATGAGTAAATATTACTGTATAACACTGTGAGACTTTATCAAAACAAATTTTACCCATAATGGAATTACGCTCTACCACAGTGCACAAGTTCTATTCTTATATCAAATATATCATCTCGTGCAATTAGATGTATCAACAACAAAAAAAAAGTTAAGTTGTGTAGCAAAATGGCTTTAGCACTTAACTTCAAGTCACTGAGTCTCGGAGTTCGAGTCCTACTCCACGTATTTCAAACTAGATGACAGAATAATATTATCGGGCAGCAAAATCAACGTTGATCATGACCTGCTACATGGAAAATCAGCCCCGGATAACAGCTTAAATCCAAACATAAGGCTTTTTTCTGCTTGTATTTCTATTAAATAGATATTTTTGTAATCCAAAAATTGAGGCGGCCTGTTTAAAACTTGGGCTACCAAAATACTCCATCATTATACTGCATAAAATTTCTTTTGTTCAGTTTGTATTAATCTATTAAAATATAATCTCTAATGGTGTTTTCAACTCTCACAAGTATTTCAGACGTCTACAACCTGCTGATTCGCAAGTGTCTACTAAACCTGAGATAAAGAGAAATCGTGGTTGACGACGTACCTCAATACATGAGATAACTGTTCCTGAGATTTTCAGCATAAATTGCCACTGCCTGAGAAATAAAACGAATTACCTACAGTCCTCAATTATTAAACTATCCTTATGTCTTCGGTTCGCAAAATGTACTCCTACACCATTTTTAATTGGCTTTCAACCCAATGTTGTGCATTTCTCGAACGTGGGAGGCAAAGAAGAAGTACAATAAGGGATTGGTTTTCACCTCAGATGGAACAGTAATGTGTCAGCCAATTTACTGTCAGTTACTTTTTTACTTGAAGATCGTGGACTAAGAGAAACTATTACGCCATGAATTCCGCCGAAAATTCGAGATATTATTACATAAACACTGTTGAGAATAAAGCTATTATAATAATTATTTTTACGATTTTGACCACAGATTGATATCAGTTAGAGAACCATTGAAAACCAGCCACAGGGAGTAATGGACAGCTGTTTCATCAGCCTAGTTTGGGAATCATCGGCAGTACGCACCCACCTCCGGAGTTCGAACCCAGGACCTTCCGGTTACAAGGCAAGCTGGCTCGTATACCATTCAGCCACTGGGACCCGATTCAACGGCCCATGAATTCTATTATATTTTTTCAAGATTTAATTTGTAAGGATTCTATTTGGTATAGGTCAGACCACGGACTGATATCAGCTGGAGACACATTGAGAACCAGTGATTACTGGACAGCTGTTTTCTCGCAGTGCTTGAGACTCATCGACAGAACCCACCCACTGGGGTTAGAACACTGGACCTTCCAGTTACAAGTCAAGTGTTTATAGATCATTCAACCACTGGGAGTCCATGAATTCTAACTTCTACCAATTAGTGATTTTAGCGCCAGCGGCCGACCACCTGCCAATGTCATCGGTCAGTTACCTCTCCTCACTCACTCCCGACCGAACTGACCTCATTGGTCACGACTTCTCACACTAGAAAGACACCTGTCTCCAGGCAACCTCATCCTGTAGCCACAGTCACTAATGTGCATCTAACTGACATCAATCATTTGAGGCATCAATACAGTCACACACACAAACACACTAGGCCCTTAGAGTCTATAATAATCATCCAATACAAAACTTAACCAAAAACACAAAGATATCATTGACATGAATCAAAGTAGGAGTTGTGCGTGTGTCTGTGTATGTGTGCTGCTGCTGATGATGATGACGGTTGAAAGTAGAAATAAAAATAGTCAGATCGATAAATAAAAACCAAAAACGAATATCCATGAAACTATTATTGTTGTTTAAAAAAATAAAGAATAAATCATCAAGAAGATAAGAAAAGAAATCAACAAACTATACATACAATGTAATATAATACAATAATACCAAAATACCTTGTAGTATCCAGTACTACTACTAATACTATTACTACATCAATAAAGTAGATTTTATTAAAATTCAAGTGACAAACTCACTGTGTGTTGTTGTTGTTGATGGTGGTGGTTTTTTTGTATTTTTCATTGTACTTCTCAAGTGGAAAACAAAAATCAACTCAACTCAACTCAGCACAACACAACACAACACAAAACGATGATAAACTGATGATATGTATGAAATAGCACTCTACTTTCTACTAGTAACTGATTTCAAAGTCTTGATTAATAATAATAATAATAATAAAGTGAGAATAAGTTGGAATATAAACAAATAGACAACGTGATTAAATACTACTACTGTTATAATCAATCAATCAATCATTACTGTCATCAGGTAGGACCACAGATTGTGATAGCAGTTGGAGAACAACCATTGAAAACCACCACCAGCCATAGGGAATAGCGGACAGCTATTTCGTCCTAGTGCTTGATAATCATCGGTAGGACACCCACCCACCGGCGGGAGGGGGCGGTTCGAACCCAGTACTCGATAATGACAAGACCAAGTTGCCTGGAGTTGACGTTAGGCGTAGAGTGTTGGGCAAAGAGGGAAAATCAATCGACGAGGCTATAAAGTTACATAGATTGAGATGGCTAGGTCACGTGCTGCGCATGTCTAACCATCGCCTCCCCCGCCGACGGGCATTACTAGCTGATATAGGTGCAGGTTGGAAAAGAGTAAGTGGTGGCCAAACAAAAACATGGCATCAATCCATGAAATCCCTGATAGTTAAACTGAGTCAGGTAGGGAGGGAGATGCAGACTTCCGGGTTGGGGCCCGCCCTCGGGACTCTAAGAATCAATGGCTGGAGACAATAGGTGACATGGCTCAAAATCGTTGTAAATGGCACAGATGTATTCAGTCTCTTGTGTAATCTTTCATATTCCTTTCTACCATTACTCATTCTGTTTCACTTTCATACTTGTCAAAACTCTATTGATTCTCCTCAATCATCCATCTTCTTGTCTACCTTTGTGTGCTATTTGGAACGTGGCACTCGAAGTGCTGCACTTCGGTGCCAAGTTTTATGTTGAATCCAGCCAGCAATGTAACCGGTGACGGACCTTTATTAATGAAAAACACATCATATTTATATATTCTTAGCCCCATTGAAGTTCGGTTAGGTCAGAGGAGAATAGATTGTTCTGATTGGTGGGCGATTGCCCCACCCAAGGTTAGACAAGTTGTCCAATAAGGTTATTTCATTCATGTCCCCACAAAGTAAACTGAATAAATGCAGATTTGGAGAATAAACATTTCGATTTCTGCAGTCAGCCACTAACTTAAAATGTGGATTTCAATTTTCGCTGCTTCTTATCAATCTGTATCACAGTACAGTACCGCCATTCTTCATACAATAAAGTGTGGCACTTAGCCAGCTACATGAAAAATCTGTTCACTTACTTGTGTTTTTGTTAGATCTCTTACGTCTTCTCACTGTATTCTGTTGATTAACTCTGAAAAGTGCAAATGCATTTAGGAGAGAAGTTTAAACATGTGCTTGTTAATATATAAACAACAAAAATACAGCATGAAATAATTACACACCAAAACTTTTGTGTCTGACAGACTGACTGGTTTCAACATAGAACATGGAAGATGGAACCAAGATACCCATGAGGAAAGACAGTTAGCCTTTTCATGTCCTCCACTTCCAATGACCATGTCCCACAGCCATAAAGGAGGACGGAGCGAACTGGTGTGCAGTACACACGTCCTGTGATCAATAACCGGTCGGATACCGCGTCTACGCCGGAGATGGCGTATTTTGACAGATGCCACACGAGACTTTTGTATCCGTGAAGGGATTTTGTCAGCGATCAGCCCATCGTGGCTGATGCAACCAACTTCCCAAATAAGTGAAGTGGTCAACAGGCTCTACCAATTCATTCATTTTTAAGCCAGGATTCGGTGGGTAGAACATGTGTTACGCACGCATTTCTAGCCATCGCCTTCCTCGACTGCCGGGCAATGTTGGCTAACATAGGATCAGGTTAAAAGAGATCCAGTGGTGGTCAAACGAAAACATGGAATCAGTCCGTGAAATCTTAAACGGTTAGTTTGAGCCACGTAGGGATTTGTAAATTGTTCGACTGGTTGGTGTCCTCAGGACCCTAAGAACCAAACGGTTGCAGACAATTAGTGATATGCCTCAGGTAGATTCACTCCTTGTGTGATCTGTATTCCGTTCTCTTACTTCTCAGAGGAACTGAAAGTTGGTAAACAACAGACCACTCCCTAGGCGGCGGTCAGCCAGATGCAGAAAGTAGACTGTGCAGTTGTTTTGGATTGAACCCAAGTAATACGTATTTTCTAAAGTGGGAGGTGATATAGCGGTCGATGTCCAGTCTGGAAATAAACCAATAGGAATTTGGCCCACGTAAAATAACATCCAATATTTTATTGGCCATGATTACAGACTAATTGACAGAATCTTTGGTGATATTTTGAACCACACATAATTGCGTAAAATACACTCACTTTGCGACTCGCATAGTTGTGTTTCGTTTAAGTGATGAGGACTGGGGAAACAGGTAGCTGTCGTATAGTGTTGCTGGCGTAGTTCAACGGTATTTGTGACCAGTGAATCTGTGCCCTACTTTAGTTAGTCTCAACGTATTGAGAAACACATAACATGACTGCTGGCACGATTTAAACTATGATCTGAAAACTGCTCACAGAATCTTGATTGTGTTAACTGGAGGATAATTTCTAGTTAGGAACACATTCAGAAAGTTACACTAACATTATAGCACAGCATAACACGTTTTTCATTCCATTTATCACATTAAGACCCGTCAGTAGTTCAGTGGGTAGGTGATATGTAGTCACATGATGTCTGCTTTGTTTTGACAGTCTGCTTATATTTTACTATGTGTATATATGATCGTTATTCCATTATAACTCACAATATGTTTTGTCTGTCCATTAACTAAATAATAAACAATGTATGACCTTTGTCACATGACATTACAACCAATCAGAATCCAGTTTTTGGTAAAAAAATACTCTCTTTCTTATTGGTTCATGTGTGTTAGTTATTTCCTATATATTCTTGTATTGTATGGTTAATTCACACTTTCGTACTCTTTAGTACCTTTTTCACTCACACTCTTGTGTGGCAGTTAATTTTCCTTGTCGGAAAATACACGTATCCATTTTTGAACATGGTGGTCTTCTGATTTGCCTCTTCGCGTCAAGATAAATTAAGTACTCAGCAGTACCAGTCTGTACGTTATCATCCGTTATTTCTCATCTCATTAGCGCATATTTACACTCGGTCACACCAAAATATTGGCAACGACACCATAACAACATATTGGCGACGAGTTCATAACAGTAGGGCACTCGTCAACCACAACACACGTGGTCCGAGATTCTATCTTCGGCCGACGCACTCACCCTTCCCCTCCCTAGCTGGTAGGAATCTCGGTAAAGAGGGAAGCTTGGGCGTAAGGCAAATATTTTGGTGTGGTTGTGTTCTCTGAGCTGGATAGTTAATTTGCGAAGCTTCCATCACCCTATTAGGTGACATCTTCAGCGCATACTTCAATTTGAATTGAAGTGAGCTTTTAGATTTCTCCACGAGTTTATTAATCATCCCTCCCGGTGACCTTGGACGTGATTGTTGTGTGTTTTCACACCTTCTAGGCTACTTGTATTGTAATTGATTGTTTCTTTGACTTGAACTTTGACCCTTTGTGTGTGAGGTTTCTTTCTTATCAGTTGATAAACTTTGTCAATCTCGATGTGTCTATTGATTGATGATTCACTGGAATACCAGACAGGCTTCTAAAAATTCTCTAGCATTCTTGTTGTTTCCTCTGTCTAATATTTGAACATTGTCCCAATCGAATTGATGTCCGTGGTTGTCTGTATGCAGCGATATGAGCGAGGAAGCGGATGTCATGTCTTTTGACGGCTAGCTTATGTTCGTGGATACGAAGACGAAGGGGACGTCCACTTTGGCCAACGTAGTATTTTTCACAGTTGTTACAATTTATCTTGTAGATGATGTTGGTTTTATCTTCTTTCGCTGTTGAGTCTTTTGGTTCACATAGAACTGAGTGAAGTCGCACACAAACCGACAAAATCACTTCTCTATCATATGTAAGGCAAATAAAACCAACCCGTAAAATAGACCACTGCTACTGAAACTTCAAAACTCAAGCTTCAGGCACTATGTTCCACTGGGGACACAAAGGAATAAAACATTTAATAAAAATCATTAAGATATAGAGAATATCACCCTGACAATTGTCTGCAACCATGAAATTGAATTAGCCGCTTTTCTTAAAAGTGCACAAAGGATTTTCAAAAACATCACTGCGACACTGAAAACTTGAACATCCCAATCATAAAAACAACAACTTTACGTAAGCTTAACCAAAAAATTACTCACGATAAAATGTTACTTTTCAGTAAAAAAGATCTACCACAATTCTTTACCTTGGGGGTTGTTTTTCTGTCAGTTGGGCAGCTGCATAAGTGACATCCGAAGAAGAAGAAGAAATAGTAGTGGGCATAGGCGATGAAACAATAATCGGTTGAGGCGGCTGTTTACAGAATTCAAGGGTTGTAACAGATGGCGGATTAGGCGGACTTGTTGTGTTGTAGTAGTCTGCAGTATTTTTATCACATACTTTATCGCCATGATCATTTGTTGATACGTCAGACAGTGGACCAAGGGGACACAACAAATTGTCTTCAACAGCTTTTTCTTGATTTACAGGTAATGAAGAAATATTGTCTGCTTGGTTCATCACAACAGGCGATTCATGCATCTTTGGATCGGTATTTTCAACCTTCTCCATTGCTTTGGCTTCAAAATAAACGGAAATCAGAATCGGTAATACGTTTTTAGTTGGTTTGTAAGGGTTAGTTTTGTTTTTGGGAGTTGATCACGGATTGATATCAGTTAGAGAACCATTGAAAACCAGCCACAGGGAGTACTGGACAGCTGCTGTTTCATACTAGTTTGGGAATCATCGGCAGTACGTACCCCCTGCCAGGGTTCGAACCCAGGACTTTCCGGTTACAAGGCAAGCTCGTATATCATTCAGCCACTGGGACCCAATTCAATGGCCAGTGAATGAATTCTAATTTTTACCAATTCATGATTTAGCGCGACACCAACCAATGTCATCAGTGGGACATCCATCCTCACAAGTGACATCTGGATGGACCTCACTGGTCACGACTTCTCACTAGAACTCCAGGAAACTCCAACCTGTAGCAAGTCACTAGCGAGCATCAGATTAATTTTCTACAGTTTGGTTTGTAAGGGTTAGTTATGTCGCGCAAAATCACGAATTGGTAGAAGTTAGAATTCATGGGCTGTCCATTGAATCGGGTCCCAGTGGCTGAATGGTATACGAGCCAGCTTGCCCTGTAACCAGAAGGTCCTGGGTTCGAACCCCAGCGGGTGCGTACTGCCGATGATTCCCAAACTAGGACGAAACAGCTGTTCAGTAATCCAGTGCTGGTTTTCAATGGTTCTCTAACTGTTATCAATCCGTGATCAACTCGTAAAAACAATACTTTTATAGTTTATTTATAAACACAATAATAAGTTAATATGTCTTATTAATAAGAGAATACGAGCTTGGACACTGTGGTGAAGTATAATTCCATCGCAGAGTAGATTTATTTGATGATAAAGTCTCTTGCAGTGTTCTTATACAGCATTCTTATTTACTGATGACGACGTTTCGAGCACAATTCATTACTGCTCACCGTTATCATATCACGTTACTCTCACACAACTTGCCGACTTCGTTCATTCACTTGAATAACAAATTGATGATTAGACATGAATGAACGAATAAATAAATAAAGGTCAATATAAAGTTCAACAGACAGGCGTGAAATAGATAAGATGATAAAGTACATTCGTAAATGTGAATGCAATAAGATGACGGGGAAATAAGACGACTGTTGTCAGTCAATAAGACATTTGAATCAGAAAATGAATAAGGAGAATTAGCTAAGTTGGCTTGTAAAATAAAACGAACAGAAGAAGGTAAACTAAACACTAGCATTTATGAAAAGCTAACGCATTCTGCCAATAGATATTTAGACTTTAATTCATCTAATATCCATTATCTGTGAAGGCACGCTTAGTTAAGTGTCTAACAAACCGAGCAATAGCACTAAGTAGTACAACAAAAAACCTAAATGATGAAATGAAACAGATAGAAGAACGATTGGTTGGTGTTCAATAACCGTCCTATGAAATTCATTAGGAAGATCAAAAAAGGTCAAAAGCAAAACAAAAATAACGGTGAGACTAATAATGATAATATAAACACGAAAGAATATAAGGCATCTACAATTCTACCATATCAGGAGGGGGACATATGATTCTTTATAAAGCAGGAATTAGAATGGCATTTAAACCTACGAACTCACTCATGTAGGACAAGCTCTGTAGGTTAAAGGAACCTGTAGGTTGACCCAATTAGACAAAATAATATAATTTATAAAATACCTTGCAATGACTGTCAGTTAAGTCAACTTCATAGGTCAAAGTAGTAGAACGTGGGGTAGTCAGATTATCAGAATATAAGAATTTAGCTAAGGTTAGAATGATTGACCCCGGGAAGATAAGTAATCTAGAAAAAAATTCAGCAATTGCACTGTATGCAATAACATACAACGAAAAAGTAATATAGATAGATGGAGATAGAGAGAGGTTAATTACTGAATCTTTGTTCATCGCATCTACCACATGCAGCGGGCATGACTCCTTACTAAAAGCAGAGATATGGAAAATACTACACCGAATTAAATCAAAGGATACGAAATAATGTTCAGATTTGCTTTTTTGTTTTGTTTCAATTTTTGTTATCTTACTCTAACATCTTGTTTCAATACCAACACTCGTCTTATTCCTTCCCCCCCCCCCATCTTATTGCATTCACATTTACGAATGTACTTTATCATCCTATCTGATCTGTTTCACATATGACTGTTGAACTTTAATATTGACGTTTATTTATTTATTTATGATCTCGCCAAATTTGTCTTCTAAATGCCTTATTCAAATTTATTTGACTGGACACTAGTAAATAACTAGTATGATGTATGTCTAGTCCTGTCTTTGGTGCAGACTGAATTCTATCAGTCAGGTTTGCAATGTAGCCATCATTCTAGGTAGCTCGCCATTACGGTGCACATTGATGTGATGAGATTAGATGGTTGGAGGCAATCAGAAGGAAGCCTTGTTTGATCTAGGTTTCGTGTTAGTTGGCACTCACCACTCAGTCAGTAAGGCGACCTTGAAAGAACTCATGTCGCTTCTGAGATTCGAACCTGACTGATAGAATTCAGTCTGCACCAAACAATGGACTAGACACATCACACTAGTTACTAGTGTCCAATCGAAGTATCCAATACAATCCTGCAGGAAGGAGGTCAATCGCGAGCCCAAATAGCTCAATGGTAACGTCTTTGACTGCAGCACTGAGTGATGCAGGTTCGAAACTCAGGAGTGACATGAGTTCCTTCAAGCTTGCAGATACGCCTAACTGACTGGTGAGTGCCAACTAGAACGAACCGTAGACTCAAGGCTTCCTGTCGATCGTCTCCAACCATTTCATATCATCAAATCAAATCAAATTTATTTATTTATTCATTCACTCATATGTCTAATCATTAACCTGTTAATCATGTATATGAACGAAGTCGGCAAGTTGTGTGAGAGTACCTTGATATGATAACGATGAGTAGTAATAAATTGTGCTCGAAACGTCGTCATCAGTAAATAAGAATGCTGTACAACAACACTGTGAGGCTTTATCAAACTACGTTAGGACAGATTCATTTTGTGATGATAATTTATTAATTATCAAAGATACTGTAGATGTTTAAACCTTTTAAGAAAGGAATTTTAATTTTGAATCTTGCAGAAACTTGCTAAATGATACTTTAAGGTGGTATCACTGACTGGTCATTGTATGGGGTCCCAGAGACTGAATGGTCTACGAACGCTTGACTTATAACCAGAAGGTCCTGGGTTCGAATCCCAGCCAGTGGATTCATAAATCCAACGAGTCCGGGGCACTAGGAAGAAACAGCTGTCCAGTACTCCCAACTGGTTTTCAATGGTTCTCTGACTGATATCCATCCCTAAAGAAATGAATGCATCCCCTCTACTGGACCGCTTTATTTATACCTACCTTGTAAGAAGAAACATTCAAGATTAGTTAAATGACAAGTAAAGCCTTACACAATGCACAGCTTTCCGTTAATTGACTACTGACGTGTAATATATACTACTTTCTCAGAAAGAAGCAAAGCGCTCTAGTATTCCGCTGAGATGTTAAATTGATGTTTTAACATGCCTAATCATACATACAAATGAATGAATGAGCGGAAGACATGAAGAGATTGTCTGTTTTTGACCACAGATGTTTACGATCTCTCTCTCGCGTTAGGTAGTATAATAAGGTAAGTAATGTTGACGTTAGGCGTAGAGTGTTGGGCAAAGAGGGAAAATCAATCGAAGAGGCTATAAAGTTACATCGATTGAGATGGCTAGGTCACGTGCTGTGCATGCGCCTAACCATCGCCTCCCCCTCACAACGGGCATTACTAGCTGATATAGGTGCAGGTTGGAAAAGAGTAAGTGGTGGCCAAACAAAAACATGGCCTCATCAATCCATGAAATCCCTGACAGTTGAACTGAGTCAGGTAGGGAGATGCAGACTTCCGGGTTGGGACCCTCGGGACTCTAAGAATCAATGGCTGGAGACAATAGGTGACATGGATCAAAATCGTTGTCAATGGCGCAGATGTATTCAGTCTCTTTAACCTTCATACTCCTTTCTACCATTACTCATTCTGTTTCACTCTTATACCTATCAAAGCTCTATTGATTCTCTTCACTCATCTACTTATCTACCTCGTGTGCTCTTTGGAACGTGGCAACTGGAACTGGTGCACTTCGGTGGCAAGTTCTATGTTGAATCCAGCCAGCACATATGAATGAATATTAATACAGCTGTGTTGAGAATAACTGCTCTAGTTATAAGTTATTTACATGGAATCATCGTTTATGTCAGCTAGAAGCGGTCTGTAGTGACTATAGCATTTTGCCAAATATGCATATTCCAGGTTATGTGAATCCTAAGATAAAGTGGATCGTTTTTGATTGCACACTAGTCAGTAACTAGTGTAATGTGTCTAGTCTTTTCTTTGGTGCAGACTGAATTCTATCAGTCAGTCATGTTTGCAATGTGGCCACCATTCTAGGTAGCTCGTCATCACGGTGCATATTGATTTGATGATATTAGATGGTTGGAGGCAATCCCCCATAGGAAGCCTTGCTTGACCTGGGGTTTCGTGCTAGTTGGCACTCATCAGCAAGGCGTATCTGCAACTTCCTTGAAGGAACTCATGTCCTTCTGAGATTCGAACCCGCGTCACCCAGTGCTATAGTCAGAGACGTTACCACTGAGCTATTCAGGCTCGCGACTGACCTCCTGTAGGACTGTGTTGGATATTTTTGATTGCACACTAGTTAGTAACTGGTGTAATGTGTCTAGTCCTATCTTCGGAGGTCAGTCGCGAGCCTGAATAGCTCAGTGGTAAGATTCTCTGACTATAGCACTGGGTGACGCGGGTTCGAATCTCAGAAGGGACATGAGTTCCTTCAAGGAAGTTGCAGATACGCCTTGCTGATGAGTGCCAACTAGCACGAAACCTAGGTCCAAGGCTTCCTTCCGATTGCCTCCAACCACCTAATACCAATAAAGTGGATCGGTAATATAATACTGTGGCGTGTGCAATACAGATGCAGATCGATAGGAAGTGGTCAAAAATGCGGAGTTAGAAGTGTGTACTGGTGGTCTGGGAATAATCCCATTGGACAACTTTTTGTCCCCTTGTTCAACCTTGGGTCAATAGCCATCCAATCAAAACGTCTGTTGTCCGATCACCCAGATACCACTTAATGTGGTTTAAAATGTATATGATGCCTTTTTCCCTTAATAAATATAGTCTATTACCACTTCTCTTAACTTCTACCGCTACAGAACCACTTTTACTTGCTAAGAAAACAGACAAATATTTAGTATAAATTCATTTACCTTTACAAAATACCTTGAACTCACCCGGTACTTGTTCTGATTGAACAGTTTCACCACCACATTCATCCATTTTAACTCGTTTCGGATTTGAGCAATCTGATGAAGTGGATTCTGGACTACAAATTCCATCGGGATACTGATCTTTCTGTGATTTGGAAGAGTTTTGACCACCACCACTTGGTGATGAGCTCTTCTTGCCATCCTTTATCACATCTTGAAAAGTTTCCTTATCGTCTATTCTATCAGGATCAGAAGACTGTGATCGTTGAGTAAGACGTAACTGGGAAGAACGTCGTCTAATCGACTGATTGGTTACTTCACCTGGAGGTTCATCATGCATAGGAGACTTGCATAGCTTACTAGTAGTATCACTGTGAATGTAAATATACACGGGGATGGTAAAAAGTTTTATAGAAAAAACAGAAACAGCTTTACTTTTATCAGTTATGCAGCTTACACAGAAAAGAAACAACACATGAAATGGCAAATACAACAAAATTTGAAAGCTTCAGATATATGCCTCACTCATAATTTAAGGTGAGTTGAAGACTATCTCCTATCGTGAAGAAATATACAGCAAAAAACCTAAATGATGATGTGAAACAGATAGAAGAACGACTGGTTGGTGTTAAATAACTAACTATCCTATGAAATTCATTCGGAAGATCACAAAAGATCACAGGAAAAAGAAAAAAATAGTGAAACTAGTGGTGATAATATAAATAGGGAAGAATTTAAACCATCTACAGTTTTACTATATAAGGGAGGAGGACATCTGAAACCCTACCTACGGAGGATTATTAATAAAGCAGGAATTAGGGTGGTGACATTTAAACCTACAAACTCAATCACCTAGGACAAGCTTTGTAGGTAAAAGGACCCTGTAAGCTGACCCAATTGGACAAAATCATATTATTTACAAAATCCCTTGGAATGACTGTCAGTTAAGTCAACTACAAAGGTCAAACTAGTAGATCGAGATTGGTGGGACTGTCAGAACATAAGAATTTAGCGAAGGTTAGAATGATTGACCCCACGAAGATGAGTACTTTAGAAACAAGCTCAGCAATTGCACTGCATGCATTAACACACACACACACACAATAGGGTAGGACAGAGTAAATGTTGTAAAAATAAATATAAGTAGATGGAGATGGAGAGAGGTTGATTACTGAACGTGTGCTCATAGAATCTACACCCAACACGTGTAATAGGAAAGGAATCATCACTCACTCATACCAGGAATATGGAAAAAATATTACTATCAATCAAATCAAGAGATGAGAAATAGTGGAATGATATAAACGAAGTAGGAAAGTTGTGTGAGTAACTCGACATGATAACGATGAGCGGCAATCAATTGTGCTGAAAAGGTCATCAGTAAAAAAAAGTATGCCGCATAACAACACTGTAAGACTTTATCATCCAATAAAATTTTCTCTCTGATGGAACAAAATATGTCTAACAACACAACGGTTTGAGAGAGTTATAACTTTGTCCTACCGAAAAGATTAAGTAGGATTCAATTTGTCTAAATTACTGAAATGCAATTGTGATCTGACTTGTGGATTCAATTTTCCTCAATCATTTCATGCATACATAAATATATATTATTGTTTCCTTTAATTCCTAGAGGAACATAGAGCTTCAGCAGTGCGTCTCCATTGCGTTCGGTTCTCTGCTAGAGTCTTCACCTGGCTCCAAATCTGCCCACACGTTTTCATCTCCGCTTCACATGACCTCCTCCAAGTCACACTTGCACTGACGACCAACTCACCGCTTCCCTTTCGGGTTCTGCTCAAGGGCTTGTCTAGTGATGTCACTTGATGGTTTCCTTAGAGTATGGCCAATCAATGCACCTTCATTTCTTCCTGCCTATTTATTGCACAATCGGTTCCTGCTGGGTTGGTTCGCTACCAGAGATCTCTGTTGCTGATCTTTTCTGGCTGGCCATCTGATCTTGAGTATTGAGTGAAGACAACTGTTGATGAAGGTCTGTAGTTTGTTTGAGATGCTCTTTATGACGCGCAGTGCAAGTCTCTGATATGTATAGTAGCACTGACTGACTTCACATTGGAGTTGAAAATCCGGATCTTATTTTTGATGCTGAGTACTGTTGACCTCCACAACGACTTCAGCGTGATGAAAGCTTGCCTTGCTTTCCCGATCCTCGCTTTGATATCCTCATCAGTTCCGTCTATAGTTGTAATGATGCTTCCCAGGTAGGTAAAAGAGGTTGTTTCTTTCAGGTTCCTTCCATTTATGCTGATCGTTGTCTGTTGTTGTTGCTGTGGCTGTTGGTGTTGGCCAGGAATCTTCACCACCCCTGTTTTCTCTATGTTCACCTGAAGGAAGTCCTATCTTCTCTGGATGCTTCTTCTGCCAACTTGTTGCTTTTCGCTTGCATGTCTTCCAGTTTGTGGGAAATCAGACATATATCATCGGCGAAGTCCAGATCCTCCAAGTTTTTGTGTGAGTCCATTTTATGCCTGTTTCCTCATTGCCCGCTGTTTGTCACATTATCCAATGTACTGCAATCAGGAAAATCATTGGAGATAGTAGGCAGCCAGCTTGTCTTACTCCTGTCCTCACTTCGAAGGATTCCGTAAGTTTCCCGTTGTGGATTACTTGGCATGCAGCATTGTCGTACAGCTGTTGGATGAGATGTATAATTGTCGGTGGCACCTCGTAGTAGCGAAGTAGTTGCCAAAGCACCTCTCGATCGACGCTGTCAAAGGCCTTTTCAAAGTCGATGAAGTGGGAACAGATATATATATATATATATATATATATATATATATTGAACTGAACTTTATCATCAAATGTTTCAATCAATAAAAAAATGTCTGAAGGAACTCGTCGCTAACAAAGTACTTGTAAACATGTGTAAAAGTTTAATTCAAATTAAATTTTCCCGTCGATTGATTAAAGTGAAGTGCTTGGTCTCTGGTTGACATATTGGCTTCTTGTGCGGATGCTTCGACGATGTCTGGTCATGTAACTTGAAGTCAACTGGTGGGTGGTGACTAACAGTGGAATCCAGGATGCACATTTCCTCCTATTTGGGACTGGCTCATCAGCTGGACGTACTTGTATTTCCCAATGAGTGATGGTGTTGCCACCTTCGCTGAATTTCGCTGCTAGTCACCATCAACCAATTGACTTCAAGTTAGATAACCAGACATCGTCGAAGCATCTGCACAAGAAGCCGACTTGTCAACCTAAGACCGAGCACTTCGGTCCAATCAGTCGACGGGAAAATCTAAAATTAAATTAAATAATTAATACGACCCGTTGCACGAGAGGTGTCTCTCATGGCCCAAGTGGTCTAGTGAATAACGCTTTGGCGTTTGAGACTATAGGCACTGGGTTCGAGCCTCGGTGGGAACACCATCACTCATTGACTGTGGAATATAGGTACATCCAGATGACGAGCCAGTCCCAAATAGGACGAAATGCGCGTTGTCCTGGATTCCACTGCTAGTCACCATCAACCAATTGATTTGTAAAAGTTATCAAATGATCAACAAGAATGCCTTTTGTTTAATTATTACACTACAAAAGTCAGTAGCATGCAGTCGATAATAACAAGGTAAGAGAGAGATTATGCTTACCTGTGAGAAATAGCAGGAGTTGAATTTGAATTGGAAACTTCATAGAACTTCTAGGTGTGGAGAATAGGAAAAACAAAACAAATTTATTATACATGTTTCATACCCCGCCCCCCTTATAGACTTAAAACATAAGTAATGTGAATAGAAATAATAATAATATCTAGGCAACATAAATTTTACAAGCACATTACTAGACCTAAAAAAGATCACAATTTCCGCCGAATTACGTATAGTAAGTGTTGTACGTAGGTCCTACGATAAATCAGTGGAAATATGTCCTCTTATGATGAACTTCTAGACCAGTTAAAGTATTCAGCCGATCACATGTTAACATCGCTATTGACGTCGGCTGAAATCAACAGTTAAGCACTGAGTTAAGTGGATCCTAGGTGGCTTACTATTATATATTATTATTATTGTTCCCTTGGGTTCCGAGTGGAACATAGAGAGAGCTTCAACAGGATATCCCCCACTTTGTCCTATTTTCTGCTGTCCTCTTCAGCCGGCCTCACGATTGCCCATAATCACTCAACGGCCTCTTCAGCGCGTGTATCCTATCCATCTCCATTTTTTCCACCATATTTGTTGGACAACAGGTCCTTGATTGGTTCTTTCCCAGAGTTATAGAGTCAGCGAAGCAGACAGCTGTTGATAAAAGTCTGAAGCCACCAGTTGGAAATGCTTTTGGTGACACGTTGGCCAAGTTTCTGACCCATATAGAGGAACTGACTGACTGACTGACTTAACATTGATGTTGAAAAACCAAAATTTTTTTGTTTATGGTGAGTGCAGTAGATTTGCAAAACGATTGCAGAGTGATGAAGGTTTGCCTTCCCTTTCCGAACTTGACTGGTTTTGACATTGTCATCCGTATACTATAGCCTGTTGTTGAAACAATGCTGCCTAATCAGATAAGTGAAGCAAGTGATAGTGATTGGTGGTTGTCGTTGTTGCTGGTTGGTTGGTTATTTTTAGCATTACCTTTGTCTTCCCCCCATGTTCACTTGAATTCCTGTCCTTGCTGCCAGCCTCTTCTGCCAACTTGCTGGTTTTCACCTGTAAGTCTTTGAGTGTGTGTGTGTGTGTGACATTAGACATAAACCATCCAAGAAGTTGAGATCTTCTAGTCTTCTTATAGGTCCAATGTATTCCTGCCTTCTCACTCTCCCAGGCACAGTCTTCAGCATAATTCAGTCCACCATAATTAGGAATATTATCGGTCTTACTCCTGTATTCACATCAAACAGCTCAGTACACGGGATTCCAGACAACTCTAACAGTTACCTTTGACTGGTCACCAGTTAGTAACTGATGTAATATGTCTAGTCCTTTGTTTGGTGCAGACTGAACTCTGTCGGGTCAACTTTGTAATATGGCCCCCCACCATGCTAGGTGGTGACTCGCCAACACCGTTCACTGTGAATTTGTTAATGTTAGGTGGTTGGAGGCAATCTGCAGCAAGCCTTTCTTCGCCTAGGTGATCTTCTTGTTGTCACTCGTCCCTCAGCAAGGCGTGTCTGAAACTTCGAAAGAACTCATGTTCCTTCTAAGATTTGAACCCGCGTCACCCAATGCTGCAGCCAAAGACTTCACCATTGAGCTATTCGGGCTTGAGGCTGACCTCCTTCCTGTAGGAGACTGTGGCAGATACTAGTTAATGTGGCTGGTTCTTTCTTGCAGATACATTTTGCTGACTGGTGAGTGCCAACTAGCACGAAAACTAGATCCAAGGCTTCTTGCAGATTGCCTCCAACCATCTAATATCAGCAATCTATTGGTTACCACATAGTGAGAAATTTATGTGAATACATGTTGCATCCTATAAACATACACAAGCATTGCCACGCATATATACACTCAGATTTAGATATAACGGAGATGTGTAGCTCAAGTGGATGATTTTGGTGTATGTGTTCTCTGAGCTGGATGTGCTTTTACCTGCAAAACTTTCATTGCCTTACTACTACTGGGCAACAACATTCACAGTGCATACTCCAACTTCAAGTGAGCTTTCAAATTTCTCCACGAGTTTATTAGTCATCTCTCCTGGCGGGTGACCTTGAAAGTGATTGGTTGTTTCCATGTGTTTTCTCACCCTCTAGTCTACTTGTATTCGTATTGATTGTTCCCTTGACCTGAAGTTTAACTTTCTATTCATTCATGTGATTTCCTCCTTATGGATTGGTAAAACTTACAGCATTATTAATATCTCCAACCTAATAACTTTCCCTAGTCAAAATGCCGTCTAAACTATGAACCAGACAGGAATCGAATCAATTAGATAAGTGATACTGAACGCCCTTACACACTATTCAGTTTTCCCATAGCACTGAACTGCTATCAATAGGTGAAATGTGAGGTAGATAAAGGAAAAATAGAAAAAAATATATACACGGTACCTTTTTGTGTTGCACACAGCAAAATCCATTCAGCTGAAATTTACTAGATTCCTGCTCAAATATCTGATTCATATCCTTACATGATTCAGTGATATCATTTGAAGATTGCAGGGAAACTTTGTTTTTACCGGTGGCGCCAAATAAAATGTCAGCAATTGACAAAGACCCGCTTGCTTCTGTTGCAGGCAATTCACTAAGCAAACCCTCCAGACCAGCGCTACAATAAGTAACATAAAATAACATAGCACTAAAATTTAGTCATGCTGTCAATTGATTGCCTGTAGGTCAAATAAAAGTGAGATGAGAGTGAGTCATGCATGCCTAGAAATATGTTTATCCTCTTTCCCATCAACAATTAGAAACGCGTCAGATATCAAGTGATACTTTAGTTTCGCATTAATTGTTGCTGAATCACTTATAAACACACACAGGATTTATTACAAAAGGTTATGCATAAATACCTCTGAAAACTGAAGGGAGATTTAACCGGTCTACTGACGCCTTCATCCTCACAGTTGGTGATGACAACACATTTTGGGATAAATCAGAGTTAAAACACTGGTAACACATCTTGAAACTTTATGTTTTGTGAAATACAAAAATAATCTGTTGTACAACAGCAATAAATGCAAAATAGTCATTCTTCAAAGAAAATTAGAAACATATCAGACAGTATTAACGTGTACAATAAATGTTTAATGAGCCATAAAATTTACATGTATTCAAGGAGACTGAATCAACAAGCACACACAATCCTGAGTGGTGGATGTTTACATGACCAACTGACTGACAGGTTTCAGCAGTGAACTTTGCACAGAAGTGCACCAATTCGAGTTGCCACACTCCACGTACCACACAAAGGAAGACAAAAAATACTCGGAAGAACGATAATAAGTAGAAATGTGAGGGAGAAACAAAAGGGTTTCATGGGATATGGAAGATCACAAAGAGTAAATGCATCTGAGCCATTGAGAACGAATTGAAGCCATATCACCAGTTGTCTCCAGCCACTGGTTCTTAGAATCTCGTGGACACCAAACAGCCAAGCAGCCTACACTTCCCAAACCAAAAGTCAAAAACCTCATGTTTTCGTTAGACAACCCCTTAACTTTTTCCAACCCAACCTTATATCAGCTAACTTTGCTCGTCGACGAAGGCGATGGCTAGGAATGCGTAACACATGCCCTAGCCATCTCAATCGATGTAGCTTCACAACCTAATCGATTAACTTTCCCTTTTTACCTAACCCTCAACGCTTAGCCTTAGGTATTACTCACCTCATCGTACCATCTTACCTGCGAGATAGAACGCCAACATCTACGATCAAAGACAGCTAGCCTTTTTATGTTTCCCACTTTTAATGGCCATGTGGATGTTTACATAAAGACATATAACAACCAAATGACAGTTGACAGGATGAAAGTCTCAATTCAAGGGTGGGCTGTCATGCTAGTTGTCTGTTGCAAGAAACAGTAGGTGTCAAATCCACGGAAACAAATCCCAATTAAGCAAATTCAAAAAATAATGGTAACTATTGCTCTATTATCTACCTTTCTATCGTTTCAGTTATTATTTGCTTGGATTTTTAAAAAAGTTATTCAGCTCAATAACCATAAAATGAACACATCCAAAACCATCTTCCATTACAACCAATCTAGCATTTATTGGTTACACTCTTTTGTAGTGTTTCAAATTGTGCTCAACTGGTTTTATTACACACACACTTCGACGTTACACGTCCCAAAGCCGTTTGAATTTATGCAGCTAGACTGAGTCTTGACTTTTAAACTAACTAATTCTCTTCTTTTTCTTTTTCTTCACGTTCCCCAGTGGAACATAGGGCTTCAAGCTAGTGGCTTGAAGTTTCTGTAGCAGTGTTTATTTTACAGGATGGGGTTGCTAGCCTCACGCCCAACCTTTCCACTTCACCAGCATTATTTCTGGCTCAACGAGGCAAAGGAGTGCGTCGGCCGGGAATCGAACCCTGGACCATGTGCATGGTCGGCGAGCGTCCTAACCGCTATACCACCGACGCACTTTATCTGTGTGTGAAAGCACTAATTCAGTTTTCCTGAAAACAGATTAGTTTAAAAAGATGAAATACTCACATAACTACTAAAATTTGTGATTAAGTATAGTGAACATGGGTGGAAACACCCGCTGCAAAAATATTCTGCTAAACTGAATTATCAACACAGAACTCCGTACAAAAGTGCATCAGTCTGAGTTGCTACATTCTGGGAAAGCGAACACACACAAAAAGAAGCCACAATGAACGAAAGCGTTCGAGAGTAATTAAATGAAAAATAAGGAATAAAAAGCAATCACAATAATGCCTGAGCTTAAGTCAAAAGTGATACCATGTTAAATTATAGGCACAGTCAGTGGCACACTTTTGGCAAATTTTGATACTCGTAAGTTCTCAAGTTTAATAGTGAGTGCCCTGAAACACTATTTTTTAGATTACTCTTTTTTTACCACTACTATACCAAAATAGGGACGGAAAAAAGAAGAAATACACAAATATGCACTGCTAAAATCCTTCCGAAAACAGTTTGTTTGAGTTATAGCCGATTTTACATGTAAGTCTAATTTCAACCTCATAATGAAAATAAAGTCGAAAAAGAGGCGATATATTAGACTGCACTTTTATACTACACTAAGAGAATTCTTATTTTTTTAATATGAAGCAAATAAAAAAATAATTCATTTTAACACGATCCAATTTGGTGTAAGATACTATACCAACATGGGAATATAAATTCATGACAAAAATGGACAGTTACAATGAGTACACCAATCAAAACACATCGGATTGGAGGAGAAAACAGATACTGGGAAACTAAATAGTACCAAATTCGAAGAGGATTGACGATAAATAGTTCAAATGAAAAAATAACACCCTTTTTACGGGTGATACTATGGTTGAATTTTAAAAATATTGTGATAAGAAACTTCTATGCCACATATATAACAATAACAACTCACCAAGAGGCATGAAAGTATACACGACAATTCTTCCAAGCACACTGAATACAAGCTCCACAGGTTGCTAAGGAATTTCGTTGATTACGTTCACAAAATACGCAGGACTGAAATGTACATAATGGAGAATGAAAAGTGATACCCTGAGATCAGTAAAGTTTGAAATTGTCTTTGGGAACATTAACAAGATACTAGGAAATAGGAACAACTTGACCGATAGGGTTCAGTCTGCACCAAACAAAGGACTAGATACATTACAGTAGATACTAACTAGTGTCCAATCACAAAAAACAACTGCTTCTCATTGTTTTGAAATGTCTTTCGCCCACTAATAAACACCGCATAACAATTTGGTCAGGAAATATTGACCAACAAGTAACACCATTTCAGAATTTGTTATGCTGTGTCCTACAGTTTCCAAAAACAAAAATATAACTGAACTTGTCACTATGTTTAATGGGTGTCGAAATTCTTTTCTAATCCTTCTGTAACTAGGTTACCTTTTATGATGAGATAAATCAAAGTAGAGCCTTCTATAAAATGTCCATTACCAACGAAAAAGATAAATACCGAAAGGAATATACGAAAATAGACAGAAATGTAAGGATGTACAGAACACAGCATAAGTAAGTAACTCATATCACAACTGTTTTCTACTTTCATTTTATGGTTTTGCATCATTTCTAGTGAGGAAATTTACTCTATTTTTCCGCCTCTGATTCATTTATTTGTTGTTTTTTATGTATAATAACGATACTCCCTGATCCCATACCGACTGAGGTTTAGTAAATCTCATCTCAAATCAAAGTCTCAGTCTAGTGTCTATACCACTTTACTACAACTCGAAAAGCAAAACTCTATTGCGATACATCTCTGACATTCACACTACCGACCGTACTAATTGGAAACTATTTGTAGTGCCAAATTTTTGTGGTAAGCACTATTTTTGAGAGCATTAAGCATGCAAAGGACTTGTAGCAATATAACAGGTCTTAGTACAGATTTACATCAATCACAACAAACATAGAAACTGCTATGCTATTATTCATGAGAAAAATGACTTTTAGTATATCTGAGGGGATATCATAAAGACTAATGTTTACTAGTGCCTTGAAGTTGTTCTGCGAAAATATGAATGTACTTTCCCTTCGCAATCTCTACCATCAATTCCGCAAAAAAAACTGACGAGTGGAATTATCTATCCCATGAGATTCCCAAGTGCGAATATACCTCAAAGCATCAGTTCATTTTTATAGACACAAGTAATAAGTTATTCTACTTCTTAAATTCAATCAAATAAACACGGCTCAGTGTATTCGGCAGAGTACACCAACTGGAACAGTCCAATCAAAGGTACACTGACATGTATAATGATACATAGAATGACTTTCCAGATTTAATATTGCACAAAAATTGGCGTCTTGCACTGAATGAACAATTTAAAGGCATGTATTTGTATATTTTAAGACGAAAAGGCTGAACATTTGTTGAGTGTGTCCCACACATGCGTATGAAAACTTTCACTGAACATACACACGGATACAACCTACCCGGCCGAACCTCTCAGCTGGAACATTCTCCACCGAAATGAGCTCCATGATGCTAAAATCAGTGAAATAGACTTCAGGTACATAGATTGCACAGACAATATGTGCCCAACCTGCCCTAGAATAGATCATTTGTATAGAATCAACTCACCACATCTGACACCATTGCTCCGCTTAAATGCACCATCTTTAATTGGGCATAAATCACAACGCTGAATAATCAGTAATACGAAGACAAGACTTACAATCTTGCTCACGCGCACTTGGGACTCGCATTTTCTGCAAAACCAGTTGCTGACGCCCGCCACTTTTGGACCCCCATAGCACCCCTGATGTACGGCTATACTGCAGTTGCTACAAAACACTAACGCATTCGAAAGGCTTTGGAACTTCAGACTACAAACACAACACTTATCATTCATAACCGAAAATTCAAAGCCCGCCCGTCATCACGCCCTTGAAAAGAAGGGTAGATAATCTTCAGAACTTCAGAATGTATATTTCGCATTTATTATCTAAGTCGTCACTCCTTATCCCCTAAAAAACCTTAAAATGTGCAAAATGTTATTTCTGAATACCTAAAATAGGACTATGAGCAGAACCTAACAGAGCCACATGTGACTGGCATTGTCAGTATGCTTTCTACGAGCTAGCATATACCAAGTTGACACTTTTATCTATGCATCTTAATGGCGAAGAAGCGATTTGTTTATTGTGTAATTTATGGTCCTGGATGACCTCGACATTGATAGTAGTGGTGTCAGTTTTGTAGAAATTTCTTGGTTTGTGTGGACCGTGGCGTTGTCGCGTTATCAAATAATCGTTTCGTTGATGAGCCGCTCGGCATAGTAGAGAAAAACGCAGAAATATCTGTTAGCAAAAGACGAATAAGTGAGTAAAGTATTGTGCGGGAGGGAAAAACAGAGATTGAGACAATTAACAGACACAGATAGGTTGAAAGACAGAACTGTTTCCAAAACACCATGTCCTGGTTTCATTCCAGTTTCTTCTGACCGACATTACGTTGAGCAATTACCCATCTAATTTATACTAATGACCTGGGTTGGTCATCTTTGCTTATTTTTTATGGAGTTGGCATCTTTTTAGGAACCATGTGTAGACGACGCCGTCAAGGTACGGTGGCACATCAGCTTTATAAACCCTCAGAAAGAGCACTACTTCAAGCGTATTCCTCCTCTCACAAGTGAAGTTTGACAATAAGTGTGGATTTCTCTTCTACCAATGGATTTTTCCACCCCAGAAAAAGTTGTAGTATCCAGGATTATCTGGTCTGTCTTACAGAGACAAATGCAGCAGAGAATGGGATTGAATGCTTTGTTAAAACTGGGAAACGCACGACTTTACTGCCTAACTTATCACAAAGCAGAAACGCTTTTTGAATACATTACTGATTACTTAACTGAGCTTTTGAACTATTTGTTGCTAATAAATCACCTAAATCATCAAGCGAAAAGGAAAACCGGTTAGTTTAAATCAGAAATAACACTCGTATCGTTGTGTAGCCATCTATCCAGTTCGACCTGAGCTTTGACCACGCCACCTGCTGACTCTTTAGCCTTAACCACCTTATCTGGTGATCAGGCTGTCCTTAAATTCGCCCCAACTTGTGAAGGAAGAATATAACTCCCACAGCTGCTCATAGGTGTATTTATTAACGATAATATGAACACATCATAGACTACCCGCAGTCACTCCACAGTGCCGCGTGTGAGCTCCTTTCCCTTGAAAATATTACTGTTTACCTTGTGTTTCACTTCGGGCAGATAAACAAACTGATCGTTGTTGGTGAGACGTTTGAGGTTCAAAACATTCGATTAACCTTTTTGATCCCTCACAAGTCTATCAGCAAGGACTGATGAGATTGGCAAAAATGATGTTTCCGTATCCTGATACACAGAGCTGATGGTGAATGTTATTGGATAAACATAAATACCATCAGTAGACATAGTGACAAAGGCGGTGATTTTATTGAACAAGTTGGCCTACAAACAAAAGGAGTTATTCAGAGCCTCTGCATCACTGCATGTCGGTCAGCAAGAGAAGTAAAGCGTACCTGACTGCGATGATCCAGATAAAACCGTCACTCTTACTTGATCAGCTGTAGTCAGAATATCATACTTCTATCACCTCACTTCTGAATGTGAACCACTTCTTAACACCAGGATTTGTAATTTTATTTGAAATCATCCATAAAACAGAAGCGTTTTCCATGTTACAAACAGCCTTACATATTGCAGGCACATAGTATGAAAGGGAAAGAGCGCAGAATACTGCCTTGGTACATTAAAAATAAGTAGCCTAGGTTCAGAAGACACAGACCCAGGTCTTAACACCTAGATTTCACAGTCAACATAGAATCCAATCCATTCAAATTCTGAATTACTCATTTCATAACTACTCCGAATGCAGTTAAATAATAATTCTAGCCTTTTTCTGAACAAAATGTTCACACAGTGTACAGAATTCTTGGTCTGCTCCATAGCATTCTATTTACCCCTGACTTCAAGTATTTATTCTCAATAGCTTTTGTAATTTGCGGTGGTATGAATTCGGGGATTAATCTTCATTGTTTCAAGTATTCTACGTATCTCACCGGTTTGTGGTTAACGAAATCTACTCCTCAACCGTATTTATTTATCGATAGAATAAGTCAAATTCTTCATGTACCAGGATTCTTGAGGTTCCTGAGGACAGGAACGATTACAAATAATAACCGATGTAAGCCAATATCCACGTATTTTAAGAAATGCGGGTGTTCATATGTCTTGTTTTAGCGGGGTTTTAGAGTCATCATATATGACTTCAGTGGAAGTAACTAATCCCTGTCTCCAGGTAGAACGGCGTTTCATGGTGATAACAACACACTTCATTATTCAAATAAAAATTATAGCAACGACAGTTGGAGTTGTTAAGATTCCATCTAGTATAAACAATCACAGTGTAGTTGAATTTCGGTATTTTATTGTAAATATGTTCCGCCCTTCTTCATACCGATCAGTCTTCAAGGTCGCGTAGTCAAAAACTCAACTTAAATACCAACAAACAGTTCAGAGAATTCGCGCGTGCCCACTTAAATGTGCCGTAAGTTTATAACCCTATACTTTGCCCACACTGGAAGGCATTACCATAAATTTGGATTATCATGAAATTTACGGAATTCACATTTGATACTTCAGAATGTGGTCAATCCTAACTTCACTTAGAAATTTCCAGGCTGTTCTGATGTATATAACCATTCAAAGATGTGGCAGACTGATTAACATTCAAGTTCAGAAGTCAAAAGCTAAGGGGAAAAACCAATAATAGCACATTCAACGTAGCTATCAGAGCAGAAGTCTCCGAAGTGTGCTGAAGGAAACTATTGTGGCTGTCTTAAGAAAGAAGAATGGGTAAGGCGGGGAATAGCTCTCTACTAGCACCCGGGTGATGACCGAGGTGAGAAGGGTGGTGAAATAGAAGACTAACTGGCGTAAAGATGGACAACGAAAGCAGAAGCGGGGTTCAGTGTACAAAGTACTGAATTAAGAATTGAAGAAATGTGATAGGGAAGACAAAAATACAATTCTGTGACAGGTTGGAAACTAAAGCAGAGCATCCCTTAAGAAAGAAGAACCTTTGTTCCAGATTATAGGATGCCATACAGGAAGAGACTGGCACAGATGAAACCAATTCACGATAGCAAATAGAAACTAATTACCGAAGAGGAAAGTCGAAAGAGACAAAGGGCTGATCTTTTAAAATGAATCTTGAATCCACCATCACCTGCAGCTATTCCAGAAATACCATCAGTAGCTGCAGAACTGCAGTCGAACCCGAATCATTCGTTAAAAGCAGATGTTTCAGATGCCACTAAGTTACCGGGAGCCAGAAAAACAGCGCAATCCCCCTGGAAGCACTGAAAATAGATCCAGTGAACCTAGAGGATATCCTTGAGCTCATACTGCAGAAAGTCCGGAAGGAAGTAAATATTCCTGCTCATAGGAAGTAGGACTACCTTGTTAATAATAATAATTTGCTTTATTCCAAAACAGTACTTGTGATACAGAATGGAATTCTCAGCATTTTTACTACAGTATTGTATCCAGTTAGTGCATTATCAATAAATAGAATTCTATATAGATTAAGGAAATCTCAGTTCATTATGACAACAACATATTGCCATGTAGGTAGCAAAGCCAAAGCTGAACAGTGTTTGAAGGTGTTAGAAAAGTAGGTTCTGTCGTATTTACTGGCGTAAGAAAGAGATAGAAACAAAGCAGCACATAACGGAAGAAAAAAAGAGAGAGTATAGGAAAAGAAAAAAAGAAAACGTTGTACCTATAAATGATATGAGTTGGAAAGACGAGGTCCAGTTGTACTACTGACTATTTAATTAACTATAGGTGTCACGCCTAATGCTTTCTTTATCGCAAAGAACACGAGCTAAGTAGGGGTTGAGTTTTTGTACTTGCTAGTGCGAGCATATAGTTTTCTATATAGGCTTCTGGTTTTGCCTAGTGATACCTAAGAACAACTATTTTAGCCTTTGCGAAAGCTAGCGCGGAATCAGTCTGTTGTCCACGTCAAGCAAAAAGTCGTCACCACATTTCAGGGAGAGAGGAAGATCCTATAGATGCAGAACTCCCACTGGAAGAAGAGGGATTCGGGATGGGCAAAGATATAAAGATCGAATCGCGATGCTACGCATCACAATCAAACAGCGTAGAATGGCTGTCAAAACTCTGTCTCAACTTTCTCGACTTTGGAAAAGCCTTGGATAAGGCTGACCACAAAGTAGTTTGGAAACTACTTCAGCACTATGCAGTGCCTCAGTTCTTTATCAACCTCATTCAACATCCTTATAAAAATGCCATAACTCAGGTGATCCACAGTAGGAAACCCAGCGAAGCACCTGGAGTGAAGATAAGAGTAAGAAAAAGCTGATTATCATCAGCGATGATATTCCTATTTGTGGTGGAGTGGATCATATGGCAGGCCGTGTGGAGTGAGAATATAGGAATAATTTGGGCCAACAAAAATACGCCAGAAGATCTAGAATTCGCGGACTTTCTGTGTCTAACGTTACGCAAACTCGAAGATCTACTGTAGGAAATAAACAAGCTGACAAGAGAAGCAGACGGCCAAGACGGCGATTCTTGTGAACACATAGGTGAGACAAATGATGAAGGTAATCAACAAACAGCAACATTCATCAACCACTATCAACGAGGGGAATTCGAAGGAAGTTTCCCTTTTCACTAGCATAGGCAGCGTCGTTCCATCCGCAGACAGTATGGATGAACATAGCATTGGAAGAGCGGGACAAAGCTTCCCTAATCTGAAATCACTGCAGAAATCTGGTGCACTCAGCATAAAAATAAGTGTCTTAATTTTCATTACCAACATGAGGTCACTGTTTTTATATAATTTGGCAGCTCGATGAATCATTGAATGCA